TTTTCCGAATGCAACATTTATTTCAAAGAAAATCTGGTTTTATAACGAAAATAAGTTAGAAATTAGAATTGTGGATTCTATCTGATAGTATCTGTGGTATAAAAAAACAGTGATATAATATTGCATGATGCATATCAAATTTCAAAATTTCACACGATTATCGATTATAATCGAGGATGCACAAATCCAAAGTTTTCACACCTTATACTGTCCCCTGCTTCTTTATTACATTAGCAGATAGTTATTTCATAATGCATTATAATTAGTTATTATCAGAATTTCCATTTCAAATTGATCAGTTGATATCCTACTGTGAAAACTTGACTATAGAACTGATCAGTGTGAGTTTGGATTTCAAAATTTGAAATTGCCCAATCATTGGTTCTCTACATGTATTCATGCCATTATACTCGGATTTCTATCATTACAAATGATCACTGCATTATATTACAGAAAAATCTGTATATACGAACATCTCTCTAACATGAGTAATCTCTCTAATCTAAACTTCCTCAGTCCCAATTTTGTAATATTGCCATATATTTCAATGTTTGAAAAACTCAAAATGTGAACATCCACCTATCCAAACACTTTTGGTCAGTTAATGTAGTGTTCACATTAGATAAATTTTATATTTTAATTATTTAACCTTGAAGTTTGTAAACAGAGATATGGGTTGCATCAGAATGGATCTCAGTGGCTTCGATAACTTGAAGTCACTAATCTACAGGCCCGTAGCTAGTAGCTAGGGAGGGAAGGGGAGTTCGAACCACTCTTGGCTGAAAATTCTTTCAAAATCATGCAGTTTTTCACCATTCTGAGCACCTTTTGAAATGGACCAAAATAGTCAAAAGTGAACTCCTCCTAGATTTTAAAAAGTGAACCCCTTGACAAAAGCTTGCTATGAACCTGATCTGCTACAAATTATTGTTGAACTATTACAGTCAAATTCAGACCTGTAGCCCACCCCCACCCCCCACCCCCAGGCCAAAAATCTTCCTAAATCATATAGTTTTTTACCATTCTGAGCACCTTTCAAGTGATATTGGGTCAAAGTTGACAAATGAGAATCCCCATGAAATTTTTGAAAAGTGACCCCCACCCTTGGCAAAAGCTTGCTACAGGTCTGAGATTGCATTGTGCATTGTAAGAATCTTGTACCTTCTGGTTAACATTGAATAATAATGTTCCATGTTTGAAAAATATCATATAATTGGGAAAAAGATAAAAAGATCAATGTACTTTTGCTGAAGATAAGGTATAGCCTTAAAGAGACAATTTGAATGATCAAAGAAAGACTGGCCAAAGTTACTATTTTATCTTGGGACTGATCCCTAATAAGCTAATGTTTCTATCTTTGTCAACAACACAAAGTAATTAAAAAGAATTGTGGTCATTAGACATATCTTGTGATTTTATAAGATGTAGGATATATGTATATATAATTACGGTAATACAAATATTTATTTGCAGTTTATAGTTCAAATAGTGAGGTTCTTACAAGTAGCTTATCTTGTATTTTTGTAAAATGACGAATGTCTTTTGTCATTTGTAGTCTTGCTTCAAGACCCTGGACTCCCCTCCCTTGTATCTACTTCATAAAATTTGTTGAAGTTTAAGGGGGGGGGGGTCTGTATAAGGAGGAATATGTTATGCTTACACAGGGAGTAAGTCACCCCCCTCAAATAAAAGTTTGTAGGATATAAGGGGGGGGGGGGTGACTTGCTCCCTGTGGATGCTTAGTCAATATTATAAATACAATCACAGATTTTCATCAGAATGCAACTTGAGCATGTCCATTCATCAACTCATCCTTGAAATCTCCTGATATACCCCCAGGCTATCGCCCATCATTTCATTCCATGCTTTGCCCATCCATGCAAATGATGAAATAATTTGCATAATAATTAGACTTGTAAATTCCATCTTACACAAGTAAACCTGCCGTTGATATTCCTCAAATTGCTCAGTATTTCACATCTCTGTGATTAAATGATTTTGAAACAATTTGATAAAATCTGATAATGATTACTGGGGTCATAAAAATGTACAAAGGATTATTCTAAGGGGATGAAGACTTTTGTTTTCAGTTATTTATGGTGATTGGCCTAATCAAAAGTGTCATGAAATGTATTCTTAGCGGTTGAGAATAGTTTGTTTTAAGACCCAATCATAATTAAATTGGAACATTGGACATATGTTCATATTTAAATCTAAAATAGCTCATCAGTTGTCAGATCGGTTGTTAAGAATTTCAAATGTTCACCTGTGTTTTTCTGATTTTCTGTGTAACAGGTTCATTGACAAAACGTAATTTTAGCCAATAAAAATAATAAAGCAAAAATATGATTTGTTAGTCTTAAGATATTTGAGACATTGAAATTTTGATTTTTAAATATCAGAAAGAATATTAATCAGTAGATGTCGTCTAAAGATTTGGGTTTAAAACTTCGAGCTAAAAAGAATCTGGAAACCTGAAATTGTACCTACAAAAATACCCCAGATCCAGTTTTTATGCATGCATTTTTTTGTTTCTAAACATTCTTCGGTGAAATTAAATATACGATACATTTATAAAAGGCAAAATTGATTTATAACTACATAACTCACCTATAGAATTTGTCAATCCTTGCCCCCAAATATTTGACAACATCAGATCCATGCTCCATATCGCTTGTCATTCTGTGTCTTTCTTAATGGCAGTGTCTTTGTATTTAGATTCTAAATTAATTTGTGAAGTTGACAGTCTAATTAAGAAATAACTGAATCACGTGTGTCATTTGTTAATGTTCAGTTGTATTATGCAAAGATGTTGATCCTCCAGGTCCAGTGGATACCTATATGAATAATTATTCCGTTGCGATTGGCCGATTAAATGATGATGTCATTCCACAAAGCATGAAACCATAAGCCTCAGATCTTATATAACTACGATCACAAGGTCATAAAATCACAAAAGTTCAAAAGTTTCCAGTCTAATTAAAATACTGTATTTAATTACTTTACGTAATCTTAATTATGTATTTCTTGTGTAGGCTTTGTAGCTTTGTACTTATCTTGCTATTATCTATATTGTCTATGTATTATCTCTGTTTTCACATTATTAGCGTTCTGTGATCTACTACAAGGAAGCAGCTATCATGAAAACAGATCTTATTCCCTTACAAATTATCCAAATCACTTTCTACATATCCCTGGGTACATATCTGCAGTACCTTGATTGTAATAATCTAACATTAAAAGGATTACTGATTATTTTGGACAAACATTGAGGAACTTATGTAATGTAATTTTTTATTTCAACGTTTTTAATATGTATTTGTTTATTTATGGTTTTAATTGGGATATTAAGAAAATGTGGATTGTGTTATTTTTTGTAAGGGAAATCACATGAGAACATAATGATTAGTTGTAATGTGTGTAAGAACATCAAAAGAAATGTGTTGATTTTCAAGCTGATTTAATTGCATCTAATATGGAATTCTGATTGCTTTTCTAAGTGTATGGTTTTGTGACCCCCCCCCCCCACATGCAATATATCCTCCCCACTGGTGAAGGGGTGGGGGTAGATGCAGAAATTTACAATGTACAGTATATGGTGCATTCTAAGCACTTAATTTATAATGTTTTGTCAACAAATTTTACGAAATTGCTTGTTTGTTGTTTTATGGTTGTTGGGGGGGGGGGGTATGATTGCACCCATCTCCCCATCCTACGCCATGGAATGGAATAAATTATTTCAACAAGTAGATATCAGTATCAGTGAAATTAAGAAAGTTTTTTGGAAATAAAATGGAAATTTGGAGTAACATATATACCTGAAACATCTTCCAGTAACTACTGACAGTCTCCCCATGTTAAAACAACACTAGTTACCATGGATACTCATCTCCCCATGCTAGAAACAACACCAGTTACCAAGTTTTCATAACTTGCCCGAAATGACAGAAAATCATGTAATTGCTTTGATTAATTTGAAAGTTTACACATTTTAACAGATAGAATCTCAATTAAGAAATATTAATTAGTTAAAAATGTCTAAATGAGCATAATTTGACAGTGTTTAGGCTGGAGAATTTAATGAGATATTTTAATGAGTCCTGGGGAAATTTAACGGGGCAAGTGTATGGACTAATTCACCAAGTAATAAATTCCAATAAAATAGGAGACTGGTTATGATAGCTAAGAAGTCCCCAAAGACTTGTGACATGTGAAATTTCTCATAAAATGAGCTAGCTATGATTGAATGTTTTAATTTAATTTGATTCCTGACTAAAGTTTGCCATGAAGTTCTTGTTTCACTTGAATCAATTTGTATGAAAGCAGGCCCATTGCCAGGATTTGCCAAGGGAGGGTTCAGTTTTCAAAAATTTCCAGGGGGGTTCACATTTGACAATTTTTGCCCAAATATGGCTAAAATTACTTGAGAAGTACTCAAAATGGTGAAAAACTGCATGATTTTGAAAGAATTTTTGGCCAGGGGGGGTTCGCCCAAACCCTGCTAACCCCTGGAAAGTATTAACAGATACCTCCATTTCTTTGTAATATGAGTGTCTTATAGGCTGATGTTGGACCAGGATCAGTTTTAAATGTTTTGTTTTATATATACTTGTGAGAATCTCTATATAATTTACAATACAATGCAATACAATACAATACAATACAATACAATTAAATACAATACAATACAATACAATACAATACAATACAATTCAATATAATTCAATACAATTTAATACAATACAATACAATACAATACAATACAATTTAGGATATTACAATGTGACCCTACAATTCAGATTTTGAAATAGTTGTCGATAATTTCTGTGTTTTTCTGTATTGTTATTTTTACAACAAATTATAGATTCTGCAATGTTAAATGTCTCTTGTTTCAAACATTATATTTGTATATTTGTTGTAAAAGCATTTTATCCTAATAAATAAATTTAAAAAAAAATATAAAAAAATATTTATCTCACTTATATCTCTGTGTGTTTCAGCCAGAGGAAGCAGAATGGATCGGCCTTAGTGTGGGGAGTGCAATTAGGAAACAAAAGAACGTAGAACGTGCACAGCAAGTACGGGATATGCGTCCATTTAAAGAACTATTCACTCGGCAGTTGGTAGAAACTCTTAAAGGTAAGTTCTTCATCTTTTTTTTCAAAAACCCATATTTTTCAAAGGAGCTTAAAATGTGAGATTTTGGCTAATTTTTAAGAATAATTATTGCTGAGATTTTAAAACATACTGATTTTGTGTAAATGTCTGACTGAAATTGTGAATTTTGACTATAATTCTTATTTGGACTGAGAAATCTTATTTTTCAATTAACTTCATCCCAATTTCGCTCTCTTGTTATCTCCCTTTTAAGCAAAGTTAACACCAACAGCGCTTTGATGGCGCTTTAATGTGGCTTTGCACCTCGCATTAAAGCGCAGTTGGTGTGAACTTAGCTTTAAGAAATCTTGAAATGTGAACACCTGCCAATCAAGATACTTTTGGCCAGTCTTGGGGCTTTGTGGATTAGACAGTTTTTACTGTATATCTACAATTTACATGTACAAACACTTCGTTTACTCTACAAACGGTTGCTGCTTTTTTGAAATGTCTGTCTCTATAAACTCTCTACCTATGGTAGGGTTAGCTTTTTATGTCAAATGCTGATATGTGTTATGATTTGCAACCTGATGACATATGTCCATTTCTTGAAGTAAATAAACTTTTTGCTGCATAAAAGATGGCATCATAGTCAGATCTGGGATATAGCAGTAGTGTGTAGGGTGAATGCAGCATCACTTGAATGTTTTGACTGTTTGATTCATGGTAAAACACAGGCCCGTAGCCAGAGGGGGTTTGCAGGGTTCAGGCTAGGCGACCATCCCCCTGGCCAAAAATTCTTTCAAAATCATGCAGTTTTTCACCATTTTGAGCACTTCTCAAGTGATTTTAGCCATATTTGGGCCAAAATTGCCAAATGTGAACCCCCCTGGAAATTTTTGAAAGCTGAACCCCCTTTTGGCAAATTCTGGCTACGGGCCTGAAACATGTCCATGGCTTCAAACAGCTCTCTCTCTCTCATCAGGTCCATAAAGAGCTTAAGTTATAAAGTCCTCCACTGGCGCTCTGAATTGTTCTGAATTCTGCAAAATTCTAATTTAAAATGCAGACTATAGTGATTAAATTTCTTCCAGTTTTAACCAATATTATAGAAATTCCCAATCAGAGCTTTAAATTGAAGTACAATGCCTGATATTGTACAATTTTAAAATGTAGTACAATGCCCAAATATCTTACAGCTTTAAACTGTAAGACAATGTTAGATTATTGTACAGCTTTGAAATTTAGAACAGTGCTGTATTATTGTATATGTTCAAAATGTAGTACAATGCCCTATTATGCTTTATAGTGTACAGCTTCAAAGTGTAGTACAATGGCTTATATTGTACGGCTTCAAAACATAGTACTGTACAATGTCTTATATTTTTTCAGATGCTGAGGAGAGAGGGGATGTCATAGAACCACACAAGTAAGTGAAAAAAACTGGCTTCTATTTAAAACAAATGGAAGAAAAATAGATGTCATGAGATAGGGATTTGATTGAATATTTTCAACTTGCTTCAAATTGACCCATTTATTTTTCAAAATCATCTACAATTTCTCAGAAATTCAAATCTGACTTAAGATTTAACTCATGATATTGTAAGCAACTAGGTGGTGGCATTTTGTCATGTTAATGACTTGTCTTTTTCATTGAGTTGAAAATGTAAGAAATATATGTGGTATTATAGGAATATGTGTGGTATTATAGGAATATGTGTGGTATTATAATAGATTGTGAATATTTTGTATCAAACAAAGTGGTGCTCAGGAGAGTAATTCTTTTTACCCGAGTAGAGCTCTCCAATATTGAGAGGACAAAATATGTTCCCTTAAACATCCACCCATATAGCTCAGCAGTAGCACAGGTACCTCTGGGTGCACATAAAAGAACACAGGGCTCCTTCAAGGAGGGATTCCTGAATCTGCCTTCCATGATTATGCGTTAATTACGACCGTATATATACAGGATATACCCTAGAGGTATTGCTCACCTTCATTGGTGGTAAACAAAATACAATACAATACAATAGGTCAAAATATTACCCACAATCCAACTTTCAATACTCAATCAAGCATATTCCTTTTTGTGGTGCATCCTGGGATTGCCTTCAGTTTGAAGAGCTCTGCACACTTGAAAAGAATTTAAACTTATGAAAAGTAATAATATTCTTTAAAATTAAACTAATTTCCTGATTCCAGGTCTGTGAAGAAGAGCAATTGGATGTCAAAGATTAACCCCTTCCAGTCTAAAGGCAGTTGATAACTAAGGCAGAATAGAAAGAGTTAAAAAAGTTAAAAAAGACATCTGGCCATGTTGAGTTTGAGCATATATGACAAACATTGAATAAACATTGGATTGAGAATAATTTGAGCACTTTTAGTAACCAAATATTTAAATGATAATATAACCCATGCATAGATCAAAAATAAAATACAAATGATTTCATTTCATAGTCGGATCAGTTTTAAGACCATGGGCTTTCAATTAGAGTTGAAAACCCATGTAAAGACCAAGAAATTTGATCAGATAATGCCCTAAAATATGGCCAAGGTTGAACCCGAATGAACAATTCACTTATCGATTGGGATTTAATGTGCCTTCTCTAAAGGAGTTCTATCACTCAGCCAATACATCCCCATTGATAACTCGGATACCATTGGCCTGATCGCATTCATATTAATACACATACATAAGCTCTTTTTTAAAGAATCAGAATCGAACTATTGAAAGGGTTCATTATATGCATACTGTACACTTTTATAGGTTATCCCTTAAAAGTGAGCTTCATGTAATGTACTTGCCACTTATCGCATTACTCATGAAATAATTTTGCCTATACCAATAAAGATATACCCTTAATAAGAGCTTGTCTTCAGCTACACTCTTTTAATTAGGAACAATTCTAATAAAACCATGAGAAAGAAGAAGAAAAGAGCTTTAAAACGCTTTTTATTTGAAGCTTCTAGCTCAATTTTGAAGGAAGTTTTGTAAAATTCAAAATAAATCTTATTTTTTGGCTTGTTTATGCCACAATCGCACCCCCCCCCCCTAACTGAAAACCGAATGATTTTGGCGATCGCACCCCCTCTGACTAAAAGTTGGCTACACCCCTGCATGTATCCTATCCTTTGGATAAATCAACTACTGGAAAGGGTAGACTGCAAATCAAATGTTAAAGTAAGAGGTGAGTAAGGTTTGTGGTTTAGATTCAGGGTTGTTGTAAGCCATTAGATAGTAACTCTAGCAGATGATATTGGAATAACTTATTGTCGTGTAAAATACACTTTTTAATAATATCAAATGGAAAAGTGCAAAATTACATTATCAATGAGGGAGTTGTCCAGACATATCTTGTTCATATGAGATAAAGTTATTTATAAAAGTTTACAGGAGAGAGTTGATAATGCTTTTGAACCCGTTATTAAGACTGATATGGCTCGCAATGATTTCAAAGAACACGATTGACATAACACAGACCGATATAAAAATTAGGAATGAATCGAAGAAATTGGAGAAAATTCCAAAATTTGGGAATGAGCTGACGAAAAATGCCAAATTGAGGCTTGGTGTGATGTTGGAAGTTTTTAGGATTCTAATGAGGAAGAAAAAGACAGAATTTATAAAATTAGGAAATGGTTATAGGCCTCTAGGAGTAGAGAAATTTATGGGTATGTATCTTTTTAAATCTTTTTTGATTGTTTGTTTTTTACAAGAAGAACAAGAAATACAGGGTGGGCCAAAAAAAGCCACTTTTTGCAATAGATTCTGAAGTACTTAAAAATGACTACAAAAACTAAAGAGTGTAAATGTCGGATGCAATCTTGTCAAAAGTCTGCCTTACTAATACATTCCTAGAAAGACATGTCTCAAAATAAAAGATTCTAAAATCCACCTGGGGTTCACTTTAAATAATTTGGATAGGTATGCGCAGGAGGACAATCTCGAAACATTCAATCTTGAGAGGAAATTGACATGAAAAATGCTCAAAATGGCGCGGCACATATTTATTAAGAGTTCCCGAGGGTTTCACTCCTATACGAGTACACCTCTGAGTTGTATAGGAGTGAAATCCTCGGGAAAATCCCAAAACAGTAAGACTACCCCGTAGCCAGGATTAACCGGGGGGAGCGGTTTTACCAAGGGGAAGGTTTTGCCAGGGGGGGGGGCGTTTTGACAGTTTTGGCAAAAAATTATGCGAAAAGTGCTCAGAATGGTGTAAAACTGCATGATTTTGAAAGAATTTCTGGCCAGCCAGGGGGGGGGGGGATTGTCAAATCCGTTGTACATCGTGTGTTCCTTCTAACACACATTCATTGATATTTGATACAGACATACGTAGTATCGTTACCATGTATGAATATGATGAAAATGTATCCAAATTGTATGCTTTTACGAGATCATTTTGTTTTAAGACATGCACTTATCATTATTACAGGGACATAAATATCTCCATGTCTCTGACACAAATGAAAAGTACTTATTTTATTAAGCCCAAGTTTAGGCACAATGCGATAATAAAAAAATGTTTTTACTATTCTTACTACCTCAAATAAAATACTCAACTCTGATTGGTTAAAGAGCGGTCAATAATTTTAGTAGTTCACCGCACAATGCATAGCTGGTTAGCATATTGTCATATCGTGATATTACAGTTAACCTGTAAATCTGAACGCCTGGCTAATCCGAACACCTTCAAATCTGAACACTTTTTTGGATCCCATTTTTTCTTCCCATGACTCCCATGTTAAAAAAACTTGAAATGTGAACACCTCCCAATTTGAACAGTGAACAGTCATATTTGAAAAATCCATCTGTCTGAACACTTTTCATAAAATTTCTGATGTTTCATACAAAATTGCTAAAATATTGTCATGATTTCAAAACTCTGGGAAAAATGGTCTCAATTATAATGGAGCTTTCCAGGATGACTAGATTCATTTGAATCGAATTTTCACATTTCTGGAATGCCATTGAAGCTATGTGGTCAAAAGAACTCTAAATATCATAACCGATAAAAATAAAACCATGAGAAAGAAGAAGAAAATAGCTGACTGAAAGCTGGCTACGCCCCTGGTGAGGTCCTCACTATTCGATTGACTGTCAAACGTATATTCCAATTCTATTATGTCACCACCACAAGTGATGATAGTTATGAGATATTGTTTATTATACGTCTCCGGCGTTTAAATAGTGGACGGCGTTCTGTGGTTGGTGATGGACCTTCGGCGTCTATAACAAATGGCAGGTGGTGACATTTTGCATCTTATTGTTCTGTTTAGGGACTACATTGTTAATACAATACTGAACCTCTGGATAAGTCAAAATTGTCAAAAACTGATTTAAGCGTACTCAGCATATCTCCATGTGAAGTCTTACTCTTACTTTCAGATTTTGTAACAAATGAAACGTTATGGGTGGTGACTTATTACTTTCAAATTAAGAAAGTAGGTGTACTCCTACACCCTCGACTATTACTCTAGGGTCTAGGGTATATTAATTCCCCTAAGTGATGCTTTAACTGAAATCTGACACATGTATACTTAATCTTGTGCGACCATTGAATTCTGCAATTTTCCCTTTCGTGGTTCGCTCTTTAATCGAGAAGGTACGAAAAGATAAAAAAAGCTCTCAAAAAGGACAAAATTTAGTTATTTGGTCAACCTAATTTCCCACGATACATTTCTCGTAGCTATTTTGAAATATTTTGACCTTTTAAGGAAAATCTTTCGCGTCTCTTCTTTTGAAGATGGAACCACAAATACGAGAATTATACCGAAGGACAACCTACTTGGAATGAAATGCACGCACTAAGAACGCGAACGGATATAAGACGTAGCATGGGCTCTACCACCAGAGCCCATGGACGTAGCTACAACTTGTCATGGTCTTTTTGGGAACTTCATGGACGTGCTCCGATGGGATGACGCTCCAAAGCTTCGAGCCTAATCAAAATAGTATTTGCGTCCACCTCCTTTGCGGCTTGTTCATCCTATTCGCAGACAGACCTAACTCGACGTCCTTTGTCGGTCATTACTCCATGCAAAAAGCGTTTTAAACAAATACAAATCGTTTCAAAGGACTTGTCCTAGGATGAAGAAATAAATTTTTATCAAAATTTGCAGTTGGTTTTCATCGAGTAGGTACATCTATAACTGTTTAACACCGCTTTACGACTTTTTAGAACACGATAGGACGGTTTCAAAACTAGTATGCATGGGAGTTAGAAGTACTTTGTAGGCGTTTTTGTTATCAAATGTCATACCATAAACAAGTTACAACTCTTCTTCATGTTCGAAAGCGCGTAATTCACATTTGAATGCGTGAAGTTCATGTTCACAAAAGGCGTTACCGACCTCGTTATCGTGTTCGTACGTCTTTCTGCTGATTTCCTGGCCTTGCGTTGCATCCCCATAACTGACGTACAAATTCTCCACGGTACGTACATTGTGATCGTTAAACACATGATTTTCAGTATTATTTCGACCCTTTCATTTTCAAATCCCTCTAATAGAACCCAACCTTGTGATAAAAATGTAGTAAGAAAAATGTGATGAGTAGTGGTGTCAATTAACTGCTTGAGCATTAACCGGTTAACCGGGGTTTTTTACCGGTTAAAGTCGGTTAACCGGCGGGAAATTTGAACTTATAATTTCAAATGAAATCTTCATCTTCGATCTTGAAAGTTGAAAAAAATTGGAAAATTGATATATCGGCGTTTATTTTTTACGTTCGTCAAGCTTTACGCTATTCTATGTAAGTAAGCGCGGGAAAGCAATGTGGCAGGGATTAAAGTTGCTGATTGGATGTTTGTAAGGAATTATCGGACCTATCACATGTATGAGTAGCTCACATGAAACTGACGCTTGAAAACAAACAGATTAAAATGCAAAGTAAGCGCGGGAAAGCAATGCGGCAGGGATTAAAGTTGCTGATTGGATGTTTGTAAGGAGTTATGGGACTCATGACATGTATGAGTAGCTTACGTGAAACTGACACCATAAAACGAAACGGATTAGCATGCAAAATAAGCGTGGGAAATAACAGAATTATACACGGTCAACTAACCGCCCATAAAAACTCAGACCGGTCAAGGCATTATCGGCGGTTAACCGGTTAACCGGTTAATACTTGACACCTCTAGTGATGAGTGTCGAAATGACAGTTTGCGGTGTCACGATTTACCACAAATGATTGTGGTGTGGCAGTCAGGCAGTCTCAACCTCTTCAATCAAAAACTGCCTGTTGTAAGAATGAGTGCGGCGTCGGATGTTGAACGAGTATATTTTTCAAGTTTTGATTATAACAGGACAACTTGAAAATTATCTATCACTAGATTTAACTTCGCGATCGCCTACGGTGACTCTGATACATGGCCCGAAAGTAAAAACATTTAACCTTGAGAAGATGATGTCGAGACGACCTCTCGACCTGAAACCGGGAATTCAATTATAAATACCGGTTATAAATACACCATAGAAATTTACCGGTCTATTAGATTATCATCTAGCTATTTAGTACTTTACTAATAGACTTGTACAATCACAAACACAAATTCGGAATAATACGTCATTCTTTGGAACTTTCGTTATATTCCAGAACGTATACTTGACCTCAGATGTCGGCCATGTGACCAGCAGATCATACGGGAATTATCGCGACGGGTCCATTACAGTAGACGGTTGTAAACGATAAAGAACGTCATCTGAACATTCTATCTATTCATTGTATTTAATTGAATAACATAGATTAAATAGATCTATGTAATATTGATGATACTCTTTGATAAACGAGTTATTATTTATTGGTCATTAGGAGATATAAAGCCTTGAATCATCCCAGCCTTGAAATGAAAAAATACAAACTGGGGTGCCAAGGAAAATTCAAATGGGCATTTCATGTTAAAGACAGTATGCTGTATTTCACGAGATGCTGTTGTAATGGCCTTCGATATGAAGTCGCTACTACAGTCTCTGCCGTAGTGGCTAGCCTCTTTGGCCGAATCAGCAGAGCGTCTGCCTGAAGGTCCTCGGTTCGATTCCCGCACTTGGCATTGAAGTCCGGTAACTGGCTCGTTACACTACAGCTCTCCGACGGACATGCCCAATGGTCGCTACACCAAAGAAACTGTTCAACAGTCAGCACACCTTTTAAACCCATCCTTCATTAGCTGCTATAGCAGTTTCTTACTCCTGTCTTATCAACAAAAAATAAGAAAATCAATTAAAATGATTTATTTTGCACTTTTTGTATTCACAGAGAATCCCCATTGATTGTTCCTTTTAAAAAATCAAATAAAGAACTATAGTAGTACCTAGGTACTTTTTGAAGTTAAAATATTTTAATCGGTATTTAGGGATGATATATAGAAGCCTTCGATGAAATAAGTATATAATGAAACAATTTTTAATTATTTCTTATAATTTCGCATTTGATCATAATGGGCTTATGGCAAATTTCCTGCAGAAGCATGATTGACGTCATCATACTGGTTAATTCTGTCTGCGAAAAAGCAGCTTTTGAGTTCAAAAGAAAATTGTGTGAAAATCTTAAAATTTCTTGTAAATGACCCACCCAATTGACAAAATTGGGCGATTGCATCTCGTGAGAGACTTTTAAAAAACACAAGTCAAAATTGTTTCAAATGTTCACAAAAGGTTTTCCCATTCACGGATGGAGTTCCAACTTTCTCTATGGTTATAATGGTACTAAGCTCCCATCATGTTAATCCATGACATCTATTTTCTTCTCAGCCCTGAGATGTTTCAGGTGAAACAGAAAGATGTTATGACTATCAGAATGTTAAGCTCAAGGACAGACCATATGCATCGAGTAAGGAAGGAAATGAGTCGAGTTCCTAATCTCTGATCCCTGCTAACTTTTTGAATTGGGGGGGGGGGGGGGGTGGTGGGGCATGAATTGTGGCCCGTGGCCCGGGTTCGATTCCCGGTGTGGGAACCAAATGTTGTATCATCCTTTTTACGGGATACTATCTTCTCAGCTAAACCGTGAATTCAAAACATCATCCATTTCTTATTTGATTGTATTATCTCGAAAACAAGTGAAACGAAAATCCAAAGTTACTCAAAAAACTATTAAGCGAAGTAGCATTGATTGTTGTAGGTATAGACACGCGTAACAACGATATTGATATCATGCAGACTCATATACGAATCCATCCAAATCCCCTAAGTAAGAAGAACACCGGAAGTGACGACAACAAGATCGTCATATCGCAGACGGGATACAGTCTTACGATACTGCCAAGTGGGGAGGTGAAGGGATCTCATGACCTTAGAAATCAAAATAGTAAGTACAACAGTGTCAAAATCACTCCAATAAAGCCACCATGAAATTTTAATTAGGATACAATTTTTGAAAAATGGACCCAAATATAAAAAACGACCTAAAGTGGTTAAAGACATCGTGTTTAATATGTTTCTGTTTAATCCCATTGTGAATTTCCGATTGCGGTCACCAGAATCTAATATTGAAAATGAATAGCGTTTTGAGCGATTTTTAGATTTATTTAATGAATTCATGTTTAAACTAGTTCAGATTAACAAGTAGATTTGAAACAACTCGAAATATTTCGCATTTTCTCGGGAATCTTTTTAAGATTCAAAGGATATGCTATTTCGCCCGGCAAATATGTTCATACCATTAGATATAAAAAAAGTTATTCACTAACTTCTTACAAACTTGTTTACTTGTGGCTTATAATGCAGTTCTGCAAAGCCGCCGACATGTGTGTTATGTTTGTTATATATGGAAATAAATCATTAATAAAAAAACACCTTATACCATGGTCAAGACAAATATCCATCTAAAATCCTCTTTTGAATGAGTGAAAAAATGATATCCATATCACCCTTCATATAATCCCTCTAATCCCAATATCATCCCTATCCCAAATATGTGATTTATCACTTGCTATGATATACCTGATATTGCTCTGACCATGGTAAAAAGTCATATATATCAAATCTTTTGGTACCATCACATAATTGTCTCCAGGGTCTGTCAATATAGAATAGGCTGATAGAAATAAGAAACTGAGTGACTATTTCCTGGGATAAAGCTTTTTTACTCCAGACGAACACAATTGTATTTACCACTTCAAGACAAATAGAAGATAAATAATCCGATGGATTTTGTAATGCGATCATTAATTATGAAGCATTATTAGTCAAGATTGAAAATGTCATCTTAATGAGAATTGGAAGCTTGTTACATATGAATTAAAATCGTAATAGGAGCAAGCCAGGAGCCTCAGTTTCAATTCCTCTCAAGTCCGTATTGCGCATGCGCAAATCATGTGTCAGTGAGTCAATTTGACATTAACCGTCTCAACCTTACATTTGTATATATTTTTTACGTACAGTGCACACATTTTGATCATGTGTTATCGGCGATAGTCTATGTCTTGTCCACTGCTTTTAATTTACTACTTGTACGACATCTATAAATGCATTACTTACCTTGATGAAATAAAACAAATATTTCATTCTATATTCTTGAAATACAAGTAACAGATTTTTACGGGGATATATTACTTTCGCCCTACGCGCCGATCTGCAAACTGAAACCCTTTCTATAACTTTACAAATTAAACTACATAACTAAACTTTGAAGTCCACAAAATTTGAGGCGAATTCTTGTGTTGTATTACATTGTAATTGTATTGTGTTGTGTTGTGTTGTATTGTATTGCATTATATTCTATTGTATCGCGTTGTATTGTATTACATTGTTCTTTATTTTATTGTATATTTATTGACTCATTTATATGAGAGAACATATTTTAATATACATTTATTTACACATAATTTGTTTTAGAAAACATAGAAATTGTACTACATCCTAGGACAAGATTAAATGATGGGATAAAATTATTGTTTTGGAAAACATAGAAATTGTACTGCAGTGAAACATTTCTTAGTGAACACCTCTCTCTAGTGAACACCTGTGTCTAGTGTAGTGAAGGTCCCTTCTCAGCACATACTCCACGACTTAAATATATAAAACCGCCCCTCTGTAAGTGAACACCTATGTTCAGTGAAAACACCTTTGTGGCTCCAGAGGTATTCATTGTACTAGGTTTTACTGTAAAGTCCAGTATATATTTTGCATGTTGTAGGTGTTGTCCAGGTGATACATGTATATGCAGGAATAGTTCATATCAAAGGCATTTCCACTCAGCGGTATTTAGGCATGGACGCGAGCAGCAACGTGATATCAACGGTAAATCATTCTGTTTTCAACCAGTTTAGCTTTACATACGACAAATACTCTAATGAAAGAATAGCTTGTCTGAATTATTCATTGAATAATTTAAAAATGATTTTTACACTCCTTGTTTTTAATCTTGAATACGAGGAGTAACGAAAAACTTTTGGGAATATTTGTCTAATTTTCAAAATCAGGTTTTGAAATATTTATATCTAGTTTTACTAAATTAAGTAATATTTACTACTTATATTACTAAAAACCCACACTGACTCTTACGAAAGGTAAATGGTCCATGTTCCATTTAAACTTACAGTGTACTATTCAACTGTAAAGTTGGTTTTAACTAAATTGAACCTTGTATCCAAGGTGAACTTTTCCAAAATTTAATTTCGTTCATTGCATTTTATTTTCTACTTGTATTTTGCAGCCTCACGTGACAGATGAAAACTTATTCATTCTCACAATCCATGAAAATAACTATACTTCACTTAAGTCTTATAAATATGGAGGTCACAACTGGTATTTAGGAATCAACAGACGAGGACGTATGATCAAAGGACGAAATACAGTATTTGGTACCAAGCCTACGATGTTTTTAATTGCGCCTCAACATTCTTGATCGATGCACCGAAAATCCAAACGCATTTAGGGTGTTCCTTGAATGGGCACTTCGAGTGTGTTTACCTGGACGTAATCAGTTTAAGAATAAATGGAACATTTGCAATTCTAGTATAGCACATCCTTGTTGTATGCAGCACGCATTAATAGCATGAATAGAGAATCAAGCTAAACGAGACGTTTTATGAGACCTTCGACGTGATAGTGAAATAATATATCCCCTTCGGCTCAATTGTTTTTTCCAGGGACAACTATTTTTCGGATACTCAATCGGGCAACTAAATACTACGAAGGAAAGAATTAATCCTTAGAAGTTCATAATTCTAGTAGCCCTCTTAAAATGTAAAGCTTAACCTCTCTAATATATAATATAGACTAAAAATGAATGTCAAGTTTTTTTTTATTAATTTCTGTACGACTGATGAACCCATATGACTGATTATTGCATTAAGAACATTTCCATTGACCCATGTTGTTGCATTGTAACCTCTCAATCTAAACACATTTGATCACCCAATTGGCAATTTGGACAAGTTTTACTGTAATCTAATCAGTGAACGGGTTTGCTTGGGGAAAAGCATTTTAACCCATACACTAATGTGTATTTAACAATGCTTAATTACTAAATAACAATCTGTTTGAAATAAATATTCAACATTTATTCGATATGTGCGACAACATTTGATTTTAGCTATAAACGCCAATAATCACACATTAATTGAGTTATTAATGTGCTGAATGATATACAGGCAAACCTTATGTCAAAAACCTCATGCTAAATGTCATAAGGCCAACAGACATATTAGTCTGCACTTTTGAATACTGCCCTTTGTGTTATTCACATTATTTATGCTTTTTCAATTTTGATAAGTTTTGCTTTAAGACCCTGTACTATCTACAACTGTTGTTAGAGTATATCTACTCTAACAAGTATTGATGGAGTATATCTACTTGAACAACTATTGATGGAGTATATCCACTCTAACAACTATTGTTAGAGTATATCTACTCGAACAACTATTGTTAGAGTATATCTACTCGAACTACTAATGGTAGAGTATATCCACTCTAACAACTGTTGTTAGAGTAAATCTACTCGAACAACTATTGTTAGAGTATATCTACTTGAACAACTATTGATAGAGTATATCCACTCTAACAACTATTGTTAGAGTATATCTACTCGAACAACTATTGTTAGAATATATCTACTCGAACTACTAATGGTAGAGTATATCTACTCGAACAACTATTGTTAGAGTATATCTACTCGAACAACTATTGTTAGAGTATATCTACTCTTACAACTATTGTTAGAGTATATCCACTCTAACAACTATTGTTAGAGTATATCTACTCGAACAACTATTGTTAGAGTATATCTACTCGAACAACTATTGTTAGAGTATATCTACTCGAACAATTATTGTTAGAGTATATCGATTCGAACAACTATTTTTAGAGTAGATAGTTCAGGGTCTTGAAGCAAGACTAACATTTGAGCAGCACAAATATATGGTGGATGGGTGTATATTCAACATGGCCCCTCCTAGTTTTAAATCGATGTTTTATATGTGGCAAAGTGACATGCCACAGCGCTATGTAGCATGATAGGTCCCTAGTTTTAGTACCTAATAATGAAGGGTCCCTAGTTTTAGTTCTCAAGAACGCAGGGGTGGTGCTGTAATCGTTTGAACAATTTCGCATTGCTATGCACACATGAATCTAAAAAGCAGGCCAGGATCCAAAATGTTCTCTTATGTTGTCTTGTTTCCATGGTAACAAATTTATGATATCTTGGTGGAAAACGTTTCAAATAATAAACTTCATGTTATGTTAACAATTATAACCGCCCTGAACAAATATGTGGAATTTGAAAAATTGATTTAACCTTTGCTGCATGAGCTATTTTGTTGTTTCATATCACAATGTATTAAAAAAGCATTATTCTCACTCAATGGATTTAATTGTTAAGCGATATAACTTTTGATTTCGAGCACTTCGATCCAAATGCTTCAAGTTAAAGTATTTACAGGGTGGGCCAAAACGTGCAGAAGTGACTATTTGCTATGAACACACAGAATATTTAAATGTGTCATCAAATAAAATAACTCAGGTGGGAGTAGGTAGTTTCCAGTTTCACCATCAGGTGGCTCGTTCTGACCAGATAGCAATATTTTCAAAGTTGATCAACAATTTTCGAAACCATATTTCTAGATGTACTTTTACTTTTACAAATATGACATCACTTTGACTGAATTTTGAATATTTAACGACGTAAATCTAGATTATTTCTACTAGCATCTAGTCTATTGAATGCTAGTATTTAATGGTTAAAATGTAAACCTCCTAAACTTAAACGAGATTTAAAAGCTGTTATAAGCAAATCTCATATTGTTTTACACAAACCTCTAAATAAGCCATGGAATTCAAAAATATAGTACCTTTAAAGTCAATAAAATTTGCATTTACACTCCAGTGTTGAGTTTTCTCTTTCACGTAAACAGCAATAAATTGGGCCAAAAAATGTCTCTGCTGATTGTTATATAGTATTGTATTGTAAGTAATATAACATTTGGCCCACCCTGTATATGTTTGTTTTGGTTTACATTGCATAATTGAATGGTGCATCTCTAGCGGAAATAAACTAGCAAAAAAACGTTGACATGTTGGTCCACCTTGTACATAGTCACGTAGTCAAGTGATTTACAAGCGTTGTATATACAGGGTGTCCATGAACTTTCTTTACAATTACAGTATAAAATCTCTGGCCCTTGTCAAGAGAGTTTATGGTCACCATGTACATCAATAACAGTACCCGTTCAGACCGGCAGACTAGTGACTTCATTCAAACAAAGTATACTGACTTAAATCAGTGATAGCTCGATTGATAAAACAGTAACAACACGCTTTATTGTTTCTTAATCGGTATCATTTTCACTTATCATTACAAGTTCGAGGTTTTATATTTATTGAACATCATTTGTACCAAACAAATGCAATATTGTAACACTAACAAAGTTCGAAATTGTACTGTAAATCTATCCCAAATTATTTCTCAGCCATGTCTTACTATTTAGTGGAATATCAAAGAAAACAGACGTATATGAGATATGAATAAATGCAAGTTGGTGCATGTTTGCATGTGGCTCCCAATTTGGAAAAATAAATGATTGTTCAATATATACGAAAACACAAAATTATTTTGGCTTTAAATATACTTTACATACTTAGAATAAAAATACTTTTGATTATGCTCAAACGTAGACTAATGGAAAATTAGACGGAAGGACGTCGTTTGCGCAAGAAGACGTCATTTGCACATGGATGACGTTATTTGCGCATGTTTCTGTTGACACTCTGAGACAGAACTCCAAATATATTGTGTCCCTTTGTAATTCTATGTGCTGGAACCTATACACAGTGAGAAAATCCAACGACCACAATAGGACGACATGGTAAGATGACACGACCTCCAAAATTCTGATTGGTCAGCGTCATGGAGATATGGGCAGAAAGAAGGCTGCCTTCCTTCCTCCCATACCTGTTCTACACCCGACCTTTTCAGCGCGTCCTTGACCTAGTGTGACGTCACTGTGTCTAATGCCCAAACACCAGTCCATGGCCGAATACTTATAGGATTTGTATGTGGAGTAAAAGTTACTCTCAATTCTTTCCAAGAATAATGTCTCTTCCGTTGCTTCAGTCTGAAAATACAAGCATCGTAATTTACGAGTCGCACAGTTTGAACTGTGTCTTTTTTTCAAACAAATAACTGCATTTTGTTTCTGATCCCACATTCCGAAAATTTGGAACAATTTGAATTTATTCATGAAAATTGCTTTGTATTTGTTGAACACGCCTCGGACATCAAACCAGCGTTTTATATTAAGAGGCATTATGTGACTAGTTTTACATTACAGATTGATTAATGCTATACCTGATTGATATATCCGGATCGTCAAATCATTAATAATAGTAATCAAGTAATGCATTGAAGAAATATGTTTGGATCATCAAATCATTGATCAAATTTAACATATCTGATAAATGTATTGTACATAAAATGAAAAGCAAAGTGACTACTTTACAAAGATGCTCTATTTACCGTTGATCGTAAACGCCCTCTGTGGTTTATAGAGATGTATCTCCCAGTAGTGACGCCCCTTAATCGAATAATTCCTGACGACACGTGTATTCTTTCAAGTAGGGCTGAAAGGCAAGGATGGAAAAATTAAAGTATTACCCTTTGCATTCGTTTGAGTTCGCTTCTTAAAAGAGAGCTTCGTCATCAGTAGTTTCACTAGACTCTGCGCGCAGGGTATTAAAGTATGATATATCTTGCATAAACACCTACATATACAAAGTTGGCCTTTTTAACTTTTCCATGTCATGCGATTACTTATACCAATTTAGTTAAAGATATATCATTATTTATAAATATAGGGGTTTGTTTTGCCTTCTGAAGTTGGTAAGGTGTATGTCCTCCTCTATTTGGCGCTATATTCTGAGAGAAATTAATAACCCATTCAAAACCCAATAAAACCCTTCATGCATACACTAAATCGGCGCGGCTTAACGCATTTTCCGACGCTTAAAAAACCTTTCATGCAGAATATGTACATTCATGCCCGCGATTCGTGATACATAACCGGATTTCATCATCCAATATTCAATATTCTGAATTGATAAATGTCATCCATTTTGATCACGACTCACCACTAAATATAGTTTAAATGATGAAATCGTGACTTCGAAAGTGCGTAGGCCAACATCATGACTTCTGTATGGTCCACTGCTTAGTAAAAACTGTTATACTGGTTCTTTGCATGATATTATTGCGTCTGAAATTTTCTGGAGCAGGGACATATTAATTGATATTTGTGATTTCAATTGTGTATTTCGATTAGGAGAACTCCAAAAACGTCAGAATTCATTAAAGTAACGATAAGACGGATTAATTACCAGCGTAATTACAAACAGCGATGCCACAAGATTCTGAGGTGACACACAACAATTGGTCTAAGACGGAGTATGAGAGTGGATTAAACGAAGCAAGTGATCCAATCGTCCAAAAACTAGCGTTTGAGAGAGGATTATACAAAGCAAGTAATCTAACCGTCCAAAGCTTGCGTATGAGTGAGTATAATCATACACAGCAAACGATCTAATTGTCCAAAACTAGCGTATGAGAGAGGATTATACAAAACAAGTAATCCAACCGTCTAAAACTGGCGTATGAGTGAGTATAATCATACACAGCAAACGATCTAATTGTCCAAAACTAGCGTATGAGAGAGGATTATACGAAACAAGTAATCTAACCGTCCAAAACTGGCGTATGAGTGAGTATAATCATACACAGCAAACGATCTTATTTTCCAAAACTAGCGTTTGAGAGAGGATTATACGAAGCAAGTAATCTAACCGTCCAAAACTAGCGTATGATAGAGGATTATACAAATCAAGTTATCTGACCGTCCTAAACTGGCGTATGAGTGAGTATGATCATACACAGCAAACGATATAATTGTCCAAAACTGGCGTTTGAGAGAGGATTATACATGTAGCAAATGATCCAATCGTCCAAAACTAGTGTATGGGGGAGGATTATACAAAGCAAGTAATCTAACCGTCCAAAGCTAGCGTATGAGTGAGTATAATTATACACAGCAAACGATCTAATTGTCCAAAACTGGCATTTGAGAGAGGATTACACATGTAGCAAGAGATCTAATCGTCCAAAACTAGCGTATGGGGGAGGATTATACAAAACAAGTTCTCTAACCATCCAAAACTAGCTTATGAGCCAGTATCAGTTTATACTGTTAACGATATGATTGTCCAAAACTGGCCTTTGAGAGAGGATCACACAAAGTGAGTTATATAACCGTCTAAAATCAGCGTATGAGAAAATATTAAAGAAAGCAGGTCATCTAACCGTCCAAAACTAGCGTTGGTTTGAGAGAGAAGATTATACAAAGCAAGTTGTAACCGTCAAAAAACTAGCATATGAGAGAGGATTACACAAAGCAAGTATTTTAATCGTTCAAAACAAACGTATGAGAGGAATTTACAAAGCAAGAGATCCAACCGTCCAAAACTAGCGCGTGAGAGTGCATTTTACAAAACAAGTGATCCAACCGTCCAAAAACTAGCCTATGAGAGGATTTTACCAAGCAAGTGATCCAACCGTCCAAAAGCTAGCGTATGAGAAAGGATTATACATTAAGCAAGTTATCCAACCTTCCAAAACTAGCGTATGCGAGAGAATTATACAAAGTAAGTTATCAGACCGTCCAAACTAACGCACGAGAGAGGATTTTACAAAGCAAGTTATCTAACCGTCTAAAACAAGTGTATGCGAGAGAATTATAAAAAGTAAGTTGTCTGAACGTCCGAAACTAGCGTATGAGAGAGGATTATACAAAACAAGCGACCTGACAGTCACAAACTAGCGTATAATTTAGAATAATACATAGCATAGTTGTATAAAGAGCAAATGAGTCTTTTACATTGTCCTAGGCTAAGGAATGAGAGAGGATTATACCTCGTCATTGTTTTAGGCTAAGGAATGAGAGAGGATTATACATTGTACATTGTATTAGGAATGAGTAAATGAATAGTCGAATAGTTGTTGATTAAAAAATGTTAACTTTTATTTGAAAAATGGCGGGAAATTTGCATATTTGAAAAATAAAAATCTTTTTTCCCTTAAATTGGTCACAAAAATAACTTTTAAAGTCATGAAAAATAGTAAATAAATGTTAAAACATATTTTCAAACTATAGATGGGGCCTTTAAAAAGCAAAATTAAACTATTGAAAAGAAAGGATATCGAAATGAAAACTGAATTTTGAAATTAACAACTGTGTAATAGATCATATAAATTGAAGATATATCCAAACCGGAAATGTTGATTTTTGAATGACAAGCACTTTTACATTATAGCTAGTACATCAAGGATTTGTATGGTCGTTTATAACACATCAAAGACCCGCCAGCGATTAATGATTAGTTTTTAGACAATTACTATCCAGTAATCTGTCTTATTGTCACTTCCTTACTATATATTTTCTTTATTTAGCCTTCATCCTAAATATGAATATACCTTGTCCTAAGGTCATCGTTTTTCAAGTGTTGCGTTTTGTATTTGAATGATAAATTGTAATTATATTTATTCTACATTTAAAGGGGCACTATATCCTAATCTCTCCATTGACATGGGTAAACGTTATCGTAATAGAAGAATAGAGAGGTTTCGCACAACGTTTTTAGCTCAAAATTAACGTATAACGCCAACGTATTCACTAGATTTACATTTTAGATAATCTCATGTACTGTGTGAAATCTCTTCATTGTCTCCAGATATGATACTATCAAACTAAATAATCCCGGGTGAATAATAGTCAGTTGAAAACTTCTGCATTAGGCCTTTTATTTTTACCTAATGCCAATATTTGCGGATAGATCAAAATCATTAAAAATAATTATATACTTGATTTGTTGCCTTATAGAATGAGGAATGAAATTAAATTACCTAGTCCCTTATTTGAAGCAAGTGTGCATGCGTGTTAATACTGTTACCCAAAACGCTTAAGATCATGCCCGTAACCAGCTTTTTGTAAGGGGGGAGGGGGGGGGGCTCACCCCAGGATTCCCCCCAGCCACAAATAAACTTTCCCCATGCAAAACCAATCCCCTTCGTAATGTGAAGGTTAGTGTCGAATCTGGAAGCTACCAGGGGGGACCCACATTTCAGTTGAGAAAATAAATGTCGGACCTCTAACCCCCCCCGAAATAGGGCCCGAATTTTGAAAATTTAAGGCCCATTTTTGGCTCATTTGGCCTAATTAATGCCCAAAAAGGTCAGGTAATGAAGCACTATAAAACTTTTGGGGCCATCCTACAGAGGGAGGCCCGGGCCCCATTGATCCCCCGGGATTGATCCCCACTGGATGGATCCGCCAGTGAAGGGTATGTTTAACAAAACACAAAGGACGATCCTGAAAATCCAGAGGGGAAGGGGCACCAAAAGTGGGCCCAAATTTTAAAAAAATAATGCAATAGGGCCTAATTAAAAAAAGTGCCCTGTAATGCCACTTTTTTTTTATCTAAATAGCCCCAGTTTATGTGGGTAAGAGCAGGGTTTCCTCCAAGAAAGCATAAAAGGCATGCAAGTCCACGTTTTTAAGAAATATCGGTGTGATAGGCCGGAAGGTTTATAAGCAATACCACTTTAACTACAAGGCCGCTTGCTATTTGAAAGTCAGACCAATAATTCTAAAATGTGTAGAAAACGTTCAATATTTTTTACCCTTAAACACAAGGTGTCAAACTGACACCGAACCAGAGAATTAATGTCAAGTATTGGCTTTCATACTTCACAATTTCATTAACCTCGCATGTAAAACATTTAAAAATCAATTAATCGGTAATTAGTTAAGTGGTGCAAACATGTTATTTTACATGGTCTGATGTTATTGTAAATATGTTTATCGAAGCGTGTCTATAAAGGGGCCCAACCGCCTAAAATTTAATATACTCCATTCTTGAAATATTCTTTTTCTAAATTGGTACATAAAACATAAGAGTATATCATGTTGATTACATTCTGATACTCATAGCACCTCTCTCTGTTGCATCGCAGATGCTCTCCAGAAGGACAGAGATGGAGAGGGCGTGGCTTACCAAGATGTGTTGATTCAAACTAACTAAAGACACTATATATATGTTTTCTAATCTTACAGCAACTTTGCGGGGAGGGGGGGGGGGTGTTAAATACAAAATTAACACATAATAAATATATCATGTTAATTCAAAATATCTAAATACAATGATCTTTCAGCAACTTTGGAAGGGGGGGGGGTGTTAAATACAAAATTAACACATAATGAATTTTTACTTTTGTTCTTTATAAATAATTGTTCTTCAATTCTATCCCTTTAGGTTTAGGCTCGACCAATGTGGTGCTTGGAGAACTAGGCACATGATTGGATCTCGTCTTCTTATCAAGATAGTAACAAATCCTCATTCAAGTACATTGGAATTTATCTACTAAGAGGGTCAAGGTGAATGGCAAAGTCTGTTGCCCATCTATCTTATTCTGCCCAGTAATATTGCATCATCTTTTAAAAAATGATATATTTTGATTTCATCATCTTGGCCCACTGGCACCCTGGGTCTAGCTGTCGAAAGTGCATCACGGAATGATAACGTGCTTTTGAACGCTGCAGCATTGCCTAGCAACGTTACGTATTGTTTATATTTTTGTATAGGGGTTTAAGGAAGAAAGCCTGGCAGAAGAAACAGTTATACGTAATATTGAATACGTTTCAATGAATTTTACGTTATACGTAAAGTTTATGAACAAAGTCAGCGACATTTCAAGCATTGTGGGCTAGATATAGATTCTCTTACGGGAGAAAATAGGACTATTAACTGATAACATCGAATAACATAATCTTATATAGGCCTAAGATTCTTACCAAACAACAAACAAATAAAACAAGCAAGCAAACAAATAAAACAAGCAAGCAGACAGATGGACAAAGTTCAGGTCACCGTATGTTAATCATTCAGTACGAAGAGCATTAACTATTCAATGTAAAAACGAAACGTTAGATAATAGAGTTCCTACACACGGTCAACGTATAGTGTAAGCACGACAGAGGCATACGTGTATATAAAATCCCCGGATAAAACCTCGCCGAACAAGTAAAAACTATAAAGTAAAAGTTTTTGCACGCAATGGTCAAATAAGCTTAGAGCCAGTCTATGTTTACAATGACGTAAACGTCAGGATGACGTATGAGTTACTTCATGCTGAGTGTCTCCAACCTACCATATCTGCTCGGCCTCGAATGGCCTGTTATTCGTCCATTCGGTAAGATAACCAAATTGTATCCTGTCGAAGACATAAAATATTTAGTGTCACTAAGACGAGGAAGATTTCGTTTTAAGCGTCTCTTTGGTGTACCGGGGCCCCATTTTGGGCCGTAAACATTATTTCTACGTAGCCGTAACGTAAACGTTCCCGTACTACTCGCTAAAGCGTCTTTGGTCATAGCTGCCTGTTTTAACACTGGTATATTAAAATTCTTGGTTGATTTACACATAATTTGTGAACTAAGTTGTATCATCCAAATAATTTGTATTAAAATCCAGTGAGCGTTCATTCCAACAAAACACGTTATATGCACGTGTCATTCTGTTCTTTGCAGATCTTAATAAAATATATCCGATATTTTGATTGTATCCCTCATTTAGATGATCTTCAGCTACAATTGCTACAATTGAAATACATCTTTATGGTATTGACAGAACAACAGCACACCCACAATCAAGTCTGCACATATATCGCGAAGTACTACAACCACGTTGCTATATTTGTTCATTGAAACAACTAAACTCTTTTCATTCAAACTTGATTTTTTCCAGCCAGTAAAATTGACACTCATCGTTCAAGTCCTTAGATGTGTCAAATCTTTATGATTTTGTCACTTAATTTTTCTTGTGTTTAATAAACTCTATTAATCATTCTTTCAAATAGAGTTTAACAGTCTCGAGTCAGTGGTAATGTATCCAATTAACGGCAGTTTTAATATTAATATCTAGTCAATGGATTCGTCGATTTGCTTTTTGCAAATATTTCACATGGTAAGATGTTAAGGTGTTAAAATTAAGAATATTCATAGTATATACTTGTCTTTAGTCCCATTGCGCATGCGCCATTTGTTTCTGATTTATGGCAATATGTTTAATAGGATCATATTCTAACACATTTATGACCTTTAAAATGTTAAAATGTTGTTTTTCAATAACGACAATGGATAATCAATTTAAAAATTAAAGGTAGTACCAAATCAAAAAATGATTAAAAATTGTTTCTGAAAAAAAGATGTCTTTTGTATTTGTATGTGAGCGACTGCTGCATCTTATCTGTGTGTGAAACCTTCGTGCAAAGTAGTACGAATTGTAATCAAGGTACGATATGAAACTTCACTTTTTAAATTCAAAAGTGTATTTAACAACGTTTTAATTCGAAAATGTTGACAAAAATAATGATTTGAGGGTCATTGAACTAGATGGGAATGCAGCGGCCCTGATGAGTTGAACTCATTCTATATCAGATTTATAAATAAAGACCCTACATGTACATCAATGCATCTAATACTGTAACCGATAATGATATCAGAGCAAAAGGTACATCCTGAACGCTATCAACAGGCGCAAAAATTTTGAAAATCGTCTGGAAAATCGGAAAAATTGACCCTCTAGCAGGGAAAATAGTTCTGAGATAAATATATTTCAAATACAAACATTCTTGAAAGAACGAGAAATCACTTATTAGTGTGCACGACAAGGTTTGCAATAGGCTCTTTTAACGGTACGATACAATAAGTAGCTTTTGCCGGGGAGGGGATAACAGACATACAGGTGTAAAAGAAATTATGGTCACCCGGGGATTATGGTCCCCTTTCCTTACGGCCCTTACTGGCCCTGACTGTGTATAAATAATAAGGAAAATAATTGTAATTAGGTCACCATATAAATCAATAGAGAGTAGGACCAAAATTTGATAGGACCATCCACCCTTTTACACATGATCAAAATAGAAAAAATCAAGAAAAAAAGTTTTGCAATCTTTTACGATCTCTTTTTTCCCAAAAGTGATATTCTTAACGCGAATATCTTCATTTAATGCCCAGTAGAGTTTTAGGGAGAAAAGTTGGTAGGATATATCCCGTATCTTAATTTTGGCATATTTTTCCACTTTCGGTTATTCAAAGAACCTTCTGGATATATGATACATAGAGTATATCCTATGATTTTTGAGGTATAGTAATTTTATTCATGAGAGCATATGCCCATCAACAAGCGGAGTGTATCTTCAACAATCAACAAGCGGAATGTATCGTCACATTATCCCTAAAAAGATATGCATATCTAGCTGAGGGACCGTAAACCCCATATCCAAAACCTCCTTGAACATAACCCATATATACGCGTACATTAAACTCCATCAAAACTTACTTTGAACGTCGCCAAGAAAATTTTGAGTGCCATCAAGTATGATTTTGAAGATTAACTTGGAACACCTTATGGTTTTTATTTTTTATAGATTTCATAAAAAAAGAAAAACTTCTCATGAAAGCTTTCTTTCATCTTTTACTTTACCTAGATATTTGCGAACTGTTGGTTTCGTTATAGTCATTATCGAGATATTCTCGGTACACCCATATAAGTTTGGGAACCAGATGTCAAACTTATGGAGAGGAGTGTATGATATAAAATCAATCAAATACGGAGTCAATAATACCATCGATTCTGTATTAACTCTTAATTTGCATTACTGACATATAAAATATATCATTGCAATCATAATTGGTGTAGTTAACAATTAAAATACTTATTGAAACTTATTAAAAATAATCAGTCTAGAGAACAGGAAGCAGAACAAGGTTAATTGATGGGAATCACATTCATTAATATTGCCAAAGTGGTTATATATCAAAAGAAAAGTGCAGTGAAAAATATAACAAACTAGAAAACGGCAACTCCACGGAGTAGCAAATTCCAACGAACACTATAACATATATGAATCTGTATTTGTCGCAAAAATATAAACATTGGAGTTTTGAATTCCAATTTTGAAAGCATTTGGGTGACCATTTAAGAGTTTTAAAGGCACAACTGATAAATGACAATTTGAATTTTCTGAGGCACAAATCAGGAAAACAATACCAAAATAGTGATCTGCCCTAAATTTCCTTCAACTAGAGTATAATATAGCCATACTTTGAAGGGAAAATTATTTCGAAATTCCACATAAGGCGGCCATTTTGAATTTTACGAAGCCCAAATTACAAAACCGATACAATATTTGCAATTTAATCTAAATTGCCTTTCATTTGAGTATAATAAAGCTATACTTTAGAAAGATCTCAAAATCAACGCAAATTCTCCATTTTCCCGAACTTTCATACACTGGCCCCTGGGAGTCATGTTGAAAAACTCGGAATATATATAAAACAGATAGATGTAATAAATATTCCTACTAAATTTCAAACAATAATATTTCTTACTTTGCTTTTTAAACTGAAAAACTTAAGATTTTCACAAAAAAATTCCCGCCATTTTCAAAGTAGAGGCCATCTTAGATTTTTTGTTGTTGCGCACAACTATTCATCAATATACATCTTTCCACTAAATATGAAGAAAATCCGTCTACTAGTATAGTAATCAAGTGATCTTCCGGGCGGACGGATGGAGGGCTTCACCATATCCCTACCGAACTTCGTTCGTTGGAATAATTAATCAAGAATCCAAGTTAATAGTTATTAAATATAAGGATAAAATAAAAAGGAAATATGTCAAATAAGAAAAAATTAGAAAAAAGAAACTGTGTCAAATATGGAGAAATGAGAAATAAAAAGAATATAAAGAAATTTAAAAAAAAAGAAACGGTACCAAATATGAAAAAATGAGTAAAAACCAAGTTCAATAACTCGCTCGCATGACAATGTCATTGAATTGATGACATTAAAACTGACCTTGTAAGTGCAATGAGTAATAAGTCTGCGTAGGCGATAAGGTCAACTTATAATTACAATTTACAACACATGCACATATATTCAAGGTTGGTCAATGTCCAAGCCCCCAGCCACAGTAAACTAGTTCTCACTACGTTCTTAAAGGAATCCAACACCTTACAAAACTTCTTAACGGAGAAGAATAAGGGAAAATGCTTGCCGGATTCTGAATCTGTGTATTTTTTAATGATTTTTCACCGTCTTAGAATTTCAATTTTTTTCCTTTGAAAAAATGAGATTTGCATTGTTTTCCAATTAGACAAATGAGTAAACATGAATAGCTCGAAATCTAACGGTGAGATTTTGTTTTAAAAATCATGGATATCAAGGCTAAATATAGCTATACAATAAACATAAAAAAGCAATGCTTGGACTCTTCATATTCACACAAAAAATTAATTAGTAAATGAGGTTTGATATTTGTGAGAATAAGTTGTACGAGTCGCAATGCTCTACAAACACCAGACTACAGGGTGGATTAGGATCAATGACACACATAAAAATTAATTTAAAAATATTTCATGATAATTATCTCAAACAAAAGCAGTTAGCGAAGGATACATTTCATTACACTCAATAAATAGTTATCACTTTTGACTATATATACATATCTCATGAGAATGTATTTCCATCTGCTCAAGATATCATATTTTAGCTTCGAAAATCACAATCGTTGGATAATACATTTGTCTCAGAATGATAGGCCACCCTGTAGCAATGTAGCTTTCACTTGAAGTGTACCCTTGAGAATAATGAACTTACTTTCAAATTGGTCTTGCTTTTGTGGTGTATGTGGCTTTTTAGCAAATCTGCCACGCTCATTTCTTTCCAGAACCATCTTGTTCACATGTAACACTAGGCTATACGCGCATGTATAGACAGATGACATAGATATACATATAAATTATATATTGCACCTGTATTTATGCATGAACATATATTTTCATCTTATATATGACTTCAAGCTAACATATTATTTCATATTTATATTTTCATAGTTAGTCTAACATAAATAATAGATCCATGAGAACAATATTCTTTGTTTTCTTAAAAATTGATGGGTTTACTGTGAATTCAATAAATTACAATTTGCAAGGGGTAAGTATACTGTATGACCTTATTGCAAAGTACTGTTTATATATGCAGCTCAATAGCATAAAATATGTTGAATGAAGCATATGGTATGGATTAGTCGTGTGACACACAAACTGACCAATACATAAGGGTATTAGCTACTTTTCACAGAAACCAAAGGAGGACAGTGCTTTTATTTCAACTGGGAGCTTACCTCCACACGACTGATCATGTGACCATGGTGTTGGGTCCCTTTAAAACGAACGAACGAGCTTAAATTGTGTACGAACGGATCGGACGTAGATGGAATTTTTAAGATCTTTTGGACTTGCATGCCCTGACAAGAAGACGCATGCTCATAGTTTTCTGACTGCTTTTCTCTTTTGAAATAACATTGAGTGACAACATACTTAAAATAACGGGATGAACATACAATTAACGTAAATGAGGTGTTCCTTACAGAAAGGCGTTCCACTGGACAGGTTTTAAATATTTTATAAGTATATTCTCCTCACATTTGATAGCCACAACACAACTTAACATGTTGAAATGCAGCAAGATATCTACGTTGACGTTTATTCCAGTAAAAAAGATTATGTCCCAATATTACACCACCCAAAATCAAGTCATAGTTGTTACTTCATTGCGTTAACTCCTGCAAACCAAGAAGGATAAATGATGCATTGTAAATGATAAATATAAATGTGCATGAGATATACAATCTGTTATCTGCATACATATGTGTGACCAGCACCAGTATAAGAGTACATGTACATAAGATAATATGTAATGATAACATGTACATAAGATAATATGTCATGATAACATGTACATAAGATAATATGTCATGATAACATGTACATAAGATAATGTCATGATAACACGTACATAAGATAATATGTCAAGATAACATGTACATACGATAATATGTCATGATAACATGTACATAAGATAATATGTCAAGATAACACGTTCATAAGATAATATGTCATGATAACATGTGCATAAGATAATATGTCAAGATAACATGTACATAAGATAATATGTCATGATAACATAAGATGAAAATATGAATAACAAGGCATTAACATGACAAAATGTCACCACCTAGTTGCTCATAATATTATGAGTATCGTAAGTCAGATTTGATCTTCTGATAACTTGTAGATGATTTTGAAAAAAAGGATTGGTCAATTTGTAGCAAGATGAAAAAAGACCTTTTTGACCTTGAGAAGGTCATTGAAGGTCAAATCTTTTTGAACTTGAGATTGTCATTGAAGGTCCAATCTATAGTCAGATTTGATCTTTTGAGAACTTATCAATAATTTTGAAAAAAAATTGGTCAATTTGAAACAAGTTAGAAAAGTACCTTTTTGACCTTGAGAAGGTCATTGGAGGTCAAACCTCAGATCTAAAGTCAGATTTGAACTTCTGATGACTTGTAGATGATTTTGAGAAAAAAATTGGTCAATTTGAAGCAAGTTGGAAAAAGACCTTTTTGACCTTTTTTGATCTTGAGAAGGTCAAATCTTAGCTATAAAGTCAAACTTGAACTTCTGAAAACTTGTAGATGATTTTAAAACAAATTTAAGTCAGTCTAAACAGTATTTGTTAAGTTATTGGAAGTTGTAAGAATTTGTTACAGATCACCAACCGCCAACTAACAACCGCCGTCAAAAAAACGTAAACCATAACAATATGTCACCACTTTTTGGTGGTGACATAATAAAAATCACACACTTCCGGGATATCCTATCTCTTATGAGTGATACAATTGTTATCCACCAATGGATATGATATCTACACGAGCAAGTATTTACTCCATACTTAAATGGTTCGCCATGCTCCAAATCAAATTCTCAAAATGTCTGATTGACCATTGTTACCTCCAGCCTCGTTCTGGCAAAATCTTAGTTATCATTGTATATGAAACACCAACTGCCAAACACTGGCAGTGGTTGTGACATAAAAACCAATGAGGATTGGCTCCCAGAATCGATCCTTGATATTTTCCAACAATGAAAACGTCGAAATGTCGTTATTTTCTGAAATTAAAACCGACTAAAAATTCAAAATAAACAATTCAAAAGTGTCAAACCAATATTTTGATCATTTTTTGTGAGTTTTGGAATTTTTTGTTAGGAAATTCAAGATACAAATTTTGAAGTGAACAAAATGCTGGCTGTTTGAATTCGAATTTTGTATCACAACATGCCCATATATGGAATATATATGGAACAGAATGCTGATGTTGCATTCTGGGAGCCAATCCTCCTTGCATAAAAACTAAATATTGGTTTGATTTTTGAGAAACATAAACATTTTATGCCTCTGTATCATTCTATTTAAAACAATTATACAAAATGTCAAATGCAAAAGAGCTTAATATACACTTTCTGATCAGAACAATTAATTAAGCATGGCTCAATATTTTCAACCAATCAAATAACATATTCACTGTTCATTGTTATTACATTATTCCGAGGCCAGGCTGAACTCAATCTGTAGTTTAATTTATCAGGAAGCGAGGTGACCAGCACCAATTTTTAAATGCATTAATTAACATTTAATGATCTACATATTTTACAGTCTTGCACCAAGACCCAGACCCCCTCCCCTATTAACTTTACACCAGGAGGTGTTGTGTTGGAGAAGTATATAAGAGGGGGAGGGAGGGGGATAACAGTCTTGAAGCAAGACTACATATTTTAATATATATCCCATAGTGATGAGTTACATAGCAACAATATGCCAATGAAATATATAAATATGCCAATGAAATAAATGAATATGCCAATGAAATAAATGAATATGCCAATGAAATAAATGAATATGCCAATGAAATATTAATAAGGCAAACATTTCATTCCAATTTTTGGGAATACCTATGCCACTTTCAATATAATATTCTCAATTCACATTACTAAAACCTGCAATTAAACTGACAAGATATAACACCTTTCAGATAGAAAAATATCTTTTTCATCCCTTGAGCATTAACTATAATTTATATGTACATGTACATATTATTTATATATTCAGTATAAGTGTGTCAACATTGAATATAAGTGTAATCCACTGTTTATATGCATTATACACATGAACAGTAACTATTTTGTGTACACATTCATGTCTAATGTAAAGTACATTAGAAATGATTAAAAAGTACATGAAAAGATAACAAAATAATTAGAAAGTACATGAAAAGATAACAAAATAATTAGAAAGTACATGAAAAGCTAACAAAATAATTAGAAAGTACATGAAAAGATAACAAAATAATTAGAAAGTACATGAAAAGCTAACAAAATAATTAGAAAGTACATGAAAAGATAACAAATTTAAGCACCTGTGCCATTATATTCCTTTAAAACCAATAGCAGTAATATACGTAGTGTGATATAAGAGCTCACTGTTTGTTTTCTGCCTTCAAGTTGAGGCACATTCCCCTGTAAAAACCTGAGCCTCTGTGAATGTGTGAATATTTTGTCAAATTGAGGCACATTCCCTGTAAAAACCTGAGCCTCTGTGAATGTGTGAATATTTTGTACACTTTGATGTTTAATATCCTAAATTGAGAACTAGGCCCCTTTATACATGACACCATATACAGTATGTAGTTTAACAGAATAAAAAACAGAGCAGTGAATAGAAAACCAGTTATTGAATAATGTTTTGAGGAAATACCTGGGTCAATTTCAAAAGTAATATTCCCCTCACACTGCTCTCATTTTTGGGAATATTCCCCTCACACCCCTTTCATCAGGGAATGTTCCCCTCAAGACTTCTGCCATGAGGGGATATTCCCCTCAGACTCCTGTTATTAGGGAATATTCCCCTCACACACACTCTTGTCATTAAAGAATATTCCCCTCACACCCCTGGCATCAGGGAATATTCCACTCACACTCCTGTCATTAGGGAATATTCCCCTCACACTCCTGTCATTAGGGAATATTCCCCTCACACTCCCGTCATTAGGGAATATTCCCCTCACACTCCCGTCATTAGGGAATATTCCCCTCACACACACTCTTGTCATTAAAGAATATTCCACTCACACTCCTGGCATCAGGGAACATTCCACTCACACTCCTGTTATTAGGGAATATTCCCCTTACACACACTCTTGTCATTAAAGAATATTCCCCTAACACTCCTGGCAATAGGGAATATTCCACTCACACTCCTGTTTGAGAGGAATATTCCCCTCACACACACTCTTGTCATTAAAGAATATTCCCCTCACACCCCTGGCATCAGGGAATATTCCACTCACACTCCTGTCATTAGGGAATATTCCCCTCACACTCCTGTCATTAGGGAATATTCCCCTCACACTCCCGTCATTAGGGAATATTCCCCTCACACTCCCGTCATAAGGGAATATTCCCCTCACACTCCCGTCATTAGGGAATATTCCCCTCACACACACTCTTGTCATTAAAGAATATTCCACCCACACTCCTGGCATCAGGGAACATTCCACTCACACTCCTGTTATTAGGGAATATTCCCCTCACACACACTCTTGTCATTAAAGAATATTCCCCTAACACTCCTGGCATTAGGGAATATTCCACTCACACTCCTGTTATTAGGGAATATTCCCCTCACACACACTCTTGTCATTAAAGAATATTTCCCTCACACTCCTGGCATCAGGGAATATTCCCCTTACGCTCCTGTCATTAGGAAATATTCCACTCACACACACTCTTGGCATTAAAGAATATTCCACTCACACTCCTGGCATCAGGGAATATTCCCCCTCACTCCTCTTATTAGGGAATATTCCCCTCACACACACTATTGTCATTAAAGAATATTCCCCTAACACTCCTGGCATTAAATAATATTCCACTCACACTCCTGTCATTAGGGGATATTCCCCTAACACACACTCTTGTCATCAAAAAATATTCCCCTCCCACTCCTGTCATTAGGGAATATTCCCCTCACACACACTCTTGTCATCAAAAAATATTCCCCTCCCACTCCTGTCATTAGGAAATATTCCACTCACACACACTCTTGGCATTAAAGAATATTCCACTCACACTCCTGGCATCAGGGAATATTCCCCCTCACTCCTCTTATTAGGGAATATTCCCCTCACACACACTATTGTCATTAAAGAATATTCCCCTAACACTCCTGGCATTAAATAATATTCCACTCACACTCCTGTCATTAGGGGATATTCCCCTAACACACACTCTTGTCATCAAAAAATATTCCCCTCCCACTCCTGTCATTAGGGAATATTCCCCTCACACACACTCTTGTCATTAAAGAATATTCCCCTCACATTCCTGGCATCAGGGAATATTCCACTCACACTCCTGTCATTAGGGGATATTCCCCCTAACACACACTCTTGTCATCAAAGAATATTCCCCTCCCACTCCTGTCATTAGGGAATATTCCCCTCACACACACTCTTGTCATTAAAGAATATTCCCCTCACATTCCTGGCATCAGGGAATATTCCACTCACACTCCTGTCATTAGGGAATATTCCCCTCACACACACTCTTGTCATTGAAGAATATTTCCCTCACAATCCTGTCATCAAAGAATATTCCCCTCCCACTCCTGTCATTAGGGAATATTCCCCTCACACACAATCTTGTCATTAAAAAATATTCCACTCACACTCCTGGCATCAGGGAATATTCCCCATACACTCATCAGGGAATGTTCCCTTGCACACTACTGTATCAGGAAATATTACTTGTGAAAGATGCAGACATGGAACAGAATAAAATATCTGTATATTTCACTATAAATGATGTTGAACAGGCATCATATTTTATATTCATCTGGCTTTGGAGACTCTGGCAGAGGCGTAATAATTTCTATATAATTCACTGGGAAATTACCAGTGTCATTGTCAATTGTTCCTTTCATCCATTCTGCATTAACATGTTCCAACAAATACACAGTCTGGCCAACTGACATTGAAAGTTCTCCTTCTGCTTCTGCTGTGAAATCATAAACCACGCGTCCTTGAGGAGTCACTATCGGTCTCTCAGGGGTCTTAATTCGACTATTAGAAGAGGTCCTTATGAGACCACTCGATGGTGAAGTCTCTTGTGGTGAAGTTTTCTCGATCTCAACAAAGTTTTTTGGAAAAACACCACTTCGAGATCCAATTGTTCCTGATAACCAATCATCATCAATTTGTTCATTCACTGCGATCCTATCACCAGTGTTGAAGCTTAGATCAGAATCGGATTGTGCTTCAAATGGAAATGTTGCTATTGCGTAATATTGCACCTCCTGGAAATATAAAGGCAGCATATATATTTTCTTATACTTTCTCGCAAGAATATACTATAGTCACTCCTTGTCATAAAATTGTCATATCAGATTTTTATGTCAAAAAATCTATATTTTGGTGAAGGTACTTATTACATATACATGTATCATAATAGTAAAATTCCTGAAAATTTATGACATCCCATAAATGATAGAAAATGCCAGATTGAATGTAACATCACAAGCTGAACATCAAAAATCTTGAGGTCATTGGAGAAGGTGATCTTAATCTTATCATAATCCATCCCTTAACCATCTCACCTCATCATTCATTCTTTTATCTCATTTCATCCAATGGCAAAGTAAAATTGTGCCAAGACTACATACCGTTACTTGGGTTTGTTTCAGTATTAATGCTTTTAAATTAGAATAGAATTGTTTTATCCTTGGTTTAAAATTCACATTAAGCTAAAACTTCTTGCTCTTGAGTTTACCTTTTTGTTTACATCCTCTTCAAAAGGTGGGGCTGTATTGTTATCACATGATGGTAGGTTTTCTGGAATGTCACCAATGAAGGATGCTGGGAAGATACCAGTTGTGCCACCTATCTTACCAGTTAACCAATCAGAATTGACCTGGTTTATCACAGATATTTCGTCCCCAGCCTGAAAGTATTTTAGACTTTAGACAAGATAATATGATTTGAATTTGTATGTTTATTCAAACACACTGAATTCAACAAACTATCTTGAGTCAATGTTCCAAAGAAGATATATTATTATAGACCGTTACAGACTAAAATAATTTAAGTTTGTTCATAATTACCTTGAATGTTAATTCCCCATTTTCTCCATCAAAGTCAAATAAGGTCTTCATCACAATGTGGCCATCTAAACAAGAGAGCGAGCACTACATTGTACAATGTCAATTAAAACACGCAAACGTTAGAATAAATTGCTTTTAAAGTCAAATAAGGTCTTCATCACAATGTGGCCATCTTAACAAGAAAGTGAACATTCCATAATTGTACAATGTCAATTAAAACATGCAAATGTTATAATAAATTGCTTTTAAAGTCAAATAAGGTCTTCATCACAATGTGGCCATCTAAACAAAAGAGCGAGCACTACATTGTACAATGTCAATTAAAACATGCAAACGTTAGAATAAATTGCTTTTAAAGTCAAATAAGGTCTTCATCACAATGTGGCCATCTTAACAAGAAAGTGAACATTCCATAATTGTACAATGTCAATTACAACATGCAAATGTTATAATAAATTGCTTTTAAAGTCAAATAAGGTCTTCATCACAATGTGGCCATCTTAACAAGAAAGTGAACATTCCATAATTGTACAATGTCAATTACAACATGCAAATGTTATAATAAATTGCTTTTAAAGTCAAATAAGGTCTTCATCACAATGTGGCCATCTAAACAAGAGAGCGAGCACTACATTGTACAATGTCAATTAAAACACGCAAACGTTAGAATAAATTGCTTTTAAAGTCAAATAAGGTCTTCATCACAATGTGGCCATCTTAACAAGAAAGTGAACATTACATAATTGTACAATGTCAATTAAAACATGCAAATGTTATAATAAATTGCTCTTAAAGTCAAATAAGGTCTTCATCACAATGTGGCCATCTAAACAAGAGAGCAAGCACAACATTGTACAATGTCAATTAAAACATGCAAACGTTAGAATAAATTGCTTTTAAAGTCAAATAAGGTCTTCATCACAATGTGGCCATCTAAACAAGAGAGCGAGCACAACATTGTACAATGTCAATTAAAACATGTAAACGTTAGAATAAATTGCTTTTAAAGTCAAATAAGGTCTTCATCACAATGTGGCCATCTAAACAAGAGAGCGAGCACAACATTGTACAATGACAATTAAAACATGTAAACGTTAGAATAAATTGCTTTTAAAGTCAAATAAGGTCTTCATCACAATGTGGCCATCTTACCAAGAAAGTGAACATTACATAATTGTACAATGTCAATTAAAACATGCAAATGTTATAATAAATTGCTTTTAAAGTCAAATAAGGTCTTTATCACAATGTGGCCATCTAAACAAGAGAGCGAGCACTACAGTACAATGTCAATTAAAACACGCAAACGTTAGAATAAATTGCTTTTAAAGTCAAATAAGGTCTTCATCACAATGTGGCCATCTAAACAAGAAAGTGAACATTACATAATTGTACAATGTCAATTAAAACATGCAAATGTTATAATAAATTGCTTTTAAAGTCAAATAAGGTCTTCATCACAATGTGGCCATCTAAACAAGAGAGCGAGCACTACATTGTACAATGTCAATTAAAACACGCAAACGTTATAATAAATTGCTTTTAAAGTCAAATAAGGTCTTCATCACAATGTGGCCATCTAAACAAGAGAGCGAGCACTACATAATTGTACAACGTCAATTAAAACATGCAAACGTTATAATAAATTGCTTTTAAAGTCAAATAAGGTCTTCATCACAATGTGGCCATCTAAACAAGAAAGCGAGCACTACATAAATGTACAATGTCAATTAAAACATGCAAACGTTAGAATAGTATCAATTAATCAAACTATCAATTAATTTCATGATCATGTGGAATATGTCCTACATTGTTGCTAGGTTACATGAGGTCAAGGTCAAAGTGCTATCAAAGATGGCATATTCTCGATATTATGAGATAACATTAAAACATATCTATCTGATATAATTCCAAATTTCATCAAACTTTATAGAAAATATTAAAAGCAAAACTGATCGAATACATAAAATAAAGTATTTTAAAATACATTTGATGCTCCTTTAAATTCTGAAATCGTGGCTGGTTCAGGACTTCATAAGGCCGACTGAAATTTGCTAAAGTTATTGGCTGGCATAGTTTCAAAACTAAGCTATCCAAACTTAGAATCGATTTTAAATCATACCTACCCTTCTTAAAAAGATCATTATTCTTTTCACTTGCTTTCATATTTGCAATAGATTGGTCCCCACCTTTGTCACCAACAACAGGGGGATCATCGTCCCAAGCAGTCAAAGCCTGATCCAAAGCATGAATTGCTGCAGATTCTTGTTGATCTGGATTAGCACCCTCATTTGTTGGCAAATCTTCAATAATTTCAACAAAAGTCACTGGAAATAGTCCCGTCTTGCCATTTAGTTCTCCCTTCAACCATTCATCACCTGAACGTTCCATTAACTTAATGACGTCATTTTCCATGAATGATAAATCACTGTCGTTTTCACCTTCAAAGTCAAATCTTGCCATGCAGCGTGGTCCTGATATTTGATCAGATGCGGTTGGCGTTGTCGTTTTTTCTGCTTGTATTTTGACAGCTTCTGTATCCTGCAAGAATGGAATTATTTTCTTGACTTGTATTTGTGGCAAATAACTTTTAACAACAGATAAATGTTCAATTCTACCACTGATATTTCAAGTAAAGTAGACTTGCTGTAATAATACATACTACAAATGATATTACTGTGCCTTTGTGGTACCTAACCAGACTTGCCAACCTCTCGTTTTTTTACGGGAATCTCCCATAAATTTTTTGTTCTTCCGTAAAAAATACCAAACTCCCATACTGTTTTCTCCCGTAAAAACTCCCGTACTGTATTTCCACTAAAATCTCCCATATTTTTTTAAAAAAATATGGCCATAAAATCTCCCGTATTTTTGCTGAAATCTCCAGTAAAATCTCCCGTATTCTGGTGTAACTCCCGTAAAATCTCCCGCATTCTTGGTATAACTCCCATAAAATCTCCCGTTTTCTGGTATAACTCCCGTAAAATCTCCCGTATTCTTGGTATAACTCCCGTAAAATCTCAGTTTTGCTGTCGAAATCTACCGTATTTAAAAGGAATTTGACAAATTTGTGACCTTGATTATTGCAGGCACGCTTCTTTCTTTTACTCCAAGAAGGATTGGCTCCCATGGTTCACTATCGATACTTTCATAAATAACTTAAAAGAACTTCATTCCCATGATTCAAATTGCTTTTCTGCGATCAGTTCGGTATACGTTTGTACACCAAATGTCCACAAACGGGGGCCAGTTCATATTCTGTCATACTTCTGTCGGGAGAATACATTTTGTTTTTATATGGCGCTAAACAAAATATTCCCGCAATATAAGGCGCATTATGGATAGGGACTGCTGTGAAATAATGAACGTAAGTGACATCTATCTTAGATTATAAGTTCTAATTAATTTATTTACTGCGCATGTGTCAATAATTTCAACCAATTAAATCACTGGATTTAATGCTCATGCGCGAGAAACCAAACCTAAAAATGGAACCTCACGCAGATTGCCCTTAGCATATAGTGAACGCCACATATACATTTTACTTAGCTTTGATAAATTTGTTTCCAAAGTAATAAAACACTGTTTTTCCCGTTTTGTCAAAATCTACCGTAAAAACTCCTGTTTATTCAAAATCTAAAGTAAAAACTCCTGTTTTTTCATAAATCTACCGTAAAAACTCCTGTTTATTCAAAATCTACCGTAAAAACTCCTGTTTTTTCAGAAATCTACCATAAAAACTCACGTTTTTTTCAAAATCTACCGTAAAAACACCCGTTTTTTCAGAAACCTACCGTAAGAACTCCCGATTTTCCGAAATCTCCCGTAAAAACTACTGTTTTTTTTCAAAAATCTCCCGTAAAAACTCCCGCTTTTTTTCAACAAACTCCCGCAAAAACTACCGGATTTTGAAAAAACTCCCGTAAAGGTACCGCAATTTTTTTAAATCTCCCGAAAACTTTTCATTTTAGGTTGGCACTTCTGCTAACTCAAGACTAAAGCTCAAATGTCCAGTACTACCCAAGGAGGATTGGCTTCCAGAGTGCAACATCAATATTCTGTCCCATATATGAGCATGCCGTGATACAAAATTCAAATTCAAACAGCTGCCATTTTGTTCCCTTCAACATTTGAGTTGTGAATTTTTGTCTTATTTTCTAACGAAAAATTCCCAAACTCATAAGAAATGATCGAGATATTGCTTCAAATCTTTTTAACTGTTTATTTTGAATTTATAGTCAGTTTTTATTATCAGAAAATAACAACATTTCAATGTTTTCATTGTTGGAAAATATCGAGTTTCGATCCTGGGAGCCAATCCTCCTTGAGAATTTCCACGGTTTCCAGTCAAATGCTTATTTTGGATAAGAGAACAATCCAAAGTAGGCCACCTGAAGATTTGTTTATCTAATATTGCTTCTAAATTTTCCAGAATTGCTCAATAATACAGTACATACAAACATTAGGGAGGTAAAGTTACACTTTTTTATAAAATTTGTACGTAACGTGAATGTGTAGAACTATAGTTCTCTGTGGATCAGTTTCCCCATTTGTAGTCAAAACTGTATACAATTTTGAACAAAATATTCAATCGGGCGGGCGCCGGCCGATGAATCGGAGCAAACGTGACCCAGGCATTACTTGGCCGATTGAGTATAAAGGTATACGGAAAATAATTGTACACATTGTAATTAGGTCCCTGGGAAAGTGAATTTAGAGCAGAACAGTAATCCCCAGGGGTCAAAATATTACACGCTCACGTAAAGGTTCTCTTAAAAACATGTAACTTAACCTCCCTATTATCTTACCTCCTTTTCTTCTTTTGGGAGTTGCTCAACAACCTCGACGAAGTTTGTTGGGAAAAGACCTTCTTTGTTTTTCACCTTCCCATAATACCAGAAAGGATCAATTTTACGTATGAGAAGCACTACATCTCCAACCTTGTGAAAAGAGAAGCATAAACAATAATGAGAAGAGCAAAATTTCATTGATGTAACTTGTCTAATTAAGGAGATACTGCTTATTTCAACGGTCTTCTTTTTATTCCAGTCACTCTGTATGTTATGATCAGATCTAACTGAACATAAAGAAATCCATGTACGATGACAGGTATGAAAGTGAACATTTGAAAAACTGAATAAGTTTAATAACATATCATATCTTATTCCATAGTTAGCATGATATTCATAGGATAACATGTGAAAATAAAAACGGTATGATATGGTTTATGGATTTTTGCTACTTCAGACTCAAAACGAGGATATTGATATCTGCACTCTCTCGCTACGCTCGCTCATGCAGATATCATATCCATTCGTGGATAAAAATCATGTCACTCATAAATCATAGGATATCCTCTATATATCATATCATATCAGACAAGGCATAACATGACAATGTGTCACCAACTAGTTGAAGCAAGATAAAAAAAGACCTTTTTGACCTTGAGGAGGTCATTAAAGGTCAAATGTTTTGAGCTTGAGAATTTCATTTAAGGATCAGCCAGATTAGTCAGATTTGAAATGTTGAGAACTTGTAGATGATTTTGAAAAAAAATTGGTCAATTTGAAGCAAGTTGAAAAAAGACCTTTTTGACCTTTTTTGACCTTAAGAAGATCATTGAAGGTCAAATCTTAAATTTAAAGTCAGACTTGAACTTCTAAAAACATGCAGATGATTTTGAAAACAATTGAAATCAGTCTATACAGTATGTGTTATTTTATTGGAAGTTAAGTTGTAAGAATTTGTTACAGACGCCGACCGCCGACCGCCAATCGCCAACCACCATCAAAAAAAAAACTGGAGACCATAACAATATATCACCACTTTTTGGTGGTGACATAATAACAAAACTGGGCAAATAAATAACTCCTTCAGTAGCTACCTGGAATGATATTTCATCTGATTGCTGTGCTTCATAATCAAACAGCGCAACCCCCCTTGGCCCCGTGGCAACATAATGGAAAAGAGGGTGCTCTGGACCAGGTCTCTCTGGCAGTGCTGGTGGGCCTAAAAATAAAAATTAGAGAAGAGTTTTGGGATGGTATTTTATAAGGAACCCCCGTGGTCTTAGATTAGTACTAACTTTGATTGTAAACAATGTTTTGAAAAAAAAATATATATATTGAAAAAAATAAATAAAAAAATTTATAAGGAAGCATGTAAAAGTATGTAATTTGTATATATGTATGTATAGTGTGTTTTCATTTGCAAATAATATCATGGAATCATTGTCAATATTAGGAGAATATTTTAGATGAAATACTGTAGATTGGGTTAATTTGGCGCCTGCTTTAATTTGGCGAATTTGGCGAAATTGAAAAATTCGCCAATATAAATCTTCGCCAAAATTTAGAATGAATCCCCGGGAATTATCTAGGGTATTTCCTCCAGTGTATTTAGGTCACTTCCGGTTTAGTTTTTTCCAAAAATATGAAAAAATGTCTCTCATAAATTGGCTCAGAACTGGTCAGTCACTCATTAATATTCAGGGAAAAGCTAGAAAGGAAAAGCATGGTATAGTAGCAGCATCGATCGAGGTGCAAAATGTAAAGGATGATCTCACAAAAATGTACAAACGTGGTGAATATCGCCAGTGGTCCTCAAAATAAAAAAATGAACATAGCCAAACATGCCCATTTACATCGTAATTCGCAAACAGCGTGTAAGTTTAATATTGCATTTAATTTTAAATTTTTTTGCATATCTGCCAAATTAAATAGCCGCCAATATGGCAAAAATGGCAAAGTCGCCAAATTAAGTAGCGCCAAATTAACCCAATCTACAGTAGTTAAAATAACAGCTCAAATTGAAGACAAATCACATGGAATAATGGAAGTGACAATTGAAAACGATTGAAGCAGGAGTTGAAAGGAATATGAAAATTAAATTTATGATAACACAATGTTTACCAAATTTTACACTTCAATGAACAAATACACATGGTACTAAATGGTACTAAATTGATTGTTAGCATCCATACATGCAAATTCCATTCCTTTTTTAGGAAAATAAACAAAACAATCGCAAACTTACCTTTTGCTTTCATAGGCCCACTTGACTTTTCAGAGAGTGAACGTTGCAACCTTAATTAAACAAAACAGTTAAAAACTTAGTAACCACATCAGGCCCGTAGCCAGGGGGGGGGGGGTCGATGCGAACCCATTTTTGGACCAAAACTGACACAAGTGAACCCCCCTGGAATTTTTTAAAAAGTGAACCCCCTTGGCAAATCCTGGCTAAGGGACTGCATATAATATTGAAATGAAAACAAACCAGGACCTGGCAAAAATTGTTTCAATGGTAAATGATTTTCAAAATTAACAACAATAGGGATGAATACAATGGGAAATAAATGGAAATCATAAACGACACTCAATTTTTTGGTGATCGAGTGACATTTTATTTCAAAATTCCCATAATCACCATCTTTATGTTGATTTTTGATGAAATTATTCCTAGAATTAGCAGAAGTTTCAAGCGCAACATAGGTCGGTTTTAAATCGTTTGAACCTAATGTCGACTTGGACTCTTAACCTTTTGACTACCTGGAGTGACGAGATTTCTCGTCACATCAGAGATGACCTTGAAACCCAGAGTGACGAGAAAATCCGTCACAAAATGTTTCACTTAAATTGCTCTTATTTGAACAATTTACACAAAAATAGTTTTAAAATGTGTAGAAATGATCTTTGCCGTCTAATTTTACTAAGTTGAGCATCTTAAGTTGTATAGGTATGTGGTAAAATGTCAAAATGTTGGGAAAATGAAAAATTTTCTGGTTTTTCAACCAAATTGCTAGGGAAATCTCTTTATTAAAAACGGATTCTATGAAAAATAAAGATAAAACAAGATGAAAAAATGTAATTTGGACTTACTTGAACTGTTTAGGCTTGGCATTGAGAGGGCTTGGAGGTTTGGGTGGAGGTCCTCCTGGCCTTGCTGGAGGTACTTTCTTCCCAGGAGACCCAGGTGCTTCTTTTTCAGGAGAAGCTTTCTCATTGCCTGCATCATCCACACTAACCTCTGTTACAGAAGGTTTCAGATTCTCTTGTTTAGACTCCCCATCTGAACTTAATGCAATATCAACAAGTACACCTGTAACTGGCTCTTCATAATTGTCATTATTTGCATTTTTATTCTTCTCTGATAATACAATCATTGATTTGGGTCTAGCTTTAGGCCTTGGTGGAGGACCAGCATTTAGCCTGGATGGTTTTGGAGGGGGTTCAGTTTTCTTTTCAATGTTTTCAGTTTCAATAACAGCAGCTTCATTTTTCTCTGGTTTAGAGTCAATTTCTGTTCTTTTTGGACTAGGGGATCGTGATCGTGCTTTAGCTTTTGGGCGAATAATGGTGGGTCTTTTCAGTTTTGGTGGTTCATATGTTTTAGCAAGTTGATCGAGAGAGCTTACTTGTTCATCTAAGTGAGGGAGATTACTTTGAAAAGCCTCAACTTTATTTTTGACACTCATCGTATCTTCATTACCATTTGGCATATCAGGAATAGCATCATTCTTAGAAACTCCACCTGATTCAAGCCACTCTTTTGATCCAATTGGTGGAGCTACAACAGTCGGTTTTAACTTTGCAACAAAAGAATTTTTAATCTCATCTTTCGCAATCTCTGGCTTTTCATTAATCTCAGTTTTGTCCTTGTCCGTCTCTGATTTTGGAGAAGGGGTAAGATCTTTTACATTAGTTAATGTTTTGGGACTTTGTTCAGGACTTTGAGATTGTCGTGGACTTGAACTCGGACTTTGTGGAGGAGTGAAAAATTCAGAGTCAATATCATCATGTGCAGATGTAGAAACAGGACTTTGTGGCTTGGGACTTACCAAAGGAGGACTTAAACTCTTGGGTTTTGGGCTGACAGGTGGAGGGCTTGATATTGAAGGTTTTGCAGATATAGCTGGCTTAGGTTTTAAAATAGCAGGCTTATCAGCATGTTTTTCAAAGTCAGAATCTTTGGTTTCATTTTTTAAACTCTCTGTATCATGTCCTGACGGATCATCTTGCCTTTTAACATCATCCTCTCCCTTGGGCTCTGTTTGTTTACCAGGTTTTAATGGCCTGATTATTGTTGGTCTAAAAGGTCGAGATGTTTTAGGCTGATCTTCTATAAATGGTTCCGATTTATCTAAAGAGGTAGTCCTTAGTCTTGGAATGGGAGGTTCTGGGTCAGATAAGTCAACTAAATCAACATTTGATCTTATTACCATACTTTTCGGTCTATGGGCTGGAACAGGAGGTCGAGAGATTGGCTTAGCCTGACTGAGATCCCCAAACACACTCATTGGCCTTTTTGGAAGTGGTTTTGGTTTTTCCGACACATTTGCTCGTGCATCAACCAAAGGTCCACTAGCGCCCTCTAAACCCTGTGAATTAGGGCTTGTATTACTTGACTGATCGAGCCTAGGTGGTACAGGGCGTACTGGGGCAAGATTTGGTTTGTTTGTTGGTATGGAGGTCAGCATGGCTTGGACGTAAGGAGGAGGTGGCTGGAAAGTAAAACAATTTTATTAATAAGGCATTAATATGCAAAATGTCACCACATGCCATTATTTACAGATGCCAACCACCATCGCCAAATGCCAACTGTCCATGGGTGTATAACAATATGTCACCACTTCTGGTGGTGAGAAAAAACTGATATTTCTCTAGCAAGGTTCATGACTATGGTTCAAAATATAAATGCCACAATACCAGTATAGTGTATTTGAAAATATTGGCATTCAGCCCTTTGCCCAGTGGGCAACATGTTTGGCAACAAGTTCATTGCCAAAAGTGAAAAGTAGATGCAATTGGCAGGCAGGCAGTTGTGAGTTTCAAACCCTGTTCTCTTACAAAAATCATTGTTATTATCATAATAGTGACGGCTGGTGCCCCAAGCCTAGTGAGAGAGAAAACAAAACACTGAAGGCCTAGATTTTAAGGTACACATAAAAATAACTTCTGAGAGTTGAAAATTAGTATTCATTGTCACTCAATATTGAAACTTTTGATTGGGTAATGAGATAGATTCTCGCGAGTTACCCATGGCAACAGAGCAAAATCAAGCAACAGCCTTCATTCACATGATTTTCTTGTATAGTTTTAAAAAATTCGGAATAACTGAACACTTACTTGGTCTGGAATCGCTGGTTTCTTGTTTGTAGCTGGTCTTTTGGCTGGTTGTGGTCTAGGAGCAGGTGTTGGTCTTGCTGAGGGTACTGTGTGAAATAAAAGTGAGTCATTATAATTACCCTGCACGCAGAGCCTTGTTATAAATTACCCTCTGCCTATTATAGACGATATTACAGTTTAGCAGCCCCCTGTGACTGTTGCCAGTGACAGTCTGTGTCATAAATTATATCAAATAAACCAACTTTTCTCAATCTATCAGCGGACTAGAAGGAACAAGTGCTAAACGCATGCTCATTAATTATGCAATGGCAATAAAATGACCATATATAGAAAGTCGTCCGTAGTTTGACGATGCACACCGATTAGCTCAGTGAGTTCAGAGATTTACTGTTAGCTGAAAGAGTGAAGATGAAGCTCTCTTTTAAGAAGCGAAGTCAAAAAACTGCAAAGGGTACATTTAAATGTGAGATAGGTTAACATAATTTCATACACAGGCAATTTTTAACTAGACAACAGCAGCGCCAAAGCGTATCAAATCCCATCGAACAGCAATGGCTGGCATTTTTAGAAACAAAGTATATAGCAAAAATGGCAGCCATTTTTCAAAATGGCCACCTTCTCGCAAAAGTGTTATTAGACAGTGTGCCATGCTTATAGTCACATACCAATGAACAAAATCGCTCCACTACTTTTCAAGTTATAGTAAAATATGTTAAAATTCCGGCCATTTATCAAAATGGCCGCCTTCTACTAAAAATGTAATTAGACAATGTACCATGCTTATAGTATTCACATACCAAATTTTTTTCAAGATTTCACATTTTTCAAGATGGCTGCCATGTGCTTCTTTAATAACTACATTTCTAGCTTTATTAATGTCCTATATAGTTTTTTACATTTAAAACATCGCTATTCAATTTACATATTGTACCTAAATTACTGTAACATTGGCATAAATTGTCCGCCATCTTTAAATGAACAGCCATTTTAAAAATCGGCTTTGGAGTAGAACTTCTATCTCCATAGGGTATATGTGTACAAAATATGAACAAAATCGGGCCAACGGTATTTGAGTTATTGCCCAGACCGATGGATGGACGTACGTACGGACAGACTGAGGCGTTCCCTGTATCCCACTGATCACTACATTAATTCATTTGTTACAGAATTGTCTTGCTTAAAGAATAGGCAATGATTCTGCATTTATTCTGATTTCGATATTACGTTTTCTCAGTGACGATTTTTGCTTTTCCATAATTAATTTCATTTTTTTAATTTCTGTTTATTCCCTTTAGATCTTGAGATTCTGGATACCTGCATTCATTTTTATTTCAAATATGGCGGGCCCCCTGCTAGGTCAAAGTTCAAGTATGGCTTGCCAATACAGCATTATGAACAATTACATGATACAATACAATTAATTGCCAAATGATTTTACTGAACATGGGCGTAGCCAGCTTTCAGGTGGGGGGGGGGGGGGGTGCGATCGCCAAAGAATTGGTTTTAAGTTGGGGGGGGGGGGGGGATCGTGGCAAGCCAAAAATCTTTATTAAAGATTTGTTTCGAATTTTACAAAAATTGATGTAACTTTCTTCAAAATTGAGCTAGAAGCTACAAATAAAAAGCATCTTAAAGTTCTTTTCTTCTTCTATCTAATGGTTCTATTTTATTGGTTATGGGAGGGGGGGATCCTCACCCAACGCACCCCCCTGGCTACGCCTATGCTGAACGAATCATTAGTACCCACCAGGTCTACTTGCTGGAGTGGGTGCTATAACAGGTTCACGAGACCCTACAGGAGATTCAGGAGATTTAGGGGGCTTGGCAGGGGTACTTCTAAATCCAACCTCACTCATTGGTCTTGCATCTAACACAGTAATCTCAAGTCGTCTAAAATAGAAGTGTTTTAACTGCTATCATTCATTGTCATAGTAAAACTAACATATCAAGAGTGCTTAAAGTGAACTTTTATCCCAAAATGACTTACTGTACAATAATGCAAGTGAAATACCTTTTTCCTGGAGGCTTTGCGGCACCAGCATTGCTACTAGGTATGATTGGTTCCTGTTTTGGTCGACTAATGGGAGGAGGGGCAGGTCTGTGTGGGGGTGGGGCAGGTCTCGATGGCACCTTAGGAACAACTCTCTCTACCTTGGATTCCCCTGAAGTATAGCGACAGGAAAACGTTTCAGAATCAACAATGAAAATTGCAATATCAGCCATCGATGTCCTTATCATTTGGCCTCAATTGCCTCAATGGCCAAAAGCAGACCACCAAGCAAAGTTGGGCAACTCTGATTGGTGTGGGAACAGCACGACAGTGACGCACAGGCTCTGATGAGTTAGACTATTTGGAGTTTTGACTCACATCTGAAGAGTTAAACTGTCTATATCAGAATTATTAATAAGGACCCTTCAGCTTTGTCCCAAAATCACTTGACAGTTGTGAAGTCCCAGGCATTGGAACAGAGATACCCCCCCCCACTCAGTCTATGTACAATAGTATACAAATAGTGACTGCCATTGAGGGCAATAGTGTAAATTATTTCCCCGAGGGAATATCCTCTACAATGTACTATTCCCGAAGCCGCAGGCTGAGGGAATAGTACATTGTAGAGGATATTCCCAAGGGGAAATCATTTACACTATTGCTCGAAATTAGGCAGTCACTATTTGTTTTATTATATACCCTATACTGACTCTTGTCCCGTTTCCTCTGCGAAGGCCAAAAAGGCTTAGAAAGCACCCTCCCCGGGTCCATTGTTAGCATTATAAGCTGTAACGTCATCAGATGCTCAACAGAAATGTTTGCCTCTGAGACTCTCACTTGACAAATTCAATCGCGTTTAACACGCGGAATAGATTATCATAACACTTGAAATTACACAGACGTATTGAGCTTAGGGAACTTTATACACGTTGCTTATACTGTATCGTTCACGCACGTCTGTCATGGTGAACGGAGTTGATTTGTGTTTGTGCTCATCCTCCATTTTTCTGTTTTTCGTCTGCGCAGTGATGATGCGCAGACGTTTCCAAGGGTAATAGAAGTTGCAATTGTGACGTCAGCGGGCAATAGTTCAAATGTATATTCCCGCTGATGTCACATTTGAGGGAATATAACTTTCCGAGGGAAATAGTAAATCCATTTCGGAACACGTGACTAGGTATTGACCAATCAGGATTAGTGTTACATATTGGGTATATAATAATAAATAATATTTTACATAGACTGAGTGGGGGGGGGGGTTATCTCTGTTCCGATGCATGTGTGTGAATAGTCCAACAACATTAGACCTAGTCAGGGGCCTCGTTTCTTATCTAACATGTCTTATGGCCCCATCTCACAGGAATCTGTATCAACACCTGACAGTGACATTTATTGGTGACCAAAATCAGGAAATATCACTTTATCTCTTGTACATGTTGTATAGGAGATATGTTCCCAGGGTTCTGTCACCAATAGATGTCACTGTCAGGTGTTGATACAGGTTCCTGTGCCCCGACTAGGTCTAACCTCCATGATCATTTTGCCTTTGATGTATTAATTTAATAGTTCCGCAGGTTTCGACATGCGGAACTAAGCAAACCCTGATTTCATATAAAGATTGATTTGAATCGATCCAAAATTTGCAACCTTTGAAAACATATCACGGATGTTAAACTCAATCCAGCCCCAAGTAAGATCAGATTAATAAATAAACCGGTTTTAAGTTTAACTTGTTCGAACTAGTGTGTGAAGTGCTCAGAATGGTGAAAAACTGTCCGCTCAAACCTCCCCCCGTGATTACAGGCCTGTTTACACTATATTTAAAACCAATGACTATCTCCAGAAACCCCATGTTCTGGTCAAGTTGTACAGTTGGGGACATAAATAAATGACAGGTGGATTTGCTGAAGTGAGGATTTCCCATGTTAAAAATAAGAGAATTTACAAGAGGCCATACATCAGTGGATGTGATTATACAAAATGTAAAATATACAAATTTTAAGGGATATATATCTAGACAATATTGGAAATTATGGGCTTTCAGACCACCATAATTAGGAAATGGTGATCGAAAATCGACCTGTCATTTATTTTTGTCCCCAACTGTATGCATATTCATTTCCTGTTTAATTTTTTTCAATTTTTTAAAAAATAATTCATATAGATCTATCTTCTTCACGTGAGCCACGTATCCTACAGCCTATTAAAGACAAGAAGCACTAAAAGTATATGTGCATCATAGCAAAGACTATACCTTCATCATTAGATGTAGCTCCGGAATGTCTCTTATTAAGACTTGACGGCAAATGTCCACCCTCTTCCGTCATTTTTGTTGTTGTACTTGACAAGGACTTCGAGTTGTACATTTTGGTAACTAGATTGTCAAATCGTACACTTTGTATTTTCTCCCTGTATCTCTACATTTTATTCATTTACTCTATCTTAAGACAATAGATAACACTTTTGAAGTATTTTATTGATACACTAAAATGTATTGACAGTTATTACCTTGAAAGGAAAATTACCGTTATGTACATTTTTACAGACATCGTTTCAACTTAAAAGCGGGAAATTCGAATGTTTAGAAACGTGCTACACTGCCAGTGTAAAAGGCATAGCCGTAGGCAGCGGGGGTTTGGTGGGTTCGAACGAACCCCCGATCAGGATTTCCCAAAATATCATTTTGCGCAAAAATGCATATATCCAGAAACATTAAATCACTGTGCTATTTGAAAACTACATATATGAGCAGTAAATGAATTGATGTTTGTTTTGGTGAATACGAGAGCCTTATTTTGTTAAAGACATGTCATAGTGAAGTTACACTTCCCTCAAAACGGTTGGCAACCTTAGGCACGGGATGAGATTTTGGCAAGACCCCAGAGCATGAGGTTTAGAAATAACAATAATTTCGCACAATTAACTTAAAAGCTTCTTCTCGGACAAAATAACCCATCTTGGGCAATGGCTAAATCAGTCCTTTGTAGGAATTTTGTTTTAAGCCAGTTCTGGTCCAATACGAAGTTATTGAAAGTTATTGAAAACAATGCTAAGACATCCCATACTCCGAATGATTTTTACAACATTGACGAGTAAATATCTGGAATAGTCGTAATATTGATGAAACACAAGTTCTTTCAAATGTGTACACCTCTGTTTGGTTTTATTTCAATTAACAATTTAAAATATTTCTTGGGACGTCCCTTGGGCTGGCAAGTCCCCGAAACCAATTGCGTTAAATAATTAAAAACGTTGTGAAATGAATTATTTAAAAGCGTATATCATTTATAAACACAAGCATTTGTTCAATTTATTCATTTTTTCATTTGTTCAGTATTTATTTACCAATCACTTTTCCAAAGAAAAATCAATCATTGCAAAAAATTATTTGTTTTTTTTTCAGATACACTCCACTCATCTAAGAGATGGTATAGAATTCAAATTGTTATCGTTCCAGTTTAACTGCTCTCCATTTTCATGTTAATGTCGATGATATGTTTAGCGAATAAATTACATAATAAAAAAACATTGAAAAATCACATGGTATTAATGTTCAATACCCTGCGTGCAGAGTCTAGTTAAACTCCACTCTGCCTAGTAGAGACCATATTACAGTTTAGTAGCCCCACCCCCACGACGGGTACCGGTGAAAGTTTGGGTAATAAATCACTTCTGACCAATGCGCTGACCTTTCTTCCACCATTCAGCGAGCTTGAACAAACATACGCTAAATGCGTTCTAATTAAATATGCGCATGTCATTGGTCAATTCCGGGCTCAAAGATGACGTCAGAAGGAATGACCATATATAGAACGTCGGTCAAATTTGGCCGACGAACACTGATTGGCGCGGTGAGTTCACAGGTTTATTTTAGTTTGAAAGAGTGAAGACGAAGCTCTCTTTTAATTAACAAAATACGTTTTATATTCGAACAGTCGCTTGTATTTATATATGATTTATATCCACCAAAACATTTTTATAATCAATTGCAGTTGATCTGCTCCGGGGGTCTTACAACTGAGCTCCGGGGACATCCAAAGAAGTATTTTTAACTTTTGAAAACAAAGCATAACCGAGACCCACTTATTTGAATAATAGATATTTTCATCAGTAATACGACTATCCCGGATAGTTTAAAAAGCCTTCGTGTAAACGTTGTGAAAAGTCATCGTAGAAGAACGATCTTTCGGAGTATAGGGTGTTTGCATTTGATCCGAACTGGACTCCAACAAAATTCCTGAAAAATTATGATAAGCCATTGTATGAGGTGATTTATTTTGTCCTAGATGAAGTAGCTTAAGTTAAAGAAAAAATTGTGCGAAATAGTTGATATTCCTTGGAAACAAATCATGCTCCAGAGTCTTCCAGAAATCAGACGACAGATTTCAGGATATGTATTCAATAAAAGATTCACCTAAATATATTTTGATGGATAAAATTAATCATAGGTTGTTTGACTTTTTTGCACGTTGCCTGTTTATTTTACTTTGTGAACATTAAAGTTACAAAGCTACAAGGTCATTTTTGAAAATCAATTACGTCCAGTGTTATTTCAATGGGAGAGGTTTCTTGATAAAGCCCATTACTTTCAGACTTTGCTAACGTAAATAAAGGAATCGTTTCTGTTAAATAAAATTCAAATTCAATTATCTACTTCACTTAATGACGGTATTAAAATGAATTATATTTCCCCTCCCAAAATAGTTCTTTCTAAAAAATATAAAAATAAATAAGAAATCAAACTTAAAGATGCTTTTAATACATAATCCAATGGGTTAGTTAGGATTGCCAAACTTTTGGAGGGGGTGTAATTGTACATTATTTGAGGAACCCTAATGAAGGGGTGGGGGGATTTGTGAATATAAAAATAGAACCCCCGGTCACCAAATCCTGGCTACGCCACTGAAAGGGTACGAGGTCCTGTCAAATTATGGTCCTACTCTCCATTGATTTATATGGTGACCTAAATACAACTCTCTCTCTTATTATCTCATACACAATCGGGGCCAGTAAGGGCCGTTTAGAAAGGGGACCATAATCCCCAGGGGACCATAATTTCTTTCACCATATGCAGGGTCGTCCATTCCATTAAAGTTAATACGAACATGGACGTTCTAATTAAGCTTAGATTTAGCATCTGCAGAGACAATGTGCAACATGACCATAGGCCATAATTAATTGGTGAATTCCATGAACATGTAAGCTTAACTAAGTTGAAAAACTTTCATGTGTTCAGGGGTACAATACAAATCTGTAAAGCAATGTACGTTACCAACAATGTTACACGAAACCTATAATTGTAGGGATGAAAAAAATATACCAAACATTAGATTGTAAGCTAGTCCTTACAGAAAGAAAGACATATAAAATTCATATTGTTGTACGTCTCCATGTCTCTGCCCTCATTCACTGGTGATCCACTCGATTACGCTGGTTACCCGAACGGTCCGTTTCGGTAACAAAATATCGGAACATCGAAGGTACTATTTTTCTTTTTTCCTTATTTCACACGTTGTAGGCAGAATTCCCACGACATTTTTAACACAAACGTGTATCAGTATCATATGTTTAAGAAAATGTACATATTTGCGAACAAATAGTTCAGAAGACAATAGAATCGTCGATTTAATTCCTCACTTCAGTTACATAAACGGTTTTTCGAAAAACAGTTAAGATCTGCACTTTTAACCTAAACCGTTTATGTAACCTAAGTGAGGAATTAAATCGACGATTCTGTTGTCTTCTGAGCTATTTTTTCGCAAACATTAATATTTTCTAAAACATATGATGCTGATACACGTTTGTGCGTTTGTGAGAAAAAAAATACCAAAACGAACCGTTTCGGTAACCAGCGTAATCGAGCGGATCACCAGTGTCATTGACCAATTTGCTTTACTTAGTTTGCACAAAGCTGAGAAGCCAAATCCCGGAGAAAAAATCCTATCCAAACTTTTCTGTCAAATATGATGATTCGGATGAATTGCTGATTAACATACTGTTTTTTGTGAAACATCTAATACCTGCCTTAATAATATTTTTTCCTTTTTGTTTATATATGAACAGTTATGAATGATTGTAAAAAATTTGTATTTGATTTGTATACTAGAATTTGATATATTTATAATTCAACATAAATGTTACATTGATTATCTTGTAGAATTTTTACTACATGATATTCTTTGTATTATGATATGATATTATTATGAAATAAAATGACTAATAAAAAACAAGACAACACAGATGAGTACGAAATACCTGGAGTAAATAATCGACTTAGACTATTTGGATTAAAAAGGGAGACGGGTAGACCCATATATATCAGAATGGGTTTGAGATGTCCCTTTGCAGATTGAGTGATGGTATAAAGTCCAAGAGGAGATAACAGCTAATCTAGACCGTGTGTGAAATTAATGATGATTAATATAAGTCTTACTATAGTAATTTTGAATTCAGTTATAAGAAATAATTTGCAAAGAGCAGGCGTTTGCACAAGTTGGAATAATAAGGTTCTTCTCGTTGGATTTTAGTTGTAAAAGTTCTCTACATTGGATTACAAAGAATGAGTCGTCGGCTCACTGACAAAGTTGTCATCATCACAGGTAAAGGATACTCTATATATTCACTGTATATAGCGATGGGATTGTGTTGATATTGGTTGTGTTGATAATTGAGGATAATTGGGATTCACCCTAAATTACAGGTGATTTCACCCCAGGATTTCACCCTATATTACATGTGATTTCACCCCGGGATTTCACCCTAAATTACATGTGATTCACCCCTAAATTGCAGGTGCCAGTTCTGGTATTGGGGCTGGAATAGCAGTGGAGTTCGCTAAAGAAGGTAGTAAAGTAGTACTTGTAGGCAGGAATGTGGAAAATTTAGAAAAGACGTCAAAGTTATGCCAAGATCAGGGATTGGAGAAGCAAAAGGTTTGTGTAAAGTATATGTATTAAACCCACAACAAAAGGTTAACAAGGCATTAACATGCAAAATATCACCACCTGTCATTTGTTACAGACGCCGACCGCCGACCACAGAACACCGCCCATAAAAAAGTTGGAGACTACAACAATATGTCTCTGGAGGTGACATGAAAACAATTAAAAATGATTGATTGGTCTATACATGCGTAAAGCAACATTTTCACAATTATTGTATAAAAGGGCATCAGTACAAATAAAGTCCTATTACATTATAATTATATTATTATAATTATTGAAAATGTAGATACTGCTTTTAAAGCAGGTTATTCACCCTTATCTACCTCAAGGACGTTTTAATTCCAAGGGTTTGCCTTCACCAATGATCATGTGATTTACAAGTATAAATGAGATATCGAAACGTCATATAGGTCAAAATGACATTTTGAGTGTTTTTTCTTCGAACAGTATGTTAAAAATGAACTAGCATTATCATTTTAAGTGTAGCACATATGCAAAATTCAGTATGTAATTGTCAAAATTAAGTGGATTTAAACACATTCACCTTGGTAAATCTCAAATAAATTTCGCCATCTTAAAGCCCCAAGATTTAGAAGATTTAAAAAACACCTTGGCTTATGTTGTAGTCTTGTCCAATGTTATCAAAATGAGATATGTGAAACTTTTTTTTATTCCAAAAAGTGTTTTTTAAGACTTTTTGGAATAAATGATTGATAAAAATAAAAGTATGAAACAAAATATAACTAGACATGTAAATTGAACAAGTTCAATTTAAGACTCCAGATTTAAAACTTTTTTTAAGCTGAGTTATCCAAAATACTGTAAGCTGAGCCATTCAGAATAAGCTGAGTCATCTAGAATACAGACATTTAGAGAACTTTTAAGTAGCTTATCTTCGTCTACATTCGCTTAACATGGGGATATCATAATATTGACTTTTCGAGACTTCAAACAGCTATAACTATCTAACCAGAATTTGGGTCGAAATTTGGTTTGCAGATTCGAATTTCTGAGAAAATTCTACGTTTGTGTCATAACTCATACATTAAATTTTGAGAACTTTTTATGTTGACCTACTTTCCGGACGCCATTCCTCAAAATCGGTAAGAGTAATCAAAAAAGACAGTTACAATAATGAAAGGACTGTCTTTAATCTACATGATGAAAAAAAGATAAAGGAATAACGACAAATAGTGACAAAGATAATTGACATAACATTGGATATCAAAATACCAATTTTTTAATTTTTCAAAACACCATTACTTCCAAACCGGGTGTCGGATTGAAATTTGATTTGCAGATTCGGATTCCTGAGAAAATTCTACCCTTAATTCATAACTCATACGTTAAATTTGGAGAAATTTTCATGTTGACCTACTTTTCGGACACTATATCTCAAAATTGGGTCAAAATACTTTCTGACGGCAAAAGGCTAACACTATTAGCACACTCTTTGCTACCTGTATACAAAAATTTGAAGCAAATAATTAAAGTGTAGTGTCAGAATCGCAATAATAAGTTAAAACTATAAATTTGACCTAGATTTTGACCTAGGCATTTTGGTGACCAAATTGTGAAGCTAGCTAGCTTTTGAGGTCCCTTTCTTTTATAGGCTTTCATTATGTGAAGCTGTACTCAGTCTTTATCTCGTATTTTACACTTCAAAAAAATCTTTTTTCCCATTGCCATAACATGGGGCACCAAATTTAGCGATTTTTGAGCTTTCAAAACGACTTAACTTCCAAACCAAAAGTCGGATTGAAATTTGGTTTGCAGATTTGGATTCCTGAGAAAATTCTACCCTTAATTCATAACTCATACGTTAAATTTGGAGAAATTTTTAGTTTGACCTACTTTTCGGACACCATATCTCAAAAGTGGGTCGAAATACTTTCTGACGGCAAAAGGCTAACACTATTAGCACACTCTTGGCTACATGTATACAAAATTTCGAAGAATATTATTAATCTGTAGTGTCAGAATCGCAAAAATAAGGAAAAACTTTGAATTTGACCTAGATTTTGACCTAGGCATTTTGGTGTCCAAATTTTTATAAAAAGAAGGTCTTGTGGTCCCTTTCTTTTATGGGCTTCCATTATGTTTAGTTGTGCTTAGTCTATATCTCGTATTTTACACTTCAAAAAAATATTTTTTCCCATTGAATTAACATGGGGCACCAAATTTAGCGATTTTTGAATTTTCAAAACGCCATAACTTCTGAACCGGAAGTCAGATCGAAATTTGGTTTTCAGATTCGGAATCCTGAGAAAATTTTCTATAAGACTGATATCCTGGACATTGGATTCGGAGAAATTTTTTTTGGACCTCGTTTTCGGACACTGATATCTCGAAATCGCTTTGAGATACCAAAAAACTAAATCGACCCTAGGTTTTCTACTTTTTTATGAGGAACACAATGAAAAAAAACAGGATCAAAAATATTGAAGGACGACCGAGATAATGGGAAAAAGTGACAAAGTACTGGATTTGACCTAGTTCTTGACCTTTGACCTAGATAAAAATTTGACCTAATTTCCCAGAAAGCCGGATTCAGTCCTTAGTTAACCATGTAAGTTGGATTAAGTAAGCTGTTATAGTTAACGAGAAATTTGGTGAGGAGGAAGAAAAAAGAATAATAATAATAAAGAAAACAGGCAAAAACAATAGACTCCAGATTTTCAATCTGGAGTCTAATAAGTATTCTAAAAATTCGTAATTGACATTCTTTTACATTATAAAACTTAAACATTTGAATGATACATGTTCGTTGTTGATGAAAACTGACACTCTTTTACGTAAAAATAACATTACGTAACATCAGGGATGATTACTGTTATTTGTACCACAGATTCTGACGGTGAAAACTGATGTTACCGATGAGGAACAATTGGCACGCTTAGTGGATGCTACTGTGAAACAATTTGGTGGCATTGACGTACTGGTAGGTAAAGTTGTTCCCCCTGTTTAGAAGCAAGTCGGGGAGTTTAAGTTGCAGATTTTCACATTGCATCAAAAATGACAAGGAATGATATGAGCCCAATATATTCTACAATTGAAACAATTTTCGTCAGGATGAAGCACCAAAGTAATTGCTAGATCTGATTCTGCCTTTAAGTTTGCAACAAAGATTAGACCGTGCATGATTTGGGCTTTTTTAGAATGCTAATGTTTGTCTTACAATCCTCATCGTATCTTTGAACAAAGAATAGAGATATCTCATCAAAGCCCATATTTGAAATATTTTACCCGATTTAAAAATCAAAAGATTATCGTAAGATGAAGTTAGAACTGTTGTAACTTTTGAAAATAGGCACAATGAAATTGATGAAAGTAAAAATATTGATAAATTGTGTCATGAAATTGATCCCAGCTCATCTGTAGTTTTTGTTACCCCTTTAAATGTTAAACAATGAAATCTGGAAAGTGGAACACCCCTGCAAGTGGTATTTTTCAAATCTCTGTAAAAGTAACGCCTCCAAACTTAAACACTTTTAAGAGGTACCAAAGGTGTTCCACTTCCACGGGTTCTACTGTACATTTCAAACATTGACTTGGAATATTGTTGATCACAAATGGGCTTTCCCAAAGTTTATGTTATTAATTACTTTCCTTAAACTCACTGTTAACTACCTGGTATTACTATGAATATAAGTAACACATGTGCAAGATTTGTTTTGAATTTTACAAATTTCGATGCAACTTCAATAATAGTTCAATTACCGTTCCAATGCTATGCAAGTCTATGTTTTAACGGTATATTTATTTTTTATTTTTGACTAACGAAATATTATTGTAGACCTCACAGTTTGAATTACTGTCAACCGCTTGGGAGGTCAACAATTATATATTATTTACCTGTTTAAAGGTGAACAATGCAGGAGCAGTTAACACTGGTGGCATACAAGATGTGGAATTGAAGCAATTAGATGAGATGTTGAACATACATGTTAGAGCTGTATTCCAACTTACCAAACTGGCTATTCCATATTTGGTAGAGAACCGAGGAAGTATAGTGAATGTTTCAAGCCTACAAGCGTTATCGCCAGTAAGTCACCGAAGGGGGAGAGGGTACCCCAGAATTCATAGATGGCCTTATCTCCATATAAAGATGAACATCTAGAGGTAAAACTTTATACAGAGATAAGTTTATCTCTGAATTCTGGGGTAAATCCGGATCCCCGGGGGTAATTCCTCCTCTAAAGTCACCGTATGAGTACCCTTTGCATTCGTTCGACTACGCTTCTTAAAAGAGAGCTTCGCCTTCTTCGGTAGTTTATAACTAGACTCTGCGCGCCATACTCGTTTCCCAGTTTGATTTTCAATCATATGAAAACATCATACCTTGGAAATCCAAAATGCTGCGCGCAGGGTGTATCGTGAGAGCATTTTCGATCCATCCAGGTATGACTGAAGGAATACATTGGTTTAACATTGTCCCATAGGAGAGTATGCCAAAAGTGTTGAGAGTAGATTGTCACAAATCCAACGTCAGTTAAAGCCATTATTAGTCAGTGCACACACGGGGTCATCTTTTACATAAATAACATTAATTTTATGAGCAATTTCGTTTGGGCTACGTACTTATAATTGACATTGTGTCGTTTGACGTTTCAAGATGATTTACGCTATTTACACATTTAAGGAAGTCCCGCATGATGAGTATTTTTCATTTGTAATTTTTCTAATAATTAAAATGACTGATTTTTTAGGAAATGGATAACAATTTTCGAAAATTTTATGTTAATATTTTTATAATTTATTAATTACACATTGTCAGCATACCTTGTTTAAAATGGAGATTATATAAATGGCATTTCCACAATTATCTTTTTATTTTTTTTCTGAAAATGCAAACTGCCTTAATTCAAACGTTTTAAATATGTAAATTTATAATTTCGTAATACTTAATAACGTTTGCTAGACGTTTGGGCTAATTAGGAAGTAGAATAAAAAGGGGTTGGGAATTTAGAACTGGATCAAAGATCCAAAATTGTACACTGAGACGTCTCTTCAACACGTTAACCAAGAACTGCTCAACAAGTAAGTTAATAACGTATTGACTCGGTTACTCTCTGTCCTCTCTGCTAAAAGACAACCTACTCACTGCATTGGATATAATATATTTTGAGACTATTTAAGGTTTTGCTTATGTTAGTAGAAGTATGGAGTAATCTTTTTCAAGTAACCTGTTATTAAATTGTTACTAAAATTTGGGTTGTTCAGTAAGCATCGACTACACAAGTAATTGCCACAACGAATGAAGTTTTATAGTCCTAGGGATAAAGGGTAGCCCCCCGTTTTTCATGCGCCAGCCAGTCTGTTGACTTGAAAATATCTCAAATACTAGCGGTCTGATTTTTGGGGTACAAAGCAGGCTTAGATATGTAAACTAAATCTCTTAAATCTCAAATGAATATATATTTTAAGGCACTATGGAGTTTGTTGATGTTACATACAGTGTTACTAAAGCAGGCCTAGATATGCAAACTAAATCTCTTAAATCTCAAATGAATATATATTTTAAGGCACTATGGAGTTTGTTGATGTTACATACAGTGTTGCTAAAGCAGGCCTAGATATGTAAACTAAATCTCTTAAATCTCAAATGAATATATATTTTAAGGCACTATGGAGTTTGTTGATGTTACATATAGTCTTGCTAAAGCAGGCCTAGATATGTAAACTAAATCTCACAAATCTCAAATGAATATATATTTTAAGGTACTATGGAGTTTTTTGATGTTACATATAGAGCAGGCCTAGATATGTAAACTAAATCTCACAAATCTCAAATGAATATATATTTTAGGGTACTATGGAGTTTGTTGATGTTACATACAGTGTTGCTAAAGCAGGCCTAGATATGTAAACTAAATCTCACAAATCTCAAATGAATATATATTTTAAGGTACTATGGAGGCTTAGATATGTAAACTAAATCTCACAAATCTCAAATGAATATATATCTTAGGGTACTATGGAGTTTGTTGACGTTACATACAGTGTTGCTAAAGCAGACCTAGATATGTAAACTAAATCTCACAAATCTCAAATGAATATATATTTTAGGGCACTATGGATTTTATTGATATTACATATAGTGTTGCTAAAGCAGGCCTAGATTGTAAACTAAATCTCACAAATCTCAAATGAATATATATTTTAGGGCACTATGGATTTTATTGATATTACATATAGTGTTGCTAAAGCAGGCCTAGATATGTAAACTAAATCTCACAAATCTCTAAATATATATTTTAGGGTACTATGGAGTTTGTCTCACAAATCTCAAATGAATATATATTTTAGGGTACTATGGAGTTTGTTGATGTTACCTATAGTGTTGCTAAAGCAGGCCTAGATATGTAAACTAAATCTCACAAATCTCAAATGAATATATATTTTAGGGCACTATGGATTTTATTGATATTACATATAGTGTTGCTAAAGCAGGCCTAGATATGTAAACTAAATCTCACAAATCTCAAATGAATATATATTTTAGGGTACTATGGAGTTTATTGATGTTACATACAGTGTTGCTAAAGCAGGCCTAGATATGTAAACTAAATCTCACAAATCTCAAATGAATATATATTTTAAAGTACTATGGAATTTGTTGATGTTACATATAGTGTTGCTAAAGCAGGCCTAGATATGTAAACTAAATCTCACAAATCTCAAATGAATATATATTTTAGGGTACTATGGAGTTTGTTGATGTTACATACAGTGTTGCTAAAGCAGGCCTAGATATGTAAACTAAATCTCACAAATCTCAAATGAATATATATTTTAGGGCACTATAGATTTTATTGATATTACATATAGTGTTGCTAAAGCAGGCCTAGATATGTAAACTAAATCTCACAAATCTCTAAATATATATTTTAGGGTACTATGGAGTTTGTCTCACATATCTCAAATGAATATATATTTTAGGGTACTATGGAGTTTGTCTCACAAATCTCAAATGAATATATATTTTAGGGTACTATGGAGTTTGTTGATGTTACATATAGTGTTGCTAAAGTAGGCCTAAATATGTAAACTAAATCTCACAAATCTCAAATGAATATATATTTTAGGGTACTATGGAGTTTGTTGATGTTACATATAGTGTTGCTAAAGTAGGCCTAAATATGTAAACTAAATCTCACAAATCTCAAATGAATATATATTTTAGGGTACTATGGAGTTTGTCTCACAAATCTCAAATGAATATATATTTTAGGGTACTATGGAGTTTGTTGATGTTACATATAGTGTTGCTAAAGTAGGCCTAAATATGTAAACTAAATCTCACAAATCTCAAATGAATATATATTTTAGGGTACTACGGAGTTTGTTGATGTTACATATAGTGTTGCTAAAGCAGGCCTAGATATGTAAACTAAATCTCACAAATCTCAAATGAATATATATTTTAGGGTACTATGGAGTTTGTTGATGTTACATATAGTGTTGCTAAAGCAGGCCTAGATATGTAAACTAAATCTCACAAATCTCAAATGAATATATATTTTAGGGTACTATGGAGTTTGTCTCACAAATCTCAAATGAATATATATTTTAGGGAACTATGGAGTTTGTTGATGTTACCTATAGTGTTGCTAAAGCAGGCCTGGATATGTTAACTAAGTGTACAGCCTTGGGTTAGTAGATAGTTATATTTTAATATTATAATATTTCTCTATAGTAGCAAATTTAAATAAAAAATAATATAAACATTGGGGATGAAATATTTATGCTTTCATTAACTGACCACAGAAGTACAAATGAAAATGTCTTTCTAAATAAACTATAATACAGAGTGACTCAAATAAAATATAACCACCAGAAATGGCAATACATGTAATTGAAGGTAACCTAATTTTCTGTTTCACACTAATTTTGAGATCTCATGAAATTATGATACCATACCTTTTTGATTTGGGTATATTTCGGGGTCACCCTGTATTACATGTATGCCTTACCAGGCCCGTAGCCAGGATTTGCCAGGGGGGAGGGTCGCTTTTTGAAAATTTCCAGGGGGGTTCACTTTTGACAATTTCGGTCCAAAAATGGCCAAAATCACTTAAAATGTGCTCAGAATGATGAAAAACTGCATGATTTTGAAAGAACTTTTGGCCAGGGGGAGGGGGGGAGGGTTCGATGAGTTCGAGTAGGCTACGGGCCTGCTTACAACAGCCTTATTGTTGTTGAATAAAGACCCATACATGACCATCATATGTGACACATTTCAGAGTTGGCAAAAAAGAAAGTCAGGTGCAATTCTGTCAAGTAAGTTTATATATTCAAGTAACACTCTCTTATACCAAAAGGAAAGCTTCTGTTTTTACTCTCTTAAACCAAAAGGAAAGCTTCTGTTTTAACTCAATTATACCAAAAGGAAAGCTTGTGTTTTTACTCTCTTATACCAAAAGGAAAGCTTCTGCTTTTACTCTCTTATACCAAAAGGAAAGCTTCTGTTTTTACTCAATTATACAAAAAGGAAAGCTTCTGTTTTTACTCTCTTATACCAAAAGGAAAGCTTCTGTTTTTACTCTCTTATACCAAAAGGAAAGCTTCTGTTTTTACTCAATTATACCAAAAGGAAAGCTTCTGTTTTTACTCTCTTATACCAAAAGGAAAGCTTCTGTTTTTACTCTCTTATACCAAAAGGAAAGCTTCTGTTTTACTATCTTATACCAAAAGGAAAGCTTCTGTTTTTACTCTCTTATACCAAAAGGAAAGCTTCTGTTTTTACTCAAGTATACCAAAAGGAAAGCTTCTGTTTTTACTCTCTTATACCAAAAGGAAAGCTTCTGTTTTTACTCTCTTATACCAAAAGGAAAGCTTCTGTTTTTGATGATTTTCACAAATTGTGGAAACAATATTGATCAAATATATACCACTCAATAGTGCAGTACAAACATTTATTAAAAGAAATTAGATTTCAGATGTGATTTGCATTATGCATTGTTTGTTTGTTTGTTTGTTTGTTTGTTTTAGCCCTGGTGTAGTGCCATCAGGACTTTTAACAAAATCAGGAGAATTCACTGAGGAAGAAGTTAAAGGGGTAAGAAAGAGAGTTACCCCTAATATATATATTCAGTAAAACTTGTGAGTGTGAACATCTCTTTAAAGTGGCAATTAAGGACAAAGAGTAAAATGTTGGAAGAAATCTCAACAAAAAAATACTGTGTTTTCATTTTTCAATACTTTTGATAATTGGAAAAATGATTTGAGCTATCCGTCAAATAATGTATGGAAATTGTTGAATTGCACTTAAATGTCATCGTGGTAAGCCACGCCCTCTCCATCTCTATCCTTCTGCAACAGAGAGACTGAGATACTATGAGTATCAGAATGCTTAAATGTGATCATTTTACATTCTCTTCCAGTTCTATGAATCCCAAGTGTCAGCTCATCCTCTTGGCAAACTTGGAACAACAGAGGATGTTGCAAAAGCTGTAACATTCCTCGCCTCAGAAGACTCTGGGTTCATAACAGGAGCAATCCTACCAATAGATGGCGGCAGGAATCTCCCCATCCCATAATTTTTTCAATGGGTCTTGACAATGTTTGAGTGACTGCTGATCTCACTTCCAAAAAGGTCAAGCGAAAGTGCTTGATTAGAGTTTTTATATTAATTAATATTTATTTTGTTTTGGTAAATTAAACCTTCAGGACTGGACCAGACAAGTATAATGAAATAAAAACTAAAGGAATAGTAGCTGCTGGTCACATTTCAACTTTCAAGGTTTCTTAAACAAGGGTGTCAATGAAAAATTACAAAATTGGGATCGGAAGAAAGTGTTCATATTTGGAGGTGTTCATATTTGGAGGTGTTCACATTTCAAGGTTTCTTAAACAAGGGTGTCAATGGAAAATTACAAAATTTTGATCGGAAGAAAGTGTTCATATTGGGAGGTGTTCACATATCAAGGTTTCCTAAACAAGGGTGTCACTGGAAAATTACAAAATTGGGATTGGGAGAAAGTGTTCATATTGAGAGGTGTTCGGATTACAGAGATGTTCAGATAAAAAGGTTTTTTATTATTCGATTCAGAGTTCACTTGTAAATGTGAAATAAAAATTCAATATAACATACAAATTACAACGAATATTTTGTTTATGAATATTTATTGTACATTACTTATGTATACACTATACAATTTCTTCTATTTGACTATGACATGCTAAATAAAATAGCTATATAGATTTATCCTATTGTCATGCTTCCTTTTCTGTGATTGGTTAAGCAAAGTCACATGACACAAAAACTCAGATGATATCAGTTTGGCATTAATCGATATACAATTTTTCACGTCTACAGCTAGCCTTGCCCAAGTCTGTACTTTTTTACTTATCCCGATCTTGAATCAATAGAAATCAAGATAAGTAAAAGAGGCAAACTTGGGCAAGACTATTCTACAGCGAGTAAGGATTTTTATCTTATGATACGAGCAATGTTTGTATGTAACAATTCATAATTAGGCCTACTATATTCACTACACACATATTTTAGAAAATGAAATGTAAATACATGTACACCAGTAAAATAATAAAGGCTTTGGCATGTAAAATATAACCACCTGCCATTTGTTATGAACTTTGAACGCCTAAAAGAAAAAAAAGTTGGAGACTATAACAATATTTCACTATCAAAAGTAACTAACACTTGCTTTTCCACGATTTTCATTTGCTAAATCCAGAAATTATAAAATGCCCTTATGGGATATGGAAACCAGATTTAACCAGGTAAAAAATTAAAATGACAAAGATTTAAAACACTTTTCATGTGATTATACTTTGGAAGGGGGGGGCAGTCACTGAAATTCAATTGTGAATAATCCAATGGTTGTGTTCATTAACACTGAACGCAAAAGTGGCAACTTAAAATAAAATAAAAATTTCCTTGCAAAATTTTCTAGTTTTTTTCAAGTAGACTCTTTTCTATTGTTTTTCTAAAATTACAGTTGATTTTTTCGAAAACATTTGATTTCGATATAAAGTTTTTCCAATCTTTTAAAGAAAAATAATTTTACAAAGATGAACTTTACTGCGACAGAAATCATGTATAAGTCATAGCGCATAATTAGATCACATGATTCAGTTTAATCGGGCGCTTCCAAATTGGTTATAGCAGGGGGAAGATGGAGGTACAGATTCTGGATACCTGCTTAGGAAGATGGTGGAAGCAAATTCCTATTTACTGACCAGAATATGCCCTTTTCACGATTTCTGGCATTATCTTGTTGGTATAAATTAATTCTTCGCTGGGTGTAAAGCTTTTTTCAAAATCTTAAGTGGGTGGATTGTCCACTTGTTTTAATGATGGGGAGATCACTGAAAAACTATTCACCAATATACATCTTTTCACCAAATATTGAGAAAATCTGTCAACTAGAATTCGAGTTATCTTCCGGGCACGATGGACTGACGGACAGAGGGCTTCACTATATCCCTACCGAACTTTGCTCGTTGGGATAATGATGGGGAGATCGCTGATGTATATACATGAGAGTCATTTTGTTCTATGTACCCATTGCATCTACAATACCACACATCATTTTATCTCTCGCTTCTGTCTCAGCTGCCTCCGTTAATGTCTGCTTTGCAGAATCATCGACATCCATAGGTTCAGTCTTAATCATCAATTTACTGTCTAGACCCGCAGCTTCAGAAATCACACTTAAACTAGTGTTCATAATTTCCGACACTTTATCTAAATGTTTTTGAAATTTCTCAGCTGTCTCTATGCGCTGACGTTTTTGGACCTCGAGCATTACACGTAATGTTTCACGAGCTTGATGTGGTCGGAACTCGTTTATCAAGTGATGCATGTGAATAAAAAGTAGTTCCAAATCCATGATTTTTTCTCCTCGTTTTTGAGGATTATCAGGTGATTTTATAAGAATATCCAAAAGATCAAGGAAATTGACCAAAATTGAGTAGTTTAGTTTTTTAAGTTCCCGTTTGTGGTCGTAACTTTGAGGATAAAGTCGTCTAAGGCCTTGGTTCTCAAGAGGACGGATTATTTGGTCATCTGAGTCAAATTTTATCCCAAACATATTGTAGGAATCCTGAAATTGCATTCAACGGATAATTAAAATTACAATCTGATAAATTATTTGAATAATTTTGGAGACTGAATATTCCAAATTCTACACTCAAGTTACTGTATATGTTATATGTATCAGGCCCGTAGCCAGGTGGGTTCAATGGGTTTGAGCGAATCCCCCTGGCCAAAAAATCTTTCAAATCATGCATTTTTTCACCATTCTAATCTGAGCACTTTTTAAGTGATTTTGGCCATTTTTGGACCAAAATTGTCACAAGTGAGCCCCCCTGGAATTTTTCAAAAAGTGAACCCCCCTTGACAAATCCTGGCTACGGGTCTGTGTATAGTAGCTATTAGTAGTCAAGTTGTATATTTGTATTTGAATCTAAAAATTGAGGTTCCCATTCTGAAAGTCAAACAAATAAAAGCCTAGTAAGAGTCTTACAGTGAAACAAGTTCTATAATTTAAAACATAATGATATTTATAGTCTAAGCTACAAGCCCTTGTAAGCCCGCAACTATGCGCCTCCCCATAATGTGAGGTGTTGGTGAAGTAGATATGGAGGGGGGAGGGTCCACACAAAAAAAATTTTGGGCCCCTAAAACCCAACAGATGGTCCAAATTTTGAGGCCCATTTTCTTCAAAATTTGGCCTGAAATTAAAAAATAAGGCCTTAAATGGCCCACTGATGACCTTAAGGCCTTTTTTCGCACAAAATTTTTTTGAGGGCCTTTTTTTTCTGGGCCCACCCAAGGGGGGAGGGGGCGGGCCCCCAGCCCCCTCCCAGATCCGCCAGTGGAGCTGAACACAAAAACATAAAGTCTATCTAAAATTCCCATGGTTAATGCCAAATTCAATTAGCCAACAGCAAGAAAACAATTCACATTTAACAAACTTTAAAAACAACAGGAGGTGCATTAAGGAAGAATTGATTCACAGACATTACACTTATTAATATGTACCTTGATAGGGGGTGGTGGTCTTGGAACACGTCCTCTCTGCATGTTCTCATCTGTATACAAACTGATGAACTGCATGGGGGGTAGAGGTAGCGAACTCACTCCTTGATTGGCCTCGGCCATTTTGTTATACTGTGACTGTTGAAAGGAGTGCTATCTGAAAATAAAATTCAAAGAAATTGTAAAGGATTTTTTGCATTTCTATTCTATCAATTTCATTTTCATTTCATTTATTTTTTCATTTCCGATAATATAATGAAAATATATAATGAGGTGGATGAAACCCTACTGGCATCCATTTAATTGATAATTAACATGATGAAAGATTAAAACACAGTTAGGAAAGCATCATTACATTGTCTTCTTTAGTAAACCAGTGGTACAAGGTCAGTGGTCCAGGAAATGATGATATTTCCTGCTTTCTAATTTTCCAATCTTTGTTCTCAAAGTTTCTGGTCAACATTGGAGTTACCATTAGCCTGTCTCCGGGTTTACTAAAAGAAGACAATTTAGTGATTCTTTCCTGAAAATCCAAGGAAATACACACATGCCTTCATACTTTATTTTGTACCAGAAAATAACATGTGCACACATAGCAATTTTTTCAAAAATGTTTTTGTTCCATAAGTACCTTAATGACAATGTTAAAATCAACAAAAAAAACAATATATCTGATCAATTTAGTATTAAATTCCCATGGTAAAAATAACCCCATGACGAATCAGCCCCAGATATCCAAGTTCGATGGAGGACCCTGGCCCTATGATAAAATACATATTGACACTGTGATATTGTGCTCATTTCCAGGAATGTTTGCTTTCTTTTTTTCCTTTAAAATACTCAGAGTGCCTGTTTTGAAATATCCTTTTATATTCACTCTAGCCTATTGATTATCAAATCCATGAGCTTTCGTTTGAGAAAAAGACTTTTAAAAGCCCATTCCAATGTCAGATTGTTGGGCATTACTTGAGTGTCTAGCCAATTCTTAGCTAGAAGTAATTCCATCTGGAACACTGGGAACTATTGTAAAATTTCTAGCCTTGTTGAACTAGATCCAGTCAAGCAACGCATCAACTTAAATATGATAAATATTCTTATAAATATTTATAAGAATTATTAAATAGGAGTTCTAGGTGCGTGTGACTTACTTCGGCCCAAAGCCTTCTCTAAATTCCAGCTTTGAGTAGAAAGATTGAGCTGCCTTGGTACTTTTCTCAAGATTACATACGAAAAGCTAGAGAATCGAGTGAGGCACACCTAGTCATATAAATCTGACCCTCGTATGATGTTATTTGTTGTTATTTTTTTCTGATTTGGATATTTATTTTTCTTATTTTCTTGCATACTAGGGTCATAAACGCTAGCGCTTCTATATTGCGGGAATTGCTTTCCTGGCATGTCTACCCGACAAAATTCACACAAATGATAAATTAATTTCTTTGCTTCAACTATAAAGTATTTAATCTTACCTTAGGCACGTAAAACGCTTGGTAATTGAAGAAATATAAGCACGCTGCTAAATTTTAAACTTTTCTCATTTTGCCTACCAAGGTCACTTCCGGGTTAATCTGATAGTCTAGATGTAAAACTATATCAAACGAAATCATAAGTTTTTGTTACACGAATATTCAGTTGAAAGGGAAGCAGTGTCGTTGAGAAGGGAAGTTATTTGGAAAAGTTATTGTTTCAAAATGAAAAAAGTAATAAGTGGCAGAGAACGGCTTTGGAATCGATCTCTGTGTAATAAATAATTATGATTCCGTTTCGATACATGTTATACATTTAGACTACCGGAAACAACATTCAGCAACATGGCGGGCGATAATGAAAATATAATTCAATTGATTATATTTCGTCAATTATCAAGCGTTTTACATGTCTAAGGTAAGATTTAACACTTTGATGTTGGAGCTAAATTATTACGTGATAATTTGTGTGACTTTGGTTAGTATGGTAACTATGGTTACCAAGACAGGCTAGAAAAGCGTTTACCGCAATTTGTTCCATATAATATCTACGACCGTGTATGCAAAGAAAATGATAAAAAATAAATATCCAAATAAGAACAAGGAATATCGAAGAACAGCATACAACGGTCGGATTTATATGACTAGGCACACCATTTTTCATTGACGAGTGGAAGGAAGTTCTGTACAATACTCAATACAATATAATACAAGAGAGAACTACTGACATTGACTTCATGCTGTTTTTCTTTGATTGAAAACAAAAATGAAAATCAAATGGGGAAATTCATTGAAAAGAAAGCCAAAAGGAAAACAAGATTTTGCAAATTAAAACTTATGCCACTTTGAGACGAAAATCAAGACTAATTTTAAGTAAGTAAATGCATGAATAACATACCTTTAGTTCAATTGTATTGCTTCACCAAAATATAATTGATTCAATGAAAAATCGCATGATTTAGTTAAAGTTTTTGAAAATTAGTTTTCTTTCTCACATGCGGATGTGACGTCATTATGCGCGTAATTGGTTGCGCGGAAGAATACGTCAATTACTTCCGGATTACTAAAAAGTTTCAAAAAGTTTTTAAAACTCGTTAATTTGAAGTGTTATCGTGTCTTAATCGTTAAAAGGATGCAGGTATAGTTAGTTTAGTTATTTAACATAACTTATACGTAAAAATCATAACGATAATATCGCTCGATTGGCTACAGCAATAAAAGCATTATGGAGGAAATAAAAAATTGATCCTATTTGCCCTTGTACATGTACAGTCTGTATCCAACACACTGAATCCAAGGAAGATTCAGTCTGTAAGATATATTCGAATATTTTCAGCCAATTTTAAAACATAGGACGTTGTCTACAATTTCCTTTGTATTTCTAGTTATCCCATGGCAGGACTATAGTCCTGAAAACTTCTCAATCTTTTGCCTGCACAGACGTCAAGTAAGTTTCTGGCGAAAGCCGGAGCATAGATTATTTAGAGGACTGGAAACAAGAATGACCTACCTTTTTATTTCCCAAATCTCGGCTGAAATTAGCTCATCTTGGTGACTGTAACCTGCATATCTGTATTTATAGTCTTTTTGTATCGCATCTGCCTCAATTTTAAAGTTTTATTGGTATTTTTAATATGATTTCACTGTTTTTGTGGACTGGTACGATTAAGCCAAGCAAATGGCAGCTGACCTGTTCAAAGTACTTTTAGTACTAATTATCGCAAATGACAATAATTTTGGAAACTATATTATACTAAATAGAATACTAAGCATCTAAGGTAAGAAAAACTAGATGAACAACTGAGTCAATAGTGATAAATAGGCCAAAACGAATTGGCAGAATTGAAATAGACTGCCATCTTGTTTCCAGTCCTCTTAAATAATCTATGCTCCAGCTTTCGCCAGAAACGTACTTGACGTCCATGTTTGCCTGTACGATTACAACATGGGAGAATTTTCTACGCCTCTTACACTTAAGATACCTACTTCAATAGATTCCTGAGTATTTTAGCATTCTTTTTGTGTAGTAGAATCCACAATTATGTTGGTTTATCTGCAGAACGGGAACATTTTTCTTTTTCATCAAGAGAGATTCCATCACTTTTCAAGATGGTGGTTGGATTTAAAAGGGGATTCCCCATTTGAGTGGTCCGAAAGTGGCCCGGAAAAGAATGGAGGAATTTGACTTTTGAAATATGTTTAATATTACACACAAATTTTGCGATCAAAAATGAAAATTTATTCATTCTGCCGATAAAACCTGATGAAAAGATTGCGTAAATACGAAGTAATCTATTGAAGTAGGTGTCTTAAGTTTAAGAGGCGTAGAAAATTCTCCCATGTTGTAATTGTACAGGTAAAAGATTGAGAAGTTCTCTATTGCTATGACCGCTGAAGACATACATTATAAACAGTTGTCAATGTAGTCTAACAGTTTTGCTTCCCAGAAGTAAGATTTTTGATTTTGTTGAAGAAGTAGTAGGGTAAGGGACTCTCAAAAATAACAATCGTATGTTTTTCTTTTTGCTCTCACTATACCATAACGTGCCTATTTTCATAGGGTCCAGCATGTATTTGATTTTATATATCAAGATAATCTTTCAAGATTTAAGGTTATCTGGCAATAGTTCTTGCATCTCAAATCTTGGATTTCACTAGAATTTCTCACAACGGGCTAAATAAATGAAAACAACAGGCAAAATGAATGGAAATCATAAATTTAACATGGAACAGTTGAAAAGTCCCTAAAAACAACAGGCAATTTTGTGAAAGTTACCTGTGAAAATTGCCTATTGCCTGCTGCTAATGAAACCCCTACATACATGTATATAACCCACCTTAGAAAAACCTTTATAGATTCATATCTTCCTTTACTTTCAGGTCGAATAGACACTTAACATGTGAAGACAAGCTCTGGTGGTGTCACACCCTCATTTTCGATGCATTTCATTGGTCAATATATAAATGTTTACGATTGGATTACACTGACTGGTTAGATGATATCATGGCCAATCAGTATATCAAGGAAGGCTATATGACCAAGAAGTCTATAAACAAAAGAACAATATTCTCACCTGACAATTTTAAAGCACGATGGTTCACATTGGATAACGTAGCTCTTCGATATTACGATGGAAGTCTTGAGGTAAGCCCCTAATTCTCTGTACTGTAAAGTCTTGTATCTCATTCACCTTTGTTAAGATGACGTATTTAGGGAAGTTCACAAGGGTTTGATACAAGACTACATGCAGTAATTGTGAAACTTGGAACATCAAAAAAAAATTGAAAATATATCTATCCTTTAATCCCAGAGTACTGCCTATTCCCTTCCCAATTAGCAGCTTGTTACGGTGCATATTACATAAAAGTTATGAATTGTAATAAATTGAATTGAAAATACTTTGATACAGTTTTCAAGAGAAAAATATGATTTGAAATATACTACATGTATGTTATTAATGGTCGACATGGTATGAATTCAATATATGTTACACTGGATTTAGTCTCTATAATTTATATAAACAAGAGTGATAAATAAATAAACAAACGATCAAGAAATCAAATAATCTAAAATGAAAAGATCATTTGTTGATAATTTTGGCAATTCAGTTCAACATTCATTAAGATCCTGGTTATGGTTTCAGTTCTTAAATTATGATACCCTTCGCAAACTCCTTCACGTCTCCTCATCTCTTAGAGAAAATACTCAAAGAATATTACCTATAATATAATCACAAAATTTCACTATGTATGTACTGTACTTTTAAACTCACATTATAGGCCACAAAAGCTTCATTTGATATCAATAAGATCCTGGTAGAATATCAAAACTGTAAAATCACATTTAGTAGTCAGAGGAAAGGTTGCTAGATAAGGAGGAACCAGGGTAACTGATCTGGGTCATGGTGACATCAAATCCACCCAAAACTTTTCACAGAATTTAGATTTCCAGTTTTAGATGATAAGAATCCAGTCTAGAAACTAAGATGCAATGAGTATCAGAATTAGCTTTTTTCTGGTTTAAGGTATTCAGAAATAAGGTTATAATGGCATCCATAGAGAGATAAAGTTTCAACATTTACTCAACATAACATCTTGGATGTCTATTAAGTGAGTTATATCAGTTGTTACTTGAAGTTTCTATTCATGGTGTGTTGACAGATACTGTATTTACAGTGTACCCTTTCTCTTCAGTTTTGCACAACTTCAAATTTCCAGTTAACCAATTCTAATCTTAAAGTCTGATCTTTATGGAAAACGCAATATTTGGATGTTTTTTTATTTTTATAAATTCGACAACTGACAAGATTATGAATGCCTATATATCAAAATGACAATGTTAATAACGGTATTTCCAGTGCAGAATAAAAGCACAACAAAAAATAAAATATCATTTCGGATAAGCCATGCTCGTACCATGGCATGACCGCACGAGAAACAAGCATTTTTCCCTAGACCACATGGGCTGAATATACAGAGAGAGGTCAATCAACGCTACTCATCCAAATGGATGAACGTATTTGTGCAGATTCTTTGCCCCAATTGTTCATCAGCGTATATCCTCTCAATTTAGCTCAAAATATCACCAGGGACATCGGAACAACTCACGATTGCTTTTTATCCAGAGCTCACGGTTTAATTGAATTGGACACTTAGAAAAAAGCATCCAAATTTTACATTTCATTTTCAAAATAGTGGAAATGGATTCTGTTTCTTCTTATTATTAATTGCACAAGTTTCAAAGTTAATCAATTCTGAATATGAAACTGGTCAAAATAGCATCTCATTAATAAATTCCAAATGATAGCAAATGGATCTTTAGCTAATCATCTGGTTGATGCAAACCTTGGGAGATTGAGTAGCTTGTCCATATATTCAATTCAATTCAATTCAATTCAATTTATTCATTCAAAATTACATCATACAACATTTCATCAATAACATGAAAAAGACACCCCAAGGGGCGTATGTATTCCATAGGTCATAATATTTAAAAGTAATGTTTTAGTCATAGATCAAAAGCTTAATGAATCAAAATGAAAGAGAAAAATGGAAACAGATTATCATTGGTATTTACTGATAAGATCATTCTTTATCAGTTTTTCGAATTTCTTAATAAATTTTGCCTTTTTAACTTGTGTTGGCATTATTTTCATTCAGTTATGGGTTAGTAATATATATAATGCATAATGCATATATTGTACATGTAGATGTGGCAGGTGACCAGATGTATTATGACATATTGAGTAAGTAAATACAGTATACAGTTGTAAAAATACAAAATGGGAAGATAACATCTATCAGTCATCCGATAAACCATTCATAAGGAACAGACAAATAAAAACAAATCACATAATCATTACTAATAAGCCAAATGGGTTGCTCATGAACACCAAATGCAAGGTATAGTGAAGTTTAGTTGTTATTGAAACAGCTTTGTTGTAATGTCAGCACCATAAAGTGATGACATATTGTTATGGTCTTCATTTTTTGTGACAGCGGTTGGTGGTTGGCTGGCGGTTGGCAGTTGGAGGTTGGCGTCTGTAACAAATCCTTAACTTGCAATAACTTAACAAATACTTTTTAGATTGACTTAATTTTTTTCAAAATCATCTACAAGAAGTTCAAATCTGACGTAAGATTTAAGATTTGACCTTCATTGACCATTTCAAGGTCAAAAAAGGTTAACGATTGGCAGGTGGCGTCTGTAACAAATTCTTATAACTTTTATATAACATAACAAGCTGTTTAGACAGACATCAGTTTTTTCAAAATCACTTATAAGTTTTCAGAAGTTCAAAGCTGATTTAAGATTTGACCTTCAATGACCTTTAGAAGGTCAAAAAGGTTAAAAAAAATGTCAAAAAGTGTCAAATTGATTTTTTTCTTTTGAAAATCATCTACGAGTTCTCAAAAGTTCAAATCTGATCATAGATGTGAGATTTGACCTTCAATGACCTTCTTTAGGTCAAAAAGGTATTTTTTCAACTTGCTTGAATTTGGCCAACTTTTTTTTCAAAATCATCTACAAGTTCTCAGAAATTCAAATTTGACTTTAGATTTGAGATTTGACCTGGTAAAAAAGGTCTTTAGGTTAAAAAGGTCAAAAAGGTAAAAAATGTTGATTTGTAGATTAAATATATGTTTATGATTTGCCTAGAAAATAAATTGCTTAAACGACTCCGAATAAATGTTGTCTGCATCCAAAACTTGAGTTCTGATTTGGCAAATCTAATATTCCATATTTATAAGCAACAGTGTAGTTAGTTTACATAACCTCATGTTTTCAGGTATTATTAAATATATTTACACTGGCAAGTTTAATAAGTTCCTTCTAAATAACACAAACTTGTAGGAAGTAAATTTATTACAAGTGTTTGAATAGCTTAGATATACAGTAGTATCATTTCAATACATTTATAACAGTTTGCTAGTATTCAAGCTACACATTATCATTGAATTAAAATTCTGAAAATTGGCCTTCTGGCTTTTATAATGAATTGGATGTATCTTGAGGACTGTCTGACCCAGTGAATCCAGTGTTCATTGTCCTAGGTATAATTAGTGCCTCTTGCTTATATCATCCTAGGTATAATTAGTGCCTCTTGCTCATATTGTCCTAGGTATAATTAGTGCCTCTTGCTTATAGGGTTTCTCTCTTGCTTATATTGTCCTAGGTATAATTAGTGCCTCTTGCTTATATTATCCTAGGTATAATTAGTGCCTCTTGCTTGTATTGTCCTAGGTATAATTAGTGCCTCTTGCTTATATTATCCTAGGTATAATTAGTGCCTCTTGCTTATATTATCCTAGGTATAATTAGTGCCTCTTGCTCATATTGTCCTAGGTATAATAAGTGCCTCTTGCTTATATTATCCTAGGATTAGTGCCTCTTGCTTATATTGTCCTAGGTATAATTAGTGCCTCTTGCTTATATTGTCCTAGGTATAATTAGTGCCTCTTGCTTATATTGTCCTAGGTATAATTAGTGCCTCTTGCTTATATTGTCCTAGGTATAATTAGTGCCTCTTGCTTATATTGTCCTAGGTATAATTAGTGCCTCTTGCTTATATGGTCCTAGGTATAATTAGTGCCTCTTGCTTATATTGTCCTAGGTATAACTAGTGCCTCTTGCTTATATTGTCCTAGGTATAATTAGTGCCTCTTGCTTATTGGGGTTCTCCCAATCATCTAAATTGCTGCATTAGTTATATACTTTTAGACCCCTATATGAAGGGGATATTGTTCACTGGGGATATTGTTCACTGGGGATATTGATCACTGGGGATATTGATCACTGGGGATATTGATCACTGGGGATATTGATCACTGGGGATATTGATCACTGGGGATATTGATCACTGGGGATATTGATCACTGGGGATATTTATCACTGACTGGAAATAAGTAAAAGCAAAAAAAACAATCTACCAAGATTTGAGTTTCTTGTATTTTTCAATTTGTTCTCTTGTTCTTTTAATTGTAATTTGTCTTGATGTTTCTTGTCATTATAATAGTAATCATGTTTCTTGTCACTATGAGAGTCCTTCCCAGTTTGTGAACAAGAGGAGGAAATACATGTACCATATAAAGACAGACCTGTAGAGTGCAGAGGTTCATATTCACATAGGCTCATTTAGGAATTCTGGGGTATTTCCTACTCATTTATTGAAAGCGACATATTTACTTGATGATAAATGTAATTTCTAATTTACTCGATGGCATTTATTTATAATTGCGCTTCATTTGTTTTTCCTTAATTACATCCTGAACAGTACAAGTACCATTCTCCAAAAGCATCAATCTCTATGTAAGAATGGACGTATCATTTGAAACATGTATATAGGAACACTTCAGAATATCAATTCAAACTGACTTGATATCAAATGAAGCTCACTTTTAAGAGGTATGAAAGGTGTTCCACTTAGACGGGTTTAACTGTATCTACTTTTGCAATTTGATATATATGTCTTTAAATGAACACCAACATAAGAGGAAAATAATAAAAATCATAATTTTTTTTCAAAAAATATACTTTCATTCACAATACAGTGAATTCTTTTTTACAACTTGTGAATGATGGACTTTTTGTAATAGAGATCAGGCTACCAGCAACTCAGCATGTGTGTTCATTTAACCATGTCATTTTTATTGTTATGTCACCACAAAAAGTGGTGACATACTTCTATATACTTCCATGGTCTGTGTTTTTTGATGGCAGTTGGTGGTTGGTGCCCATCGTCTGGCAACCAGCATCTGTAACAAATTCTAAACACTTCCAAGAACTTGATAAAATACTGTTTAGACTGACTTCAATTTTTTCAAAATCATCTAGAAGTTCTCAGTAGTTCAAATCTGACTTTAGATTTGACCTTCGATCTTTTTCAAGTTGCTTCAAATTGACCCAAATTTTTTTCAGAATCATCTACAAGATCTCAGAATTTTAAATCTGATTTTTAGATTTAAGAATATTTACATTTTGAATGACACACAAAGAAAGAAAAATTTGATTCGTCCTCTGTAAATTCCATATTAATTCAAAATACTTGTACTAAACTACTTCCTGGTTTTATTTCCTGTATTTTTTTGATACTCACATAGGGGAATTCCCTTAGTTCTCATTTTACCATATAAACACACACTCTAAATTGACATTTCAAATTCAATCCATTATCCATATTTTGATTCAATGGTTGTTCGTCTTTGAAAAATCATACTGTCAGTATGTTTATCCATCCATAGATATTTGATTAAATTCATGAGTTGATGCAACTTCTCCATATATCTGATGCAACTTCTCCATATATCTGAAATGCTGGAATGAGCCTGAGCATTTCTTGAATTTCTGCCTATTTGATTGTATATCTTGAGATACAGATAGTCATTGTTAAAATTGATGGGCTATTTTCATTAATTTATTCACAAATATGTATACAGTCTTTCTCTTTGAGCTCTCTTTGGTAATCACCATGGGCGTAGCCCTATATTTCTAAGTAGTACGCCACCGCAGGATCAAGAGTTGAGCGAAGCAAAAAAGCGAGCGTTTGGGGGTCTGGGTCTGTGCTCACCCAGGAAAATTTTGAAATTTGGTTGTATTTGGAGCGAATTTGCAACCATCTGGTATGCCTGTGCATACCCAGCGTACCGGGCGCTACACCTATGATCACCTGTCTCTAGTGGACTGGACACCTTTCCTTCGTACATACTGTACTGACTCCTGTATGAATTACCTTTTTAGGGAACACTACCAACACTGAGCATTTTTTCTTGGTAAAAATTATTCAAGACAACTGTATGTACAATTACAGTTGTAAAGTGTAACCATATGTTTTTTTATTTGTTTTCAGAAAGGCAAGACTAATGAGAAAGGGAAAGTTGAAATATCAAGTATTAAAGTTGTAGAAGAAGTAGAGGATGGCAAACTAGAGGGAAAATTAAATACTTTTCAGGTAAGCCATGATTATGCCTGGGTCACATTTGCTCCGATCCGTAGGCCGGCGCCCTGCCGATTGAGTGTTTTGTTCAAATTTGTATTCAATTTTGAACAAAATATTCAATCTGCCAGGCGCCGTAGTGAAAATCGTAGCAAATGTGACCAAAGCATTAATGACACACGGTTTCTAAGAACTCAAATGCCCCTGTCGGGGTATTTTAGGCGAGGGAGGGGGGTCATTGTATTGAGTGAAATTCTTAACTCCAAAGAGTGCCAATTTCACATGTATTTAGTTTCAGATTTATACACTTAAGAAATTAGGATAGAAAGTGCCAAATCAAGCTGAAATGACTCTGTATTAAGAAGATGTAGCTAGAATGAGAGTTTGTAAACAAATTTTCCAAAAACAAAATCTTGTTTCATTCATATGCTAATCTTGCTTACATTTTCCTTTTACACTGATACTGTTTTTCTTTTGCAAATTTGAATTTTGTCTTCATTAATGAATTCAACTTAATTCCTTAATAAGAAGGCATCATACATGTTGTTTTTTAGATTGGTTTCCATGACAGTAGTGAGCAACATACATTGTACATTACTGCTCAGACTGACGATATGAGAAAAGATTGGGTCCAAGCTATAAGGGATGGTAAGTCAATATTTTACTTTATATTGTTTTTAGGGTTTAATAACAGTGGGTGTAATGGTGGTTCATACATGGGTTTTGTTTATATTGAATTTTAGTCTACAATATAACTGGGTCTAACAGACCTCTTTTCACTTATCCTTTCTTAAAATATGCTTCTTGTAAACATTGATGCAGTGTCCAAAAACCTTGGAAACCACCAATACCTGTTATTGCTGTAAAATGAAAATATTCCATTTTTGGCCTATATAAAGCCATATCCCAGAATTATTTCAAGAATAAGTTTTGGGTAAGATAAGTTTATAAAAAAGTCTGTAGATCTGAGGATGTTGATTATTATTAATAGTTTTGTAATTCTCTCCATTTTCAGTTTGTCAGTCGCAAGGTGTTGAGTTTGATTTGAAGTACCACTCAGGCGTTTTCCAGAGAAATTTGAAACGATTCAACTGCTGTGACCAAATTAACAAAAATTCACCGGGATGTCAGCCAACTTTTAATCAACCAGAAAATGCAAGAAAACAAAATGGTATGTACTGTATGTTAACAAGGCGGCCCAACTACACATTGAAAATCCGTTTGACTTTGAATTTTAGACGTACCAGATGTTGGTCAAATCAAGGATTGTGAATGGCATATACTGCACCATTTTCACTAGTTCCATTAAAAGCAAAGCAAAAGAGGAGTTTCTAAATAGCTTTAAAATCTCGCTAAATCTCGTTTTTTCATGAGATTTTTAGAGATTTGCACTTTTTACCTCTAATGACTTACTTTGCTTTATTTCTGATAGCATATTTGAATTCAGTGACAAGTTTTCTCCAATAATAAGTTTGATTTACACAGTTATGTCATTTAAATCATTTTCCATGACATTTAAAAAAAACTTGGGCCAAATCTCCATTGGTGCAATGCTAAGATTCATTAAAACCTTGGCTTATTCGTATGACAACCAACATTTTCATGTTTAATCACAATATGTACATTGACAGTGTCATCCGATAGTATGCCATTCGAGTTTCAGACAGATTCAACCAACACTTTTTGACAAATCATGAAATTAAGTGACTATTGCAAGTTTCTAGCATTGAACTGAATGGAGGTGTGGCTCAAGAAAATCAAAGACAAACAAGGGTGACATTTATTATGTCAGCGTTATTCAGCTATTTAGAAACTATACAATTGTTACATTATTTGTTATACAGAGTCCCTCCTTTTAACGGCATTTGGGTCCCCAGCTGTCAGAGCTGCCTCTTTTTTAAAAAGATCTGACCCCTAATAGAAACTGAAGGCTTTTTCTAATTTCAGGTTTGGCAGGTTCCAGTACGCTGTCAGTACGAGACACGCCTCTCCCTCCAATACCACCAAACACTCCAGCGAGGGATCCACGGAATAGTAAAACATTTGTCATTGCCTTATATGATTACCAAGGGGCAGCCGATGGAGACCTTTCAATTACAAAGGTAAGAATATGTTTATATATGGAATGCCCATATTTGGTTAACATTTGTCATTGCCTTATATGATTACCAAGGGGAGGCCGATGGAGACCTTTCAATTACAAAGATAAGAGTATGTTTATATATGGAATGCCCATATTAGGTTATAAAACATTTGTCATTGCCTTATATGATTACCAAGGGGAGGCCGATGGAGACCTTTCAATTACAAAGGTAAGAGTATGTTTATATATGGAATGCCCATATTTGGTTAACATTTGTCATTGCCTTATATGATTACCAAGGGGAGGTCGATGGAGACCTTTCAATTACAAAGGTAAGAGTATGTTTATATATGGAATGGCCATATTAGGTTATAAAACATTTGTCATTGCCTTATATGATTACCAAGGGGCGGCCGATGGAGACCTTTCAATTACAAAGGTAAGAATATGTTTATATATGGAATGCCCATATTTGGTTAACATTTGTCATTGCCTTATATGATTACCAAGGGGAGGCCGATGGAGACCTTTCAATTACAAAGGTAAGAGTATGTTTATATATGGAATGCCCATATTTGGTTAACAGGGTGGATTCTATTTTCTCATATGACTAGCCAAGATACAGCCATCTTTACGCCATGCAAGATATTGCCATTTTTCATCCTAAAAAGTCACACGTGTAAGATGAGATTTACTTGTGACATCACTGGTCTATAAACACCAACAACATAGCAACAAATACACTGTTGCTAAGAGTATCCATGCTCATTATACAAAACTAAGCTGTGACATCATAACAATGGAGCTTTGTTGCCACTCGTATCTATGAATTTTCTATAATATTGTTATGACATACTAACAATTGAAAGAAAAGATGAAGTTCCATTAATCTGAAGCTATTTTTCACCCAGTTTTGTCAAGAAAACGTGAAAGTAATTGGCGTAATACAGAGTCATATGGGAAAAACTTTCTTGTACTTGTACCTGTGCAAAATTGTCCAATTTGGCTTTGATAATGTTTTTTTATCTCGTCTGCGACTTGATAAAGAAGAATTATCAAAGGTCATCGAGAATGGACGATCTTGCACAGGTACTCATATAAGAACCTTTATTTATTGTATGCAGTTCAGGGTGAATTATATTTAATTGTATGTATTACAGGGTGGATTATATTTAATTGTATGCATTACAGGGTGAATTGTATTTTATTGTATGCATTATTGGGTGAGTTATATTTTATTGTATGCATTATGGGGTGAATTATATTTTATTGTATGCATTATTGAGTGAATAATATTTTATTGTATGCATAATGGGGTGAATTATATTTTATTGTGTGCATTATAGAGTGAATAATATTTTATTGTATGCATTACAGGGTGAAGAGTATGAGGTGATAGATAATTCCAAAGAACATTGGTGGACAGCAAAAAATAAGAAGGGGTAAGAATTATTTATTCTTATTGGTCATTGCAAATCCATGTTTCTGATTGGCCAGTTTCAGTCATGTGACTGCCCTGGATTAATGGATTGTCGTAACTTTCACTGTTTCAAACTAAATGCAAATTTTAAAACTGAAAATTGTCCTAAGATGTCTGTACAATAATTTCTAAATTCAGTAGACTCTAAACAGAAGCTGTGCTCCTGACTTTTTTGGATGTCTTTGCAGGAAAAACATTTGACATTCATTCCTGGAATATTTGGCCAGAGCTTTCTGGCACATTTCAAACATTTTTGGATATAATGTGTAACATGTAATATTGCCGAGGCTATATATATATATTATATGAGTGTTTGAAATGAAGTTTTTAATGATTAATTTTGTTATTTGATTTTAGGGAAAAGGGGTACATACCAGCCAACTATGTAGAGGTTGTAACATCAACTGGACTAGAAAGCTATGAGTAAGTGGAATCAGTTTTGACAATTACTCATATAGAGAAGTCAAGTTCAAATTAATACAAAATCTAGGACCTTTCAATTGGCACTAAAATCTGCTCCGTTCCACTTGGCTTCGGTTTAATATCCGTACCCTTAAATTTTGCACAAAATACAATTACCTAAGTGAGAGTAGGCGCCAATGTCACCACCATGTGGGTATTCAAAAAGAAGTGAGGCATGTACCTGACCTAGAAGTCACTTTTCAAATAAATTTAATATTTCAAGTTGATTAACAATTTTTAAAATGGCGTTTCAGTGTGTATTAATTATAGATTTCAAATACTTGTATGATATTAAATTCGACTAACATTTGAATATTTAATTTTGAAAATCAAGATTATTACAACTCACATCTAACTGTAGTGACCCTTGTTTTTTTATCATCTGGCAAAAAGTGGAGAAACTGCTCAGGACGTAATTGATTGTTCCATTTATTTTAGCTGGTATCATAAAAACATAACCAGGCACCGGGCGGAAGAGATGTTAAAGGCAGAGGGGAAAGAGGGCTGCTTTATCGTACGTGATTCCAGTACTAAAGGAATGTACACTGTCTCAATATACACAAAAGAAAGGTATTTTTCAGTTCTCTTTTAAATTGTCTTATCATTTTGAATTCATGGATTAGTTTTTTAATTAATTTTATAATATAGAATAATCACATGTTCATTTAGACTCAAGCCTGTGTTTTAAATGGAAATTATAGTTTAGGAAATGTGTCATAGCAATGTACTAGTATATTAATTATATTCATAATTTTGTATTTATTTTAATTCCATAATATTGTATTTTGTATGTTTATTGAATTTGCATGTTATGATTATCACTGTTCCTTAAAGACTTACTTTGAAGGAACGTCAATGTAACAAAATGGATGAACTTCCTGGATACAAGTTTTTTGTTTTCTCGATTTAAACTTACGTATAAGTCATGATGCGGATTATCATTTGGCACAAAGTTAGACAATATAGCCTATCTTTTAGAAATGCTCTAGGTTTGGAATTTGATTTTTAAATAAAGTTGTAATTCATGCATTTAGACCATCGCTTTAGTTACATTGACGTAACTTGTCAAAGTAACATACATTGGTGATATAACAGACTTTCGTCAATGTAACAAAAGCGAGGGGCTAAATATATGAATTGCAACTTCATTTACAAAAAAAAATTCCAAATCGAAGAAACTTATTTAAACTAGATTATATTTGCAAGTTTTGTGCCAAATTATAATCTGTAGCTTGACTTAAAAGTAGGTTTAAATCGAGAAAACAGAAAACTTCTAAAAAGGAAATTTATCCATTTTGTTACATTGACGTTCCGTCAAAGTAACTAGTTGTGGAACAGTGATTATGAGTATCTAGTCTTTCTGATAACCCTGTACCCTAACAAATGTCAGTCTGGTTCTGTTTTCTGTTGGGTTATTTGAAAAATTTGATAAATTAAAAATTAACCAGGCTTATGGTATGAAGTCAAAACTCAAAATTATTTGGAAAGTCAAAAAGGAAATCTCATGGCATGATTAGACAAAACTTAATATTATTTGGAAAGTCAATAAAAGTAAATCTTATAGTATGAGGTTAAAACTTAATATTATTTGGAAAGTCAATAAACCAAATATTTTGAAAAATGGTGTGAGATGCATGGTATATTTTAAGCATGCAATATTGGGAAAAATGCATCCCTTTCTGCCATTTCCTTCTAACAACATTAACGAAGCTATCTCATTAAGGGGCTTGGTCAAAATATACATGTGTTCTGCTATATTACAAATGAATAAACAACAGTAGCACATGCGTCTGGAACTCGCAACCTCATGGTTACGGCACCCAACTTTGATAAGGGTTTAGAAGCTTTTACACAAAGTTAATGTTTCTAGACATGATTGATGAAATAAATTGAATTGATTTTAAGATAAATTATAAATTTTATAAATTTCAATGTTTTAAAAGTCAAAAAGTTTGATTCTGCCTTCTCCTACCCTTAATTGAAATTACCTGGACATATTGTGACACATGACACATGAAACATTGTGATAAATGACACAAAGTGACACATTGTGACACTTGACACATGAATCATTGTGATACATGAAACACAGTGACACATTGTGACACTTGACACATGAAACATTGTGACACATGAAACACAGTGACACATTGTGACACTTGACACATGAATCATTGTGATACATGGCATATTGTGACACTTGACACATGAAACATTGTGATAAATGACACATTGTGACACTTGACACATGAACCATTGTGATACATGACACATTGTGACACTTGACACATGGAACATTGTGATACATGACAAATTGTGACACTTGACACATGAAACATTGTGATACATGACACATTGTGACACTTGACACATGAACATTGTGATAAATGACACATTGTGAGACTTGACACATGAATCATTGTGATACATGAAACACAGTGACACATTGTGACACTTGACACATGAATCATTGTGACACATGACATATTGTGACACTTGACACATGAAACATTGTGATAAATGACACATTGTGACACTTGACACATGAATCATTGTGATACATGAAACACAGTGACACATTGTGACACTTGACACATGAATCATTGTGATACATGACATATTGTGACACTTGACACATGAAACATTGTGATACATGACACATTGTGACACTTGACACATGAAACATTGTGATAAATGACACATTGTGACACTTGACACATGAACCATTGTGATACATGACACATTGTGACACTTGACACATGGAACATTGTGATACATGACAAATTGTGACACTTGACACATGAAACATTGTGATACATGACACATCGTGACACATTGTGACACTTGACGCATTGATGTTTGGCCTGGCTCCTCATAGTCCATGATTGCCATAACAACAGTTTAATTTGTTTTCTTCAATTAGTTTTAAATTAATGCTTTATTAATCTCCTTGGAATGGTTTATCATACTCACCTCACTCAACCCACTCAGTTCACTCAACTCACTCAACTTACTCACCTCACTCAACTCACTCAACTCAGTCATGATTTCAATATTCACTTATACAAGATCTTATTTGTCTCATTCAAGTCCCTGTACCCAGCCCTCTCTCTGATAAAGGCGGGATGGGGTGGAGGAGTATGGGGAATGGAGGTTGCCCCATATCCGTATAGGAGATTAGTTCTCATTCAGTTCTTTCATTTAGTGGAAGGGGGGAATTTATAGATAATCTTCAAATAAAGATGAACCATTTAACACAGAGATGGGTTCATTTATGAATTCTGGAGTATTTCCTCCTCTTATTCACAAGTGAAACTCAATGACTTATGCCTAGGTCACATTTGCTCCAATTCATTGGCTGGCGGCTGGCCGATTGCAGTATTTTGTTCAAAACTGATTTCAACTTCCTTCAAATTGACCAAACTTTTTTTAAAATCATGTACAAGTTCTCAGGAGTTCACATCTGACCTAAAATTTGAGATTCGACCTTCAGTTTTGAACAAACTACTCAATCGGCTGGGTGCCGGTGTGAAAGAAATCATGGTCCCCCAGGGATTATGGTCCCCTTTCTTAACGGCCCTTACTGGCCCTGATTGCGTATAAGATAATGAGGGAAAGAGTTGTATTAAGCTCATCATATAAATCAATGGAGAGTAGGACCATAATTTGATAGGACCTCCTACCCTTTTACACCGGCCGATGAATTGGAGCAAATGTGACCTAGGCATTAGTGCCATGTTCTGATGTCACCAATTTTAGCTAAATTGTCAAAATATCCAATCTTTTCATCATTTTTCCAAGTTCTCAACTGGTTAACTGGTTAACAAGTTACAGGGTCTTTTGCTTTAATACTTTGGAGAACCTAGTTTGATGGAGAACTTAGTAATAATGAAAATAAAATCATTTACAGTATATAAGGGACACCCTGTAAAATTAGGTATTTGCTACTTACTCTTACACGATGCATCTTAATTAGAAAAGGCAGCTTGTGATTATAACTCTCTATTAGCTTCTCTCGTGTGTTTGGGTGTGCGGCACAAAATTTTATTAGTAGTGCCAAAGAAGGGATCAGGCCAATTTATCGATATTTTTCTCAACCTTTAAAATAGTGAACCTTTCAGAATGACCTACTTTCTCTTGAAAATTCATTTATTTATTCATTCATTTCCTATTATAGATTTATATGCTTATAAACCATACTTATTAACTTCAGTCCATATACTGAGATACTGAGCAGGTCCTTAATATCTCAAAAATTAGCAGCATATATATCCGACTTGGGGCGGTTTTAATGGTTTTCTTTGCATTTGGTCCAATCATCATAAAAATTAAGACCCCTTGCAATCATTGCTATTTTTAACTTCAGAATGGAGGGCAATGTACGTCACTATCACATTAAATCAAATGCAGATGGACTGTACTATCTTGCAGAAAAACATCCATTTGAGACTATACAGGAATTGATATTCTATCACAAACATAATTGTGGAGGTTAGTCTCTTACTAATGTACTAATCACCCTGTAGCTGTACTTATCACCATATAGCTATCACCCTTTAGCTGTACTTGTCAACATGTAGCTATACTTAACACCCTATAGCTGTACTTATCACCCTATAGCTATCACCCTTTAGCTGTACTTGTCAACATGTAGCTATACTTAACACCCTATAGCTGTACTTATCACCCTATAGCTATCACCCTTTAGCTGTACTTGTCAACATGTAGCTATACTTAACACCCTATAGCTGTACTTATCACCCTATAGCTATCACCCTTTAGCTGTACTTGTCAACATGTAGCTATACTTAACACCCTATAGCTGTACTTATCACCATATAGCTATCACCCTTTAGCTGTACTTGTCAACATGTAGCTATACTTAACACCCTATAGCTGTACTTATCACCCTATAGCTATCACCCTTTATCTGTACTTATCACCCTATAGCTGTACTTATCACCCTTCAGCTATCACCCTTTAGCTGTACTTGTCAACATGTAGCTGTACTTATCACCATTTAGCTATCACCCTTTAGCTGTACTTGTCAACATGTAGCTGTACTTATCAGCCTACAACTAGTGTCCTTTAATCCCTTTGTCTTCTTTCAATTGATTTTTCTATGTTTCATTTCTTTTTATTTTATTGGATTCTCTGTTTTCTATATTTATAGGTAACGCATCTAACACAGCTTTCACCTATTACCTCTATTGCTTTAGTACACATCAACACACATGGTGTTTGTAATTGCAGCAAGAGCCTGTACATGGTAGTGATTGTTCTTGCATGATGTAATTTGTGCTTTACAAGATTTTTATACTCATATTGTACCAACCATTCTCTGCTTTATAATTCTGCTTGCTTCTTGTAGCCACTTTGGCGCTTAACACTTTATGTTGCTTTTGAGTACTTGGTTGCTTCTTGGCTGCTTATATGTAAATTGCTTGTGCTTCAGCACATTGATTGTGCCTTAAAGCACATTCATACACATTGATTGTGCTAGATTAGAAACACAATCACTGATTCCACGTTGGATGTATTACAGCGGCACCATGGTATTACATTACCATATAAAGCAGTTCAACGATGGGATGTTTTACATTTCTGAGAAATTCAAGTTTCCCACAATTCCTGATGTGATTAAGTACCATAAATGCAATTCCGGGGGTATGTTAAAACTGTTTTATAAAATAATTTAAAACTTCCAAATATAATCTACAAATCTAAAGAGGTGGAGACAAACCTTTTTTTCTGTAAAGTGAAAGTGCATTTTTTATGTCCCCACCACATAGTGTGGGGCCATATTGTCGGCCTAGGCGCGTCCGTCCGTCTGTCCGTCTGTCTGTCTGTTTGTCCATCTGTCCGTACGTCCGGCAGTTTTCTCCAAAACCGCTACAGATATCACCTTCAAATTTTCAGGAATAACTTATGAGTGCATACAGATGTGGAAGAAAAAAAATTAACTCGATACCTACTTCCTGTCGGCCGTTTTGAAGTCAAATGCTAAAATCCTTGTCTGCAAACTTTAAGAAAAACAGCTTCACAGGTGCTTTTAAAACTTTAACATCTTGTTCAGCTCACTTCATTCTAGATCTGATTAGGTTTTGGACCTTTTAGCTCAGTCATGTCAGCCATTTTGAATGTTTTAAGAAAAGTTAGCGCACGATAATACTTTGTATCATATTGAATGGTGTTTTTCAGTTTTCATACTTTAACTATTTAGTAGCTTTATAAATAATTTCAGGAGTACTTTGTTGTAAAAGCCTATGTTATTGTTAACAGTAGTAATACGTGATAATTTTGTAAAAAGTAATCAGCAAAAACTCATAATCGCTTTTTTATTGTCGGCCATTTTGGATTTTTCCATCCTAAAATCTTGTCTGTAAAGTCTTGTCTACGCGTTTTCAGGTGAACCGTTTGGTAGATCAATTTCAAATTTCCAGGGATGATTCTTAGTATAAAAATCTAGATCTGATTAGTTTTTGGGCATTCTGGGTAAATATCAAGGCAGCCATTTTGGATTTTCCATCCTAAAATCTTGTCTGTAAAATCTTGTCTACGCATTTTCAGGTCAACCGTTTGGTAGATCAATTTCAAATTTTCAGGGATGATTCTCAGTGTGAAAATCTGGATCTGATTAGTTTTTGGGCATTCTGGGTAAATGTCAAGGCAGCCATTTTGGATTTTCCGTCCTAAAATCTTGTCTGTAAAGTTTTGTCCTAACATTTCCAGGTGAACCGTTTGGTAGATCAATTTGAAATTTTCAGGGATGATTCTCAGTATGAAAATCTAGATCTGATTAATTTTTTGGCATTCTGGATAAATGCCAAGGCAGCCATTTTAGATTTTCCGTCTTAAAATCTTGCCCGTAAAGTCTTGTCTACGCGTTTTTAGGTGAAGAACCATTTGGTAGATCAATTTCAAATTTTCAGGGATGATTCTTAGTATGAAAATCTAGATCTGATTAGTTGTTGGGCATTCTGGGTAAATGTCGAGGCAGCCATTTTGGATTTTCTGTCCTAAAATCTTGTCTGTAAAGTCTTGTCTACACATTTCCAGGTGAACTGTTTGGTAGATCAATTTCAAATTTTCAGGGATGATTCTTAGTATGAAAATCTAGATCTGATTAGTTTTTATGCATTCTGGATGAATGTCAAGGCAGCCATCTTGGATTTTCCGTCTTAAAATCTTGCCCGTAAAGTCTTGTCTACGCGTTTTTAGGTGAAGGACCGTTTGGTAGATCAATTTCAAATTTTCAGGGATGATTCTTAGTATGAAAATCTAGATCTGATTAGTTGTTGGGCATTCTGGGTAAATGTCGAGGCAGCCATTTTGGATTTTCTGTCCTAAAATCTTGTCTGTAAAGTCTTGTCTACACATTTCCAGGTGAACTGTTTGGTAGATCAATTTCAAATTTTCAGGGATGATTCTTAGTATGAAAATCTAGATCTGATTAGTTTTTATGCATTCTGGATGAATGTCAAGGCAGCCATTTTGGATTTTCCGTCTTAAAATATTGCCCGTAAAGTCTTGTCTATGCGTTTTTAGGTGAACCTTTTGGTAGATCAATTTCAAATTTTCAGGGATGATTCTTAGTATAAGAATCTAGATCTGATTTGTTTTTGGGCATTCTGGGTAAATGTCAAGGCAGCCATTTTAGATTTTCTGTCCTAAAATCTTGTTTGTAAAGTCTTGTATACGCATTTCCAGGTGAACCGTTTGGTAGATCAATTTCAAATTTTCAGGGATGATTCTTAGTATGAAAATATAGAACAGATTAGTTTTTTGGCATTCTGGATAAATGTCAAGGCAGCCATTTTGGATTTTCTGTCCTCAAATCTTGTCTGTAAAGTCTTGTGAACATGTTTTCTGGTTAACTGTGTGACGGATCAATTTCAAATTTTCAGGGGTGGTTCTTAGTATGAAAATCTAGAACTGACTATTTTTTTGGCATTCTGGGTAAATTTTAAGGTGGCCATTTTGGATTTTCTGTCCTCAAATTGTGTCTGTAAAGTCTTGTCTACTCATTTTTAGGATAACCATTTGACGGGATCACCCATTGGTGGGGACATTTTGTACACATTTGTGTTCTTGTATTTATTTATTCTACTGGGTGGTCCAAAAATATTGGTACATTTGTTAATTTTTTTGGACCACCCTGTAGTTATAAAAGGTACATGCTCTTCACATTTGTCATGCGGCTTTCACATATACTTTTTTCAAGCTTGACTATTTACATCAGGTATTAAAAGCAGCAAATGGCAGGCCCCTAATATTCAAAATAATTTGGGGTATTTTAAGAACATTAAATATACAAATAGTGACTGCCATTGAGGGAAATAGTACAAATTATTTTTCCTGAGGGAATATCCTGTCCACTGAGATGTTCAGGAGGCTGCAGGCCATGGCAACATATCAGTGGACAGGATATTCCACAGAAGAATTTTTTGTACTATTTTCCGAAAATGTGGCAGACACTTTTTTTACATACCCCATATGTACTCTGTAAACAAAAACAAAACAAAATAAGAAGCCTTTTAATTTCAACTTTTAATGCTTACAGATTCTTGTGGCATTTAAAGGCATTTGCCATAGAAACTCCTAATCTTAGCTGGCAGGGAAGACAAAAAGTACTACTGGTCATTAGTACTTTTCTTCTTCCAAAAAGTACTACTTGTCATTAGTACTTTTCTTCTTCCCTGCTAGCAGGGATTTAGGACTTTCCGTGGATTTAGTTTATCTATTTCATATCATGTGGCCATAGACAAGCCAAAAGACATCAAGAATACATATGGGATATATGATATTTTAATATGTGACGTCACAATAGCTAGAACAATTGAATTACTGGTCTATATCGAAGTATGTATGACTGATAAAATTCATAAATGCAAATAGTTGTGTTTCTTGTCTGTTTATCATATTAGAATCGTAACAAAGACCTCGATTTTATGACTTATGTCAAATTTTATTCTAGCCATTGCCAAAGACAATGAACAGAATAAAATTTTCAGTCATATATTAAGCCATAAATCATAAAATCTCGGTCTTTATTCTTTAAATAAAAATTGCCCAGCTGACTATACCCTTATAGATTATTTAATTACATGTATATGCATTAGTTATATCACGCGTATATGAAACCTCTTCCACCCTGTAAACTATGGTTTATTTTTGCAGCAATCAAAATGCTATCTTTGTTGTATGTATTTATATTTAAATGCTGTTTTACATGTATCCATGTTTCATTGATTGATTGACTGTTTACCATACTGAATTTGAAATCAAATCACTTAGCCCATACTTAATTAAACCATAAATATGTGTTTGAAAAGTTATAATGATTTTGAAATAAAATAATACATTTTTGAAGCAGTCAAACCAACGAGAACAATGGCCATCTATTTGCATACAATTTATACATGATTTTTTTGTCAATTATTAACTCTTTTTTTTCATTTAGGCCTTGTAGTTCGCCTAAGGTCTCCACCTACGGGGACTTCCCAGCCTTCAACTGCAGGGTTTGGTCATGATATCTGGGAGATTGATCCAACTGAACTAGAACTGTTTGAAGAGCTAGGCCGAGGTCAATTCGGGGTATGTACACAAAGAGGGATCATCTTATATAAGGGATATCCTTCTTTATTCTTAATTGTTAACTTTCAGTCCAAGGGCCAGAAGTCCCAAGGACATACACTGTCAAGATAGATCTTTTGTACACTAAGAGTGATTTTGTGTACACTAAGAGTGTTTTTTGTACACTAAGAGTGATTTTGCATTCACATTGGCAATTATAACTTCAAAATTATACACCATATACACTAGTATAGATTGTATCAGATAGGTGAAATTTATCATCTTTCTGAACAAAAGTTCCTAAGTCACAAATGGCTTAAATAAAATTCAAGTTAGTAAAAATTGGATTATGATCTCTCTTTAGCCTTGCATTTAGGATTGTTTAAATTTTCAGTTTTTAAATGTGTTCTTTCAGAGCATAAATCATCGAAAGGAATTTGATATGAGCATTTTTCAGCATATAGGCATTTTCTATAGTTTCAGCATATATATATGTTTTTGAGCGCTGAATTGTGGTTAATGGCGGAAGAACAAGTCTTTAGGATTGTCTCCATTATCAGCATGTTAATGTTTTTTTTCGTGAAGCATGGGAAATGGCGGAAGAAGAAATCTGTAGCTTGATAATTGTCTTTTACAGCATGTTAATGCATTTTTCAGAGCGTAAAGCGTGGCAAATGGCGGAAGAACAAGTCTGTAGCTGTCAAGATGATGCAGCAAGGAATGATGAATGAAGATGATTTCATTGATGAAGCAAAGACAATGAAGTAAGAAATTCATTGCTCAATAATTAGTATTGAATGTTTAACTTAATTGTTTGTACTCTATGAGAGGCTGATTAAACTCATTAATTTAAGAAAAATACATTGTGTGATTTAGGCCATATGTCTGGTCAAAAAGACCTAAAATGTGAGAAACACATTTCTAATAAATGTAGCTCTCACTTTAGTGAATATTTATTTTGATAAATTGATTTTAATGTATTAGATGTAATAAATTTATGATTTTTATGACCATCTCCAGGAATTGGCTTTGCGCGGAAGTTTGCTGGGGGTCTAGAGAAACTAAATTTGAAAAACAGCAATTGGCGTCAAAAGTGGAGATACATTTTGATTGTGACACATATCTAAATATTTTAACATGTACTTCTTTATAATGAAGCTTATTAAACTATTGTAAATGGTGGTACTTTTGTGTTTTCAGGATGTTACAACATGAAAACCTAGTCCAGCTATACGGTGTATGCTCCAAACAACGTCCCATCTATATTGTGATAGAATATATGAAACATGGTAATATACATTTTTGCTTGCGACATGTTATACAAAGTAAATACATGTATCATCAAAATTGACGATTTTCCGCAGAGTGTGTACGGAATAAGACTTGACCAGTGTTGTTGTAGAATTTTGATTATTTTCTGCATAATTGACAGCAGATCTGCAGGTTAAATGTAATAAAATGGTTAACCTCCTGACTACCTAGAGTGATGAGATTTCTTGTCACCTCAGAAATGACCTTGAAACCTAGAGTGACGAGATAATCCGTCACAAAAATTTTCACTTAAATTGCTCTTATTTGAAGAATTTTCATCTAGTTTACACAAACATTGTTTTAAAATATCAGCTATAGTACATATTATATGTAGTAAAATGTCAAAAGCTGGCATGAGAAATTCTCTGGTTTCAACTGATTTTAGAACCTGGGGTTCAAGAGGTGAAGTATGAATCTGTATCTTGAATAGTATTTCTTATGTAACCATTTTTCTTTATAATTGTAGGATCTCTATTGAATTATTTGAAAAGGCAAAGAGGTGTGATACTAAAGAAACCTAATAAACTGCTGGATATGTGCTTACAGGTAGGCCATATTCTACCAAAGAAACCTGGAAAGCAAATGTTGCTGTGTATTTTATGTTTGTTATATAATGATGTAATTAGAAAACTATTGTTGTTCATGTTTGTCTTGCCAAAAGTTGTTCAGAAAATTTTGTTGTTAAATTTTAGGAGTATTTAGAAGTATTTAGCAAACCATTGTTGTCGAATTTTAGTTTTTTTTCGCACAGTTTTGAACAGTATTTAGAAAGCCACTTTGGTTACATTTAAGGTTTTTGTATTTAGAAAGCTATTGTTGTATTTTAGGTTTGTCATGCAATGAAGTACATGTATTTAGAAAGCTATTGTTGTATTCTAGGTTTACCATGCAATGAAGTACATGTATTTAGAAAGCTTGTTGTATTCTAGGTTTGCCATGCAATGAAGTACATGTATTTAGAAAGCTATTGTTGTATTCTAGGTTTGCCATGCAATGAAGTACATGTATTTAGAAAGCTATTGTTGTATTCTAGGTTTGTCATGCAATGAAGTACATGTATTTAGAAAGCTATTGTTGTATTCTAGGTTTGTCATGCAATGAAGTACATGTATTTAGAAAGCTATTGTTGTATTCTAGGTTTGTCATGCAATGAAGTACATGTATTTAGAAAGATTGTTGTATTTTAGGTTTGCCATGCAATGAAGTACATGTATTCAGAAAGCTATTGATGTTGTATTTTAGGTTTGTCATGCAATGAAGTACATGTATTTAGAAAGATTGTTGTATTTTAGGTTTGCCATGCAATGAAGTACATGTATTCAGAAAGCTATTGATGTTGTATTTTAGGTTTGTCGTGCAATGAAGTATTTAGAAAGCCAGTCATTCATACATAGGGATTTGGCAGCTAGGAATTGTTTAGTAGGAGATAATCTTGTTGTAAAGGTTGGAGATTTTGGATTAGCCAGGTATGTTGTATTAAAGTAGTTCACCCTAAAATTAACTCTCTAAAGATGAAATCTTTTTCACATGTAGCTTACACTACTAGCTAGTGTCTGTCATATTTTGGAAGTTTTGTAATTGTAGCTTACACTACTAGCTAGTGTCTGTCATATTTTGGAAGTTTTGTAATTGTAGCTTAATTTTTTACTTGTAGCTTACTCTACTAGCTTACAATACAAGCTAGTGTCTGTCATATTTTGGAATTTTTACTTGTAGCTTACACTACTAGCTAGTGTCTGTCATATTTTGGAATTTTTGTAATTGTAGCTTACACTACTAGCTAGTGTCTGTCATATTTTGGAATTTTTGTAATTGTAGCTTACAGTACTAGCTAGTGTCTGTCATAGTTTGGAATTTTTGTAATTGTAGCTTACACTACTAGCTAGCATCTGTCATATTTTGGAATTTTTACTTGTAGCTTACACTACTAGCTAGTGTCTGTCATATTTTGGAATTTTTGTAATTGTAGCTTACACTACTAGCTAGTGTCTGTCATATTTTGGAATTTTTGTAATTGTAGCTTACACTACTAGCTAGTGTCTGTCATATTTTGGAATTTTTGTAATTGTAGCTTACACTACTAGCTAGTGTCTGTCATATCTTGGAATTTTTGTAATTGTAGCTTACAGTACTAGCTAGTGTCTGTCATAGTTTGGAATTTTTGTAATTGTAGCTTACACTACTAGCTAGTATCTGTCATATTTTGGAATTTTTGTACTTGTAGCTTACGCTACTAGCTAGTGTCTGTCATATTTTGGAATTTTTGTAATTGTAGCTTACACAACTAGCTAGTGTCTGTCATATTTTGGAATTTTTGTACTTGTAGCTTACACTACTAGCTAGTGTTTGTCATATTTTGGAAGTTTTGTAAGTGTAGCTTACACTACTAGCTAGTGTCTGTCATATTTTGGAATTTTCGTTCTTGTATCTTTTTTACTCTCATAGTCTTATTAATAAGTAACATGAACTTTTCAGATAAGTTTTGCTTTAAAAAATGAATGATTTTTTTACAGATATGTATTAGATGATGAGTACACAAGTTCTAGTGGGACGAAGTTTCCCATTAAATGGGCCCCACCAGAAGTTTTGGGCTACACAAGGTTTAGCAGCAAGTCGGATGTCTGGGCCTTTGGTAAGTTTATAAACAAATGGAGCCAGAATCCCCTACCTATCTTTGTAACTCCTTTTCCAAGATGGTTCGTCTTACCTTAGTAATCAAGAGGAGTGGGAGGAATTATCCCATGGATTGCTCCAAACTAACTATCAAGATATCTAGGTATTAATGATATACAATAAAATGAAGAATGAGATGTTCAATCAGCACCTGATCTTCTTTGCTTTAACATTTGTGGGCTTTATAATGCTGCAAAAGTATTCATACTTAGAAAAAGTATAATCAAAGTATATTGCAAAACATTAAATTGCCCCTTATTATCTATTTCCAGGTGTTCTTATGTGGGAGATCTTCACAGGAGGTGATATGCCATATGGGAAGATCAAGAACCAAGAAGTAGTGGAACAGGTTGTACACCATGGGAAACGCCTGGAGAAACCCCAAGCTTGTCCCGGAGAAGTATACGACATTATGATGGTCTGCTGGGAAAAGGTATGATAGCATTGTACTAGCTTGGTGCTGCATCCATTGAAAATCCATTTGCACCCAGTTGGAAATCTATTTGCACCCAGTTGAAAATCCATATGCTCTCATTTGAAAACCATTTTTTAAAACATAAAATTTACTGGGATTTTTTTCTCCCTGAATCAGATAACAACATTATATTATGATAATAATGATGAATTTGAAATATTTTCCAGGACGAGAGAAACAGACCAGGCTTTGCTGTACTAGAAAATAAATTAGCAAATCTATCAGACGATGACTACTGCTCCTGAGTCATGAGTATTATATTATTATATACAGTATAAAGTACTTGTATAAATAAACGAGTATAAAAGCACTAGTATATGAGCACTAGTATAAAAGTATGAGGCAGTATGCTTTGCATAGAGTGCTGTTGAACCATTCTTGGTTATTCTCCAAAGGAAGTCAACAGCAGACATTGTAAACTGAATCTAGATTTTACATGGCACGTTTAAAGTGTATTCTATATTCTCTTGGAATATTGGAAAAAATGCATATGAATATTTAAATTTAATATCATCACAAAAACAGATTGAAGCACAGATCTGTATTAGATTTTGACATATCTTTGATCAAGAAAAATCAAAAGGTATTATCAGAAAATCGGACCAATGTTGACATTGTTAAGTGAACACATATATGTATAATATTGTACAAATATTTAATTCTATTGAGGTGAATACCTGTGCATCTTTCACAAGTGATATTCCACGAAGCCCAAAGGGCTAGTGCACTATCATCTTGTGAAGGTGTCACAGGTATTCACCGAAAATAGAATCAAATATTTGTTTTATTATTCACTGTTATATTCCTCACTCACATATATGGAATAATTAACTATTGATGTCTTATTAAATATAGCAGTACACTCCCAGGGATACATAAAATTGAAACTACGCTTAACTAAGTCCTGACTGGTGAATATCACTTGATATTTATGTGACTTCCGTCGAATATCGCTTGTTATATTTTGTCATTTGTAGGACATGGACCAATCAGAGAGTGAGGAATATGACAGTGGTATAATAATGTAATAATTTGCTTTTCTGGTTTGTATTAGGGTCCAAAAGTACACCAAAACCATCTGTATAAAAATCTGTATATAATGAATACCATCCCAAGATTTTGGCATAATAGATGCTCTAGGGTCTTATAAGGTCCATTTTTGGGCTATTTTGGATACCCAATGATCAATAGTGTTCTCCTTTCATTTTATTTTCACACATGCGCATGTACATAACTCTCGCGTCTATGCAATCAATTTACTAAATTCATGTATATTTTCTATATAACGTTTGATTGAGAATGAATGATGCTTAACTCTAATTAGTCTTACTATATTTCATAATGTAAATGTTTTACATCAAACATTCACGAACAAGCTTTTGAAGCACATCATTTTAGCAGTGCAAGTAACCCTATGATATTAAAGGCAAATGCCTTTGAAATGTGGTATTAAAATAGTAAGTATAATTTTAGGCTATATATAGAATATCACAAGTCACCTATTTATAATATCACAAAACGAGTTATTTAAATTATGTTTTGAGCCTAATGTTTAAATTTTTGTTGTGACATACTGACCCCGTATATGAAATATCTAAAGTAATAGAATACCGATTTAGAATAATTAGTTTCATTTTATCAATATTTAAGTCAAATTTATGGACACTATAGTCACTTCTAATAATTGGCTCATTCATGAATATCCCAAAAGAAAATTGCATTGTGCAAGATATAATCCACAAATCTGGGACCTACATGCAGTTTATCATAGACTTTATCCTTTATCATAAAGTAATATGACATCAACATTTGATAATGCTTACTTTTTTTGTTTTAAATGATTTGTAAAATATTAGTTTAGTGTCAGCATGGAAAAGAAATAAACTAGGGTAACCTTTTTTGAAATGATTTTTAAAATATTAGTATATTGTTATCATGGAAATGATATAGATTAGGGTAAAATTTTGTTGAAATGATTTGTAAAATATTAGTAAAGTGTCATCATGGAAATGAAATAAACTAGGGTTACATTTTTTGAAATGATTTGTAAAATATTAGTAAAGTGTCATTATGGAAATGAAATAAATACATTTGAGGAGCACTTTGTCATTTCTGGTATAGTCCATTTCTTCCAGAACACACAAGTACCCTCCCTTTAGTACCCTCCTAACATCATAATTTGTAGACTTACACAAAATAACCAAAATTGATTTTCCATCGAGTTTTATGGCTGAACTTTTGTTTTAGTAATTAAAGGTAGAAATGTAGAAAGAGTGATCTATTGAAGTTGCATAATGATATTCAGTTAGAAAGAGAGATTTTAACTTGTTAACATGCACATCATTTGTGTTTGTTCAATTTGTGTATGTTTTTGTATATTCAGCGTACTTTTGTGAGTATTTACATTTATGAATAATCAATGATCACTTGAGTATATTCAATATACAATTGTGTATGTTCACTTCACATATATGCATCTATAATGTACATCTTTAATATGCTAGTGTACATTTGGTATTAACATTGTACATATGTTGTTAATGTGCGCCTATTAATAATGTACAATGTACATTTGTGTATAATTAACAATGTGCAGTAAATACACCAGAATGTACAGTATTGGAGTACAAGTAGTTTACTTCCGTATGTTAGTATATTTTCAGGTGATAATTTTCTTAACATGAAATTATTTTCTGTTATGATTTATGACTCTGTTTATGATTTATGGCTCACTTAATGCATGTCTGTGTTGTTTACAAAATATATCCTGTGTCGTGTAGAAATAAAAACGAATAAAGATTATCGCAAAACATGAAAATTCTGCTTTCATTTAAAGTTCTTGTCGAAGAAACAAATTTTGACTTATATGGCCATAAATCATTTTATCATAAATCACATTTGACAATTTTTCATGACCAAATATTTGTATGCATTCAAAATAATAATTATTTTTGTAAAATGTTTTACTACACAGAATATGCATTTCATAGATTTATTGTAGATATGTATGAGTCAAATTTCAACATGTCGTTCTTCTCAGCACTGTTTACGCTAAAAAGGTGACAAAAGTCCGGTTTGTCAGCCAAAAACATTTCATTGCAGCTGATTATGCAACTGTTCAATAACATCTGGGGGTTTTACAAATTTAGTTTCTTGAAAAATTAGTGTAATTTGAAAACATGCTTCGAAATCAAGTCTGCAACTTTATCCTGATACATAGTCTTTTTTCATGCTCATAAGCCCCTTTCAGTAGAAGGGCAATATGACTGTTTCTGACGTAATACTCTGTTTTAATGTACTGTATGGTCTGTTTGTTTCATGCATGTTCTTGATCACACATACATGCAAAGTACTTCTAACGCTTGTAAAAACTATTTTCTAACTAAATAATATGCAATTCATTTCATATTTTATTATCATTTTACAATTATGAAAAACATAAAAAACAAACATTTGTTTTCATTTTATTGTATAACATAATGTTACAGTTATGAAATTGTACAATATTTATTCATGAAACTAAATACATAATGTATTACTTACTATGTACTTTATATACTAACCTGTACATATACTGAGTCAATAAAGATTTATAAATGATGAATAAATAATGTCATTATTTTACTTTTAACATTTAGTTTTCCTTCAATTAAGGTACTAGTGGGCAGTTCTACCAAATAATATGAAAAATATTCTTATCTTATTTTCATCGTAAAAGCCTTATTTTGAAATACAATAAACCAGCCAATATAGTGCTTCTGTACGAATTCTGTTGAAAGCCAGATTTGATCCAAAGGCCAATACATGTACAAAATTATTGAAAAATATGCACAGAATATAGATATCAAGATATAGTTTTCTGTTATAACGTTTTTACTTTTTTTTACTTTTGAAGTATCTGGTATTGAAATATAAAAACATGAATATGCATCATTCAGACTTTATACTTTATCTAAGAAAATGTATAATAAAAAACTATAAAAAAACCGCCCATTGACGTATTATGAAATGATCCATTTTTTTATTCAACCAAGGGGAAACTTTTACTTCCAAAATTATATGGACAATTTTAAAGCGCGTAGACAAGAATAAATTCATGAGATAAATATCAAATGATTTTCCAAGGCAACCAAACCCAACCAAAAGTTCTGATTATGTCAAATCATAGATTGACGTACCCAATACTTTTAATAATTTTACTATTGAATCTAGAATGGAACCAAACAGCCCTGTTTTGCACAACACAAATGAATAAATGTAAACAAAACTATTTTATATATGTTTCATTCAATTTTCATATATCTATAAGTATAAAGCATATACAGATCTTGTTGCAAAATATTAATCTTGAATGGAACCAAACAGTCTTGTTTTGGACAACACAAATTAATAAATATATACCAAACTATTTTATATATGTTTCATTCCATTCTCACATATCTGTAAAGCACATACAGATCTTGTTGCAAAATATTAATCTTGAATGGAACCAAACAGTCTTGTTTTGGACAACACAAATTAATAAATATATACCAAACTATTTTATATATGTTTCATTCCATTCCCACATATCTGTAAAGCATATACAGATCTTGTTGCAAAATATTAATCTTGAATGGAACCAAACAGTCTTGTTTTGGACAACACAAATTAATAAATATATACCAAACTATTTTATATATGTTTCATTCCATTCTTACATATCTGTAAAGCATATACAGATCTTGTTACAAAATACTGAATCTAGAATCGAACCAAACAGTCTTGTTTGGACAACACAAATGATTAAATGTATACAAAACCATTCTATAAATGTTTCATTACATTCTCATATATCTGTAAAACACATATTGTATTCCTGTTTATTTTCACACGGATCTACGAGTGCACGTGCCTCGCAGACATAGACCCTTACTGGCACCATGCGAACATTTTTTAGTATTGTCTTGTTCACATTTTGTATGATATTGTAAACTGTTCTTGTATCATTAGTATGAATTTAAGTACGTCTTGCCTTCTAATTATGGCAAAATCTTGAATTTGGAACACTGGTGCACCAAATAATACTAGAAATACTATTTATCCCATAGTTGCAAGGATATAGATCGAATATCACATGAAGATATATTTGATATGTGGATCAAGATATCATATTTAAGCAAAAAATTCACAAACAATCGAATATCAGTTTTAAACTATCGAATATCACGTCTTAGAAAGTGATATTCGATGGTTTGAAAAGTGATATTCGATGGTTTCGAATTTTTTCAAATTCTTTTTACATTTTTTAATTATTTTCAAAAAAATTTCAAAAAAATTCAAAATTTCAAAAAAAATTTCAACATTTTTTCACATTTTTTCAAAATTTTTCTCAAATTATATTTTTCAACTTTTTTCGCTGATGATGATTTTCCATGGGATAAACAGACAATCCTATGGTTTTTCAAAAATATCAATTATATCCACTCATGGATACAAATATCTTCACTCATTCGCTGCGCTCACTCATGAAGATATCAATATCCACTCATGGATATAAATGATATTTTTTCAAAACCATAGGATATTCCTATAATATCCTGTATACTTCACGTGGATATCATATCAAGCGAACAGTGCATTGCATAAAGGGTAATACAAAATGAACTAAAGTAAAATAAAAAGGCAATGGCCGGTAACATATTGAAACGTTTGTGTTATTATATCATTGCTGGGTATTCCCTATGTTCAAAATCGATTAGCCAGCAATACGTAGGGCAATACATGTTTCTCAAGAATGCATGAAAGTGTAGACTTTACTGCGGTGTCTTTGAATACATGGCATCACACTAACCATTCAGAATACTAGAACTCTAGCAGTCATACAATAATTAAGGATTTAGGCCCTGGACTCAGTGCATTGTGCATTAATCATCATTCCTCAAAAGTGTTGTTTTAACCTTTTCACGAGATTTGCAGAATTGAGTGCTAAGTTTAGGACACCGCCTGAGTGGAATGAGTTAGCTCAATGCATTGAGTTTTTTCACACAATGCAAAACAAATTCCTTCGAAATCACCCAAAATATACCAAATCACTAAAAGAACATATTGCAAATGAAACTTCTTGCAAGGGTCAAAGAAGTGGTATCGATATGGAGAACTTTTTGAACACACGTTTCTCTCAAACCAGCCATAAAATAAATCTAAAAATTTAACACATCGTCAATTTAATGGTCATCTTTTGAATGGTAACAATATAATTTGAAAAATATATACATACTTTCATCTATATTGTTGTAGAAAACACATCAAACACTTGTTTTGTTCTTGGTATCATGTTTCCAGAGTGAAATGAAACATCTTTCCGAACCTCATTGGAACAAAACGACATTAACACAACATGTTTAGTTCTCTCAGTAGTGTAATTGTACAAAGGAAATTTTGGTTGATTTTAAAAAGTCTAAAAACATGTTGTATATGCTATTTTGTTCCAACAAGGTTCAGATAGACACTTTATTTCATGCTCAAGAATTGGTAGAAAGGAGCAAAAACAATTGCACTGAAGAAACAAAATTTTTTAACAAAAACAGTTATATAGTACCCCGGACAGGTTGGATGATGCTGTCGTGTTTTTACTCCATATTTCCAAAAGAACAACCATTCTTATTGAAATTTTCATATTTTATTGTGGAGAAAGTTTCCAAAATGGAAAAAATTATTTTAACGAAGTCGTTGCCATAATTATTAATATGGCAACAAATATATCTGGAAAGACTTTAGTCAGCCAACAATTCAATGGCTTGGCAATCTTAGAAATGACGTTAAAAGTTCAATTATTGAAGCAAAAACGTGTATTTTATTGACAGAAAAGCGTTTTTGAAAAAAAGCCTGTCAAAATCATAACATTGGAAAGGATGGGTATCGATATGGCGAACTTTTTGAACACACGTTTCTCCTAAACCAGTCATCAAAAAGGTTTTGAAACTTTTACACATTGTCAATGTAATGGTCATATTTTGAATGGTAACAATATAATCTTAAATAGACATAGTATATACTTTTCTCTATATTGTTTTAGAAAACACATCGGACACTTCTTTTGTTCTTGGTATCATATATTCGGAATGAAATGAAACATCTATCCGAACCTCATTGGAACAAAACGACATTAACACAACGTGTTTATGTCTCTCAATATTGCAGGAAAGTTTGGTTGATTTAAAAATGAAATGAAAAAATTAAATCAAAGGTTTATCTAAGTTTTTATCTATTTCGGGGGTTCTTGTTTTAATTTTTTGAATACTTTTTGTTAAATCAAATAAAATTTCCTTTGTACAACTATAATATTGGGAAGTGTAAGAAAATGTTTTATGTGCTATTTTGTTCGAACAAGCTTGGGAAAGATGTTTTATTTCATTCTCAGGAAATGGTAAAAAGGGACAAAAAACAATTGCACTAAAAACAAAAATGTTAAAAAACAGTTATATAAAATACATATAAATTATTTTCGCATTAAATTGTTGTCAATCAGTCAACATTACATTAAGAGAAAAACATTGTTGAATTCAGTTCTCAATACCAATCCTCTTGATAAAATATTTATTCTCCATGTTGGAAATTGTCTCTAGAATAAATCTTGAAAATTTCAATAAGAATGGTTGTTCCATTGCAAATATAGAGTAAAAACACGACTGCATCATTCAAACTGTCAGGGGTACTAAAATATTTCTAAATAATTTTCGCATTAAATTGTTGTCTATCAGCCAACATTACATAAAATACCGTGTTTTTTACAGAATGTTTTCAAAGATTGGTTTAAGAGAAAAACATTGTTGAATTCAGTTCTCCATATCGGTACCACTCCTTTGCAAGGTATTAGTTTCATTCTATAGAGACAAGTTGTCACCTTGGCAACCATTGAACAAGTGCCCTTGGAAGGGTTGTTGGCTATTTAATGCATTGCAGTTATACGAAATAGCGTGTTCAGATCGGCTGGAGTCGGACACCCATTGCCTAGTTTATAATATCATACAAAATGTTATCAAAAGACAATTCTAAAAACAATTGCGTGGTGCCAAATAAGGGTCTACGTCTACGAGACACGTGCACTCGTAGATCCGCGTAATGTTAAACTGTACTTACACTTTAGGTCATAAATAATTAGTTGGGTTTGCTGTGAGGATTTCACATGTTAAAATAAAAAGAATTTTCAAGAGGCCATGCATCAGTGGGTGAGAGTATAAATATGTAAACTATACATATTGGATATGTACTGTATCTAGACATCTAGCAACGATGGGTGTTCAAACCACCATGGTATCGAAATGGCTCATTTATTTATGACCCAAAATGTAGAAACATCAAGTCGCTACATGTTCATCCAGTAAAGCAAAAATAAATCGCTTTACACACATTTTCAAAACTAGTTACTTTGATGGAACGTCAATGTAACAAAATGGATAACTTTCTGTATATGATTTTTTTGTTTTCTCGATTTAAAGTTGCAGATTATAATTTCACAGAAAGCTAGAAAATTTAATCAAGCTTTGAAAAAGTGCTTTTAAATCGCAAAATAAGACATATATCAAGGAAGTTCACTCATTTTGTTACATTGACGTTCCACCAAAGTAATAAGTTGTGGAACAGTTACAGTTTGTCTAAAACATGTAATAGCAATTAATACGATTGATAGATATAAACTACAAAATAGCAAGCTTAAGATTAAGTATAGCACAGACTATGAAGAAAAAGTGTGTACATTATATAGTAATATATCGACTGAATTCATCATATTCAGAGAGAAAAAAATTCATTTTCTTTCCGACTACCTTAAACACAAGCAAAGTAAGCAAATACAAAGTTGCCCTGTCATTGCTATAGTTTCAATATGCTTGTGATTTTTACAGTCAAGGTCACTTAGCTACTGGACATATTGTATAAACTGTGTCAAGATTTTGTCAGATTTACCTGTGTTTATGTAGAATTATCCTGATTTACCCTATTGGACTATTGTATGAAGGTACCAAGACTATGGGGAAGCCTAAACCTTCAAGGAAAACTAAACAAGAAACAGCAGGACAGCCTCCAAAAATTTCAACAAGGCCAACAGAAAATGTAGTCAAATCCAATATGGCTTCCACATGTAATATTCCCGCAATAAGTAACATTTCAAATTTGAATAGCAATCACAATACAACTACCTGTACCACGGATGATATAAAGACAGTTATAGTAGCATTACAACAAAAAGTGGAGGATTTAATGGACAGTACGAATCGAGTTTTACAACAAATGGACTTACAGCGACAACAACTTGTGGACATTTTAGACAGTCAAATATCAAAGCTAAAGCTGAAGATGGACAATGAGATTTGTACTTTACGTAAAAACATTGAACATATACACTCTCGTTTGGATATTTTGGAAAATCGAGATGAAGGTAACTACAAATCTAAATCAGTGAATTCAAATGTAACTGAAACTGAGGACAATTATGTTGTGATTAAAAATTTGGATCAAACGTCGGAATTGGCTCAAACTGTGAATGAACTTTTTGGTGAACTATCGATTGATGACAAAATTGAAACTACCCCTGAAGCTGTCAAAAGACTACCATCTCAACATGACCGACCCGGTATCGTGTTTGTAGCCTTGACATCACAGAGAGATAAAATATGTATACTGAAATTGAAACATCGCCTCAAATATTCAGCAAAATTCCCCAATGTTTATATTGACACCAGGAAATCTAGGGAACAACTACAGCAGGAATACTTAGTGCGCTCTCTCAGGAAAATGACCGGTCCTCCAAAATGACTATCACCCCCCCCATATTAGGGCTATGGATGAATTATACACAAAGGCTTAACAACTGACATGTGTATTTTGCCCTTGGTCACTGTACTACAGTAATACCATTGTTTACATCCAGTTGATCTTGAACATTCAACTGCGTAACATGTACCTCATAATTAGTATTGAAAGTTATAGGCTAATAAGCTCGTTTCTTTGCTGCAGGACTATTGAACCAACAAAAAGGATTATTTTTTGTAAATGAAAAGAAACACATGGACTTATTTGCGCAACATGAGTATTAACTAAAAACATTCGACTCATTTTTGAATCAACATTGAAGCTGAAAAACCAATGAACTGAATGGCACAAAATAACGTCAACATACGCATTGATACACTTATTCTTAAATTCTATCGAAACTGAACTATCAATGAACTGAATCGCACAAAACAATCTCAACAAATACAGTAAATACTTTGATATAAAAAGTGTCTCATAAGCCGGTGACGGCTGGGGGCTATTGCCTTTTTTGTAAATGTATAATGTTTGCACCATGTATAGCCTGTGACACTATAATAAATATTTAACTAACTAACTAACTTGTATGAAATTTTTTTACATAAATGCAAAAATTCAATTAATAGTGAACTATTACCGAATCAACTCGTACAGGGAATACTGTTTTCGTTAAGAGTATGTAAGGAGAGAGACTGCAATTTCTAAAGAATACCATACATTCGGCTTGGTAAAATACTCAAAATTTGAAATAATAACGCGACTTTGCAGTTGAAATTCGAGAGAAATTGAAAGTGCTAAACATGAAGTTGGAACATAACTGCGCAATGATGCAACAATGCCACAACTCATGGTATTCACATCCATGACATCACTCAAACAAGTTATCAAAATATGGATTTGTTCTATTCTGACCTATTATGCTTTTACTCTATTACAATTCTCGATGATCAATGTTCAAAAACCTTTTAAAACGTGAATGAACTAATAATCTGCTTATCTCCATCTCGGGCTCGGTGCATGATTTTAGTTACCTTCCGAAATTATAATTGCATATTAAAAAGGAAAATTAAATTTTGTTGTAGAAGGTTATTTTGAAAATAAAAATAAAAACTTGAACGGGTTCTAATAATTCTAATTGTTTTCTTAATTTTACAAATAACGATTTTCGAGATGGCGAACATAAATCCCAAAGTATTCAATAACCACTGGCATGTAGCGATTATAGCGGTCCTGTCTTGGCTTATTGAATTGTTACGAAGTTACGTATGCGGTGCGGAAGTTAGAGAGCAAATGACCATCATTTCAATGTAATAGTTTATGCAGGAAAATTGAGATTAGGCCATTGGAGTATTTGTTTCATGCATTTGTATTTACATTACCCACTCATAGGTCATACTTATCGTTAAACCAATAACTCAAATATATGCCCTTGTACACCGATCACCTGTTGAAATTAATACAGGCCGATTTCAACAAATGTAAACGGCGATACATTCAAAATCGTATTCAAGCATGACCACGTCCCAACTTCTTTTGTTTTCTTTACAACTAAGCTATGACTGCAGTCTATTCAGTGTTGCGTATCGAACCTTGTTTATTATAAAAATAGTGCAACAACAAGCAGAATTCACACATTTACCTTATACTTATTCTCAACTGAAGACATTGAATTTATCTCTTAGGTTTTACATTATAAATATCTTAACATGCAGAATACGAAAATAGAGGCTTAGGCCCAACTTTGTATGAATTTTATGAGAATAATCTGATTTTAGAGAAATGAAAAGAAAAATGTCCACACCCTACACAAAACATTTATGGTTCCCCGGGAATACGTATGTGCTGCTTGTATATTAGAATCGTATTCCAGTTACAGAAAGAAGTACATATCATGCTAAACTATATACAACAGTTATGCACTTAGAGGTTTTGGATACAGGGAATATCCCGAGGGATATATAATATATCTTCCCTTGGTCCCTCGGGAAGATATATTGTATATCCCTCGGGATATTCCCTGTATCCAAAACCTCCAATTGCATAACCCCTATGTATGTCATGGCTAAAACACCGTATGCTATGGTTAAGTGAAAAGAAGGACGAAATTGCATATGTTAGGCCAATGCATTACCCCCAGGAAAATCACTTCTAGAGATGATAAAATAATTTCGACTTTGAGACAGGGTAGATGCAAACAACCCACCCACATGTTTTTTCTGAAATGTTTGCCTAATTTTCGACCCCTTCCACCCCTGCTTTTTCAATTTTTCTTGCATCAATATGTTGCATTTTGACACATAGTTAACCACTTTAAAGGAATAAGTGATTCCTTCAGGGGTTTTAAAGATACCCATTATGGGTGACCAAACTTAGCTGAAAGCAATGGTTTTTCCTATGGGAAAATAACATGGGAAATATTGTTTTCCACTTTATCTAAAAGGAATCATTTATTCCTTTTAAGGGATTATCTGTGTCAAAATGCTACATATTAATGCAAGAAAAATTAAAAAAGCAGGGATGGAAGGGGTTGAAAATCAGGAAAACGTTTCAGAAAAAAAAATGTGGGTGGGTTGTTTGCATCTACCCTGTCTCAAAGTCACAATTATTTTATCATCTCTAGAAGTGATTTTCTTGGAGCTAATGCACTCGCCTAACATATGCACCTGTTTAAATCTCCAGGAAATGGCCAAAATCAAACATATGACTGTCCAAAATCTGTTGCACTAACTTCCCTCCTCCTTTGCCAAAAATATCATATTTTACCACTGATTTCAAAAATACCGTTTTTATTTTGACATGTTATCCTATGGATATCATGCTAACTATGGAATAATATAGGAATATCCTATGGCTCTGAAAAAATATCACTTATAACCATGAGTGGATATTGATATCTTCGCGAGTGCGCAGCGAATGAGTGAAGATATTGATATCCATGAGTGGATATAAGTGATATTTTTGAAAAACCATAGGGTTGTCCGTTTATCCCATTGGGAATTATTATCCAGCGAACATTGGATAGTCAGATAAATTGCAATGGAAATTCCATTTCGTCTGAGATTTTGATTGCGATAATTCAACGAACGTCATATACGTGACGTAACAGAGTGGTTTGTATTTAATGCGAACGCCGTAAAAACAAGATCCCAAAAAATAAAAATATATAATAAATATATAAACAATCGTTTTGCTGAATTAATAAAAAAAATTGAAAAAATCAAAACCATCGAATATCACTTTTGAAACCATCGAATATCACCTTTCAAAAAGTGATATTCGATGGTTTCAAAAGTGATATTCGATGATTTGGGAATTGTTTGCTAAAATATGATATCTTCATCCACGTATCAATTTTATCTTCACGTGATATTCGATCTATATCCTTGTAACCATGGGATAAATAAGGGTTATGTACTGGGAGGTTTTGGATATGGGGTTTTTCCAGAGTGAGATATGCATATCTACCTGAGGTACCGTAGGGACAGAAAGTAGATGTGCATATCTCACGAGGGATGAACCCAATATCCAAACTGACCGTACATAACTGCTTTATCCTATACCAAGTAGAGTTTTCAGTAGTACAAGGTGTAAAAAATAAACAAATCATTCATATGCAAAGTCATTTTATTGCATTTCCACTTTTTGGAAGCGGGAATATACGCCCCGAAGCGGGAAGATATGCACCGAAGCGGGAGATATGACGGGAGATATGGAGGTTCTTGATATGGAAACCTCAAAATCAGGATACGGGATATATCTTACCAACTTATCTCCCTAAAACCCTACTTGGCATAGGATAAATCAAGATAATTTCTAATCGCATCTAGTCTATTCCACATGTTTGGGAAAAGTGTACAGGAAAATCTCCATGTTCGTATGATCAATATATACGAATCGAATGTATTATCGTGTGCATTACAATATCCACATTGAAACATTTTTGGCCTGCAATGGACGTATAATGAATTAGAATATGAGGCCGTGTTATCATTCTAATGTAAAGTCATTGTATTTTATAAGTTATTCAATGATTCGAGTGAAATACAGAAAATATTCTTCCCGAGAAGGTTGTATTTCACGATGCGTTAGCAGAGTGAAATACAGACGTTCAAGGGAAGAATATTTTCTGTATTTCACAAGAAATCATTGAATAACGTTTTTATTCCATGATTACCCATATAAAACTCGCCTAAATCAAGTCCGTTGGCTTGGGGCCGGAGAAACAGATCAACCTTCTCACCTCAGAGATATTTTACATAGATATTCCTTCAAAATCTTTATGTCCTTGTTGTTTGCTTTTTGTTTGCGTTTTTTTCCTCTTAAAATTATTGATTGTGGTGATCACATTATACGTTTCTGATATTTGAATCAGATATTTATAGCAAAATTCAAAGATAAGCATGCGTTGGTGTAAAGTAATCGCCATTGATTTTTTCAGTAACAGTCATATCCTGGATGGAAATCTGGGGCGTTGGGATACTGGACCGTATCCCAACGCTGACGTCATTGACACAGGAAAGTGAGTGTAAATACAGAATATATTTAAGTCACGTGGACCAATCAGATTGCAGGGAATTTCACCATCATGGAATAAACTGTGGTATTGGGTTGCAAGTTAATATCAGATTCAATGCAAATTAATCATCTAATATCAGATGCGCGATCAGTCCAATAATCTAATTTCAGGTCATCAGTTCGATATCTAGCACTTGTTCTAACGACACGGTATTACTAGGCTATCATATTATAAATACACACACATATAAAACAATCAAACTGGTACACTTTATAAGCACGACTGCTCTTTCAATTGAGTATAAATGTTGATAAACTTACCCGGAAGCCAAGACATACACGTTTAGACGATGCTATTTTCAGTTCAGTGTAAGAGTAAATGCCCGGATATCGAGGCTTTTTCGTGTAAAGTTTTAACCAAGCATCTAGAATCGGGTTATATTGCGTGTAGAATTTATCGATATCAGGGCCGCTACATGCCAGTGAATAACACTGTATGATCATAAAAGCGTCTGGTGTAAAATCAACATTGCACAAAGCCTTATATGTTACATAAAATAGAAACTTTTCGTAACAGATGCAGATCAAATTAAACTTAATCAGTGACTTTTGTTTGAAATCAAATTAGTGATTTTTTTACGTCAAAGGTGTAAAGGAGGGTTTTACTGCATCTACGACCAAATTAGAGCGACGGGAACCTAATGAATCAAGATGCTTGCATTTTTAGGAGATTTAACACAATTCAGTCATATCTAGTCTTAATTCAAGACCATGGTCCCCCTTAGCTACTTTAACAAACGATTGTTAAGTAGATAAGGAGGGGGGGGGGGCTGGTCAGAACCTCTTTGCGAACGTACACGTAAAAATATAAAGTACAATAGATCCCATCAGTTTGTTATCACATAAGATAGTATTCCAATCAGATAAGAACGGAAAAATAGGATAAAGCAAATGTGAGCAATATTTAAGAAATATAGACCAAAGAGCAGGGTTTCTAGTTTCGAATAACACCCCGCTGGTCTCGGCACAAACGTTTTCTGTACCCCGAACGACCGAAGGGAGTGAGGG